CCCCTCTCCCCCCCCCGCCGCTCTTCCTCGCTCCAGGTCCCCCTTCGGTAGACCCCCTACCCCCTGTGCATCTGCGGCTGGCAGTTTTACAACCCCACCACGCGACGTGTTCTGTCCTCTCAGGACGTCACGTTTGACGAGTCGGTTCCCTTTTACCATCTCTTCCCCTACCGCATTGCCCCTCTCCCCCCCCCCCCCCCCGCTCTTCCACGCTTCAGGTCCCCCTCCGGTAGACCCCCTCCCCCCTCAGGGTCCTGCTTCTTACGGTGTGTCTCAGGTAGACCCACTCCCCTTGGCTGAGCCTTTCGAGGTCACTTCCGACACCTCTGGCCCAGCTGAGGGGGGTGACGTTGCTGCTGACGACGCGGCGGCCCTTCGCCGCTCACCACGCTTGGAGACCCCTCCGGGTTTTCCACCTCGACCGTCTTCGCCGCCTCTGCAGCCGGTTGCTGTCGACTCTGGTGCTGCTGGGGGTGGTGCTGCTAGGGGTGCTGCGTCTGGGGTGCTGAGCTTGAGGGTGCGGAGCCTGGGGGTGCTGAGTCTGGGGGTGAGGAGCCTAGGGGTGCTGGGCATGAGGGTGCGGAGCCTGGGGGTGCTGAGCCTGAGGGTGCGGAGCCTGGGGGTGCTGAGCCTGAGGGTGCTGAGTCTGGGGGTGCTGAGCCTAGGGGTGCCAGGCCTGAGGGTACTGAGTTTACGGGTGCGGAGCCTGGGGGTGCTGAGCCTGGGGGTACTGCGTCTGCTGGAGGTCCTACGGGTGCCTCGTTGCCGCGGTCTAGCCAGCGGGAGCCTCTCTCACAACAGCAGCTGCGCGAGTGGTTTACTCGGCGCATCCGCCTTCGGCGTGGCGCTGCTGGAGCTAGAGGCATTGCCACTGGCGGCCCTGGAGCTGGAGGTGCTGGAGCTGGAGGCGCTGGAGCTGGAGGCGCTGGAGCTGGAGGCGCTGGAGCTGGAGACCCTGGAGCTGGAGGCGCTGGAGCTGGAGGCGCTAGAGCTGGAGACCCTGAAGCTGGAGGCGCTCGTGCTACTGGAGGCGCTGGAGCTGGAGGTGCTGGCGCTGGAGGCACTGGAGCTAGCGACACTGGTGCTGGAGGCACTGTGCAGCAGCGACCGTTTTTCTTGCCGCCGCCGCAGCCGTCGCTACTACCGCCTGCCTCGGCACTTCGTCATGTTCTTAGTCTTTCTTCGTCCATTGCGTTACAGCCAGACTCACCGCTGCCTGCCCCCCCTCGTTACACTGAGCAGCCAGCCTCCCTTATAGAGCGTCGTGAGCCAGCGTCTCGTCCTGTCACGCCTGCTCACACCGGTCGTCGTGTCCCTCGTCCTCGACCTCCCTTTGTGCCAGGTACTCACACTATGGCACTTCGTCCTTCCTATGTTCCACTGCGAGTTCCCCTACCGTCTCCTCCGGCGTCCTCTCTTCCTGACGTTCCGGACCCTGAGTCTGACTTGGTTCGTGCTGCCAGCCCTACTGTCACACGTCTCCTAGCCACTGTTGTCACTGACCCTTCTTTTGAGTCCACTGCTGCGTCTGCCTTAGTTACTGAGCTTGTTGACTTTGCTGCTGCGTGTCGTCTAGACTACGCCACTAGTCTTGTTGCTGAGTCCGAGTCCGTGTGTCCTCCGCCGGTCGTGGGTGAGTGTGCTCTTGGCATGGACGTCCTTGAGGACAGGCAGGAGGACTTTGAGTGTCTTGCAGCTGCTGTACCTCATCTCGTGGCCATGCTGCTTGCACCTGAGGGAGACCCGGATGCACTGGACATCCCGACCCCGCGCTCTTACGCAGAGGCGATCACGGGTCCCTACTCCTCTCAGTGGCAGACAGCCATGGACGCAGAGATGGCATCTTGGAAGTCCACAGGCACCTACGTTGACGCAGTTCCCCCTCCTGGGGCGAACATAGTCGATGGCATGTGGATTTTCAGGGTGAAGCGGCCGCTGGGTTCTCCACTTGTCGTCAAGGCTCGTTGTGCACGAGGCTTCAGTCAGCGGCAGGGAGTTGACTTCTTCCAGACCTTCTCCCCTACCCCGAAGATGACCACTCTTCGGGTGTTGCTGCACATTGCCGCTCAGCGTGACTACGAGCTTCACTCTCTTGACTTCAGCACAGCTTTCTTACAGGGCAGCCTGCACGAGGAGATCTGGCTGCGCCGTCCTGTTGACTTCACTAGGTCGTTTCCTGAGGGTACCCAGTGGAGCCTCCAACGGCCAGTCTACGGTCTCCGCCAGGCACCTCGTGAGCGGCACGACAGACTGATGACGACACTTGCGGCTCTTGGGTTTGCTCCTTCGACTGCTGACCCGTCGCTGTTTCTGCGCACCGACACCTCGCTGCCGCCGTTCTACGTCCCCGTGTCGACGACTTGGTCTTTGCCACTGCTAACACTGAGGCACTGGCCCTTGTGAAGTCGGAGCTGCAAAAGAGACACACGTGCACTGACCTGGGTGAGCTGCGCAGCTATCTTGGCTTGCAGATCACCCAGGACAGAGCACGGCGCACCATCACCCTGACTTAGTCACACATGGTGCAGCAGGTCCTTCAGCGCTTCGGCTTCCGGTTCTCCTCGCCACAATCCACTCCTCTGCCTACTGATCATTTACTCTCAGCTCCACCTTCGGACGAGTCCGTAGAGCTGAGTGGCCCGTATCCAGAGCTTGTGGGCTGCCTCATGTACCTAATGACCTGCACTCGTCCTGACCTTGCATACCCTCTTAGCATCCTGGCACGCTACGTTGCGCCTGGGAGACACCGGCAAGAGCACTGGGAGGCCGCTAAGAGGGTGTTGCGCTACTTGTGCAGTACATCGTGCATGGGGCTCGTGCTTGGAGGACGGGGTTCAGTTGTCCTCACTGGACACTCTGACGCGTCTTGGGTTGACGACCTGGCTACGCAGCAGTCGTCACAGGGTTACACTTTCAGCCTTGGCTCCGGCTCTGTTTCTTGGCGGTCTACCCGCTCGTCTTCTGTTCTCAGCTCTAGCTGTGAGGCTGAGATCTACGCAGGAGCCATGGCTGCACAGAAGTTACGCTGGCTCACCTACCTGCTGACCGACTTGGGAGAGCGACCTCGTTCTCCTCCAGTTCTGTACGTAGACAACAAGGCCGCGATTGCCTTGTGTCAGGAGCACAGACTGGAGCACAGAACGAAACACATTGATTTGCGTTACTTCCTTGCTCGAGAGTTGCAGCAGCGTGGTCAGCTTCGTCTTGCACACGTGGCCACACGGGCCAACACTGCTGATATATTCACCAAGGCATTTCAGACTGGAAATCATCAGCGTTTCTGTACTGCTCTAGACCATGTGCCTGTTTTGTCTCACTTACTCACTGCGTGCCTTTGTTTGTACTGTGATCTATATTTACATATACCTGCATGCTTACATTTGCTAGGTTGTGATCACTGTACTGTTTGTTCTCTTTTATATAACTCTGCATGTGAACTGGCCTTGTGGCCATTTGCTTGTGCTCGGACTGTGTGGTGACTTCGTGATCCACCCTGAGCTTGCTTTGCCTTTCTTGACTGGTCTTGTGACCACTTGTTCTCCCCCACTTTGCCTATGGGGGTGTATCAAAACATGATGATGTTTATGCTGTGTAGGTTGTAGTGGGGTAGCGCATAAGGGGTACAACCCTTTTAGGGTTAGTACATGTACTCATGGTTGTTCTCAATGCATTCATTGTCGTTCAGTATTCTCACACCACCTTTGCTGTGCTGGCCACGTGCCCCTTTTCACAAAACAACATTTTAGAAAATGTTACATTTCATTACACTTTAAAAAATTATAATGTTACAAGCAAAACAAGAACAAGAATCCGCCTCCCCAGCAGTTCATGAGTTAATTTTCAACGCACTCAATTTGTGAATGCACTCTTTATGGTCACCGCTCCTGTTGGTCTGTTTGTGTATAATTTTAGCATTTCTTGATAGCACCCCCCTTTTGCCCGAAATCATCATAGGGACCTCTTCCATCCTGCCGACTTAGGTCCCCAATGTAGGTTCCCAACCTCGACGTGCTAGGTTTCTGCTAGCGAGGATCTCTTTCTACATTATGTTCAGGTCCTCACTTGCATACTACCACACAAATATCAACTGTTCTGCTAGCTCGCATTATTGTTTGGATGTTTTAGCGCGTCTATGAAAGTGGGGCTGGGGTTATGAAAAATGACAGCAACTGACCGAAGAGCTGTTGCGATTTTACAGACGCGTCGCGAACGCGTGAAAACGAGAACTCTACCTACGTACCGTACTGTATCCAGTTTCCGACGAACCAGAACCTTCATTTACTGTACTATTCCCGCGAAACCGAACAGCTTGCCACACGTGGGACACCAGTGGGAATGGGAGCACCTGTATGCCTTGCCTGACCTCTGGGCCACGAAACTGGCTCCGGGAGAGTTTGGTGGGTGAATCAGGCAGTTCAGGTCAGGTGCGGAGGAGTCAGCTACAGGTACGAGCTAACCAGCTTTCCTCTGATTGGTTAGTGCATTCCTGGCTTACCTAGCAGGTTAGGTCGGGGGTGCCTAAACAAAACCAACCACATTCGTGGCATCGATCCGTCACCCCCACCTCACGTGCAGCCTTTGACTCGTGCGGAAATTTGAGCGAAGTCGGCGAACCGAAGGTATTGGTTGAGGCCAGCCGCCGTTTTGTGCTAACCAGAACGTCCACCACCCACCACCGATACATAGAATAGCGAATCCCAACAAAATTCTCCGAACCACATTAAGGTCAGTCTGCCAAGAAATTGCTAAGGAGAGCACCAGCGCAATCCATCCCTTCCCTTCCCATGCGAGCTCACACCCTCAGCTGGTTTATTTATCCTCGAGATTGTTCGTCGGTCAGTCTGGACCCCACTAGTCTCCACTTCAACCCTTTTGTTTATATCCTTTGGCCTTCACGTTGGCCAAGAGACGTCTCATCGCACTCGGTCCTTTTTGGTTCCGTCTCCGCCTGGTCGGGGTCCTCGTCTCCAGACTACCAATCGTTTTCGAGCAGAGTCGGAATGGCCGACGGGAACTATCCCCCAACTGGAGAATGGACCACTGGCTGGTGCGGCTGCTTCGACGACTGTAATTCGTGTAAGTCCTCGACCAAACATGCACTTGTCAAATACTGTTTAAGACATGGATATGCATTCGTTGTTGTACTGGAACATTATTTCACATTTTTTTAATTAAGGAATTCCGAAAGACGACCTTTAAGTATTTTCACGCAGAACTCGCCTCGCAACCATTAATATCGGTGAAACTCAAAATGTCTCGCCTTTCCCTGTACAGGCTGTTGCGTTTACTGGTGTCCCTGTGTCGCCATCGGCCGAATTGCTGAAATTGCGGATGCTGGAGAAGCTGGTAAGCTCCCGTTAGCGGCTATCTTTTGGTGACATCACCGACTTTAGAACCCTACATCACCGTAATGCTTCATTTTTGCCTAGACACCGAAGCTTGGTCTTCCTCTGCTTGATAATACTAGTTTCTGCTACCGTTTTCATTCTCCGTACCAGTAGCCTATGTCCCTAATATTGCATGGTGTATGGCTTTTTTTGTTCGACGCCTTGTGAAATTGCAGATGCCACCCAGACGTGCCTGTTTTGGTACTTGATTGAAGCCTTTTCCTGTTGCGGGTGTCTGTATTCCATGGGTAAGTCAAGTTCTGCATTTCAAATATAAATTCTTTTCATGAGTTCATTGACTGCATTGCGTTGCATTTTAGGTAAAAAAAACATCATATTCTGCCATTCCACTCGCTGCCCATGTGCATGTCCTTATTTCTTTGCGTCCAGGTTACCGAAAGAAGCTGCGGATGAAGTATGGCCTTCCAGCGCAACCCTGTGGCGACATCTGGATGCACTGGTGCTGCGCCCTCTGTGCTGTAAGCCAGGAGTATCGCGAGCTCAAGAACCGTGGCTGGGACCCAGTCATTGGTGAGTTTTGTTCAGTATTGAGTTTCGTAGGCTATGTATGCACATTGTGAATGAAACGCTCAAGTTGGAGTGCACCGCTAGTGCGCGCTGTGTGCTGTCGCTTCGGACTGGTGTGATTAGTGCTTCGAACCCTTTATTGGTGAGCTGCGAAGCCTGGGATCCTTCCAGTGGTGAGTTGCCAACGCTTTGTTGTACGTCCAGTCTGGTGGCAATTAGCTACACCATTGCCCAGGAGTAACGCCAATGAGAGCACTAAGCTTGAATTTCGAGATTGCCAATGCTTTGTTACTTTTTTGGCCGTTATGCTTTTCGGAATGCAGGTTACTCCGCAAACAAGAGCCGAACCCCCCCCCCCGCAGCAGTTCATCCAGGGTTCTAGGAAGACTTGCGAAGAGTGTGGTTTAGGTGTTCTAGGAAGGTCTTCACTATTCCCGGCAATAAATATCTAGAACTATCCCGTCAATATTGGATTGAAAAGAAACGTTTCTTCTGGTTTGTGGTTGCTCTGTACCTGTAACTTTTGATTTTCGGCAGCACATTTTAGGAACTTCATGAAACAGCAAACGACATGTAATACCGAGATTGTGGCTTTTCAATGCAGCGTACGAGTACGTAAAGTTTGAAACAGTTTTGGGTAGCACCTTGCTGTCGCGAGACTTGCCTTGGGCTGTCAATTATTGTCACTACAACGTCGTCCATCTCTCCGTTAGGGCGTTTACATTTTCCACTTCAGCCCGTCCGGATGGGCCTCATCCGGACGTGTTAGTGGTTACGTTTGTCGTAAGATTTCGCTTTTGTCCTCGCTAGAGCAGTTGCGACGTCGTTAACGATTGGACCGCTGATGAAACATTTGCGTGATTTGCCTTCCCAAATCGACCGGACGTTACCACTCTATAAGTGGACGGACGTAACATTAAGTCGCCGACAAACTTTCTTCAAGTCGCCTGACTGTTACCCTGGTCGTGATGACGTCGTGATCATGGTTACGACCTCGCAGATACGATAAATTTCGTAAGCCTGAAAATGTTTCATAAACAGCCTCGGACGAGGCTTAATCCGGGGATGGCAGATGTTCGGAATCTGAACCGTTTTCGGACAGCTGTCCGGACTTTACGGCAATTCAAAAATGTAACACGCCCTTATTGCAGGAATATCGACTGGGGGATGACAATTATTGTTGCAGCCAGCAGCCAAGCCGCAAACCGAAGGCAAGCGAGCCGCAACATACTGTACCGAGCCCAAGCTTCAGTTTCCTAGGCCTCACAGATATGCGTGCGCTCCGCACAGCCCTCAAGTGCGGCACACGTTTGTGCCATGCCTGTGGCACGGCATCCCGAACTTGCCACCGAAGGGCGTGGATAACTTCAAAAAGTTGCCAAACGAACGGAACGGTCCGAACGGTTCCAAGTGGTCAGTTGAGTACAATTTATGATGAATTTAGTTATAGTACTTTTCAGAGCGGTATTTTTTTCGCCCGTACCGTTCTGCTGTAAAAATATCCAGATGTTCGGGCGTGTGTCTTTTTTCCGAACCATGTGGCCTTGACGGCATGTGAATAGGGTATCCCGCTGTCTTTCTGGACCTTCGGAGCTCGTCATCGTATCGGAGTACATGCGAGCGCGTGCGAACACTTTCGCATGTGGTCCAGACCGGTTGTCAGGAAAATAGACACGCCCCAAACCCTAAGGGTACTAGGCCTTCCAAACCACCCCAAACCAGCCGAGAGCCACGGCACCAAACCGGTGCCCAAACCGTGTGCGTTTGGGTCCGTTCACCACACGGCGCGCCCCGCTTGCCCAAATTCCCGATGTCACACCAATCAAACCCATTCCTCCAGAGTTTATAAACGAACTGAACCATCTATTCATGCATTCACTTTGCTAGCTACCATCGAGCAAATTTACTCGCCCCGCACACTACCATTTCGCTCTCGTTTGGTTTTCTTGCACACCTCCTCATTCTCGCTAAGTGATCTTTTGCCGTTCGCGCTTCATTTACTTGAAATCTCTCAAGTCGCAAAATAACTTGGCGCATGGCGTACCCTACAGCATACCCCGCACCGGCACCACCCATGGCTGCGCCTGTGCAATTCTCGCCAGCCCCAACCGGCACTTGGACGACGGGATGCTGTGGCTGCTTCGAGGACTGCGAAGCCTGTATGATATTCGATACAGTTTGAAGTTTATGAGTTGCTTTGTATAAATCCTAAAGACCGTCTTGCCGATCCCCGCCTCACGGGTCGCTGCTAGCCTGTTTTCAGCCTCACGAGTCGAAGATGCCGGCCGTGTTGATGATATAACCGACGTTTTACGTGTCGTATTTGCATTTGGCTCTTGAGACCTCTCAAATCATGTTGATAACATAACCAGCGCTTGCCGTGATTTTCTCCCTGCAGGTTGCTGCGCTTACTTTTGCCCCTGCGTGGTCTTCGGCCGTGTCGCCGAAATCGCTACGGACGGTAACGTGGGTAAGTAGGCTTGAGGTGAACGGGAACTTGGGAAGTAGGCTTGAAGTGAACGGGAACGTCGGTAAGTAGGCTTCAGGTGAAAAAGAACGTGGGTAAGTACGCTCCGAAGCCGACATGAGATTGCGTTCCTTCTTGCAAAGCAGATCCTTTTCACAAGTTCCTTGAGCAGTAGCTTGAAGCTGGAGGCGCCGTCACCAAGAGTTTTCTCACTCACCTGTCATTCAGTATTGTAACATATATCGTGCTGTACTTGTGACCAGCGATGGAGGAGGCTTGCGCCTTGTGGTATCTCATCGAATGTTGCCTCCTCGCTGGATGCGTGTATTCGTTTGGTGAGTGCTCCTTGCAATGTCTGGTCGAGGCGCTGTAATTGGAAAGCAATGTAACGGCGCCGGGGATAGTTTGCCCCTCTTTTTTATCCGTACGTTCGCCGTCTCATCCCGCGCCAGCTCATCGTGTCAATTATGCCATCACATATTTTCTCCACGTCTGTGCATTCGTCCATCTATTTGTCCATCTGCTGGGCATTCATCCGTCTCACCTAGGCTTCCGAACCAAGCTGAGGGCGAAGTACAACCTGCCTGGCGACTCGGTAAACGATTTTTTCTTGCACTGGTGCTGCCAGTGCTGCGCCTTCTCTCAAGAATACCGCGAGCTGAAGAACCGCGGATGGATTCCTGCTGACGGTGAGTTGTGAGCTCCTGACCGTCATTGTACTCCGTTTCTGCGTGATCAGTGCTCTATTTGTTGTTCAAGAGCTAATTCTTGTTTTATCTTGCAACAACAGGTTACAGAGCCAACATAATGAGGTTCCAAGCAGGAAATGTACCGCCTCAGGGTCAGTTCATGAAAAAGTAGTGTTCAATGAAGAGGCCTTTCTCCGATTTTGGTTAGCTGCACACTGCCATGTAACTACTTTCAATAAGGTCTTTGTATGGAAATGTGTACCATTCCTAAGCAGTGGGATCAGCGGTGTTCGTCATGCAGCGTATATTCTGGTGCGTGAATCCCTTGGTTCCGTTGTGCATAGGTTATCGCTGGCCTTGAGTCACACGGCGAAATTACTTGCACGGCTCGGAGAGCCTCATCAAGCTTCGCTGATCCACAACCTATGGCCGAGCCTCACGTGCTGCTCGAAAATATACCGCGCCGCTTTTCTGAACCAGAACCACAATTGCGTCACAACCACACCGCAAGACCGAACCGAAAGGGCAAGACCGAACCGAAAGCTCAAAACCAACAACCCCAATCGCCGAATCGCTGGCACAACCCCAACCACCATACCTCCATCGCTCGACGTTCTCGTGCGGGTCCAACCAAACCAACACCAGCACATCCCCTCGCTTCCCCCCCTCGCTCCCTCACTCAGTCGAAACAAATACAATCCCCTTTCGCTGCTCCCAGTGTCACTTCCCCGTTGATCACCATCCGCGCCGCCTTTTCGCCTTTTCCACCATACACCTTACTAACCCACGCTCACTCCTCATTTCTCACCCTGAAGTTCCCTGCCTAATTTTCCCAGCGTCCCGTGACCCGGCCCGTTTCCGTCTGTCGAAAAGTCTCCCGTTCGCCTCTATCTGCTATTTAGTGGTGGCAATCCATGGCTGAGGCGGTCGGATATCCTGTTCCTGGCCCAGCACCCGCACAGGCACCAGCACCCACCGTGCCTCCGCCTGTGCAATTCAATGCGGTGCCGATGGGCTCGTGGACGACCGGATGCTGCGGCTGCTTTGAGGACATTAATGCTTGTAATAGAGCTTTTCTAACTATACCCCTTCTGTTTTTTTCCGTGTCGTATATTCCGAGAGCCGTGCTGCTAAATTATGTGATCTGGATTATCTGGAAACTTTCTCAAATTAAAGAAAGCGTGCTCTAGCGCTCTTGGCCGTTAAGGATGCCATCGCGTGCTGTTTTCTGCATTCCTCCCGCAGGTTGCTGCTCTTTTTGGTGTCCCTGCGTCGTCTTCGGTCGAGTCGCCGAAATCGTGACGGACGGAAACGTGGGTAAGTGCGCTCTGCGTTGACGTGTTTTTTTTTTCTCTTCTTTAGTTAGTTTACCTAACTCTATATTGTATTTCAAGAAAATTGGCCTTTCTTTGTGCTGCTCTGCCATTTGCATTTCCGTTCACCTCCCTCACTCTCACCATTGTTTCCTTTTGGATGGTCGCAGATGCGCAGGAAGCTTGCTTGATCTGGTGCTTCGTGGACGCCTGCCTTCTGGCAGCATGCGTGTATTCATTCGGTAAGCTCAGCTCGGCCAGGGAACGATCCTAATTCCTCTTTGCCTTCCCGTCCTCGTGTGTTCGGACCTCTGTCCTTTCTTCAGTCCGTTCGCAATCTCGTCCGTTTTGTCTAATTTTCTGCCCGTTTATTCTCTGCCCTCCATTTCTCCTTCTGCCCCAGGTTTCCGAACGAAACTGAGGGCCAAGTACAACCTGCCCGGGGATACCGTAAAAGATTTTTTCCTGGACTGGTGTTGCGGGTTCTGTTCCTTCTCACAGCAGTACCGCGAGCTCCAGAATCGCGGATGGGTCGTCGCAGACGGTGAGTTTGTACACTTATGTGGCTGTCACGGGGCTGACGCATAACTTGAAATGAGTATGTTAGAATTGTTTCTCTATTTTAATCTTGTGAGTGTGGCCCGCTTGATTTAAGTGAGTTCGCGATATTGAGAAGCTCTTGGTGGATGGAGCCTTTCTAAAGGTGTGTTTAAAACCAAGGACACTGAAACCATTGTCGGAGTGGGAAGTGACAGCAGTTCCTGATCATCCCTTTGCAGAGACTTCCAGACCAGGGCTGATTTTATCAGACTATTTTAGTCTGATTGTCTGAAATCTCAGACTGATATTTTCGCCTTTCCTGAATTTTCAGTATTCCTGTATTTTGAACTCTGAAGGCTTCAGACCTGTTACTTTTTCAATACTGAAAATTCCAGAGTACTTCATTGTGCGATACTGAGACTCGAGACTACAGGGAGTATGGCCACCCCCAAACTCACCGATTTTCGCTCCTCCCCCTCTCTCTCTCTCTCTCTCTCTCTCTCTCTCTCTCTCTCTCTCTCTCTCTCTCTCTCTCTCTCTCTCTCTCTCTCTCTCTCTCTCTCTCTCTCTCTCGAGTTACATTCATTCCCCCCCTGCCCCCCTCCCCTGCTCCCTCTTACTCATGCTTCTCGACAACTCCGCAATGATTTCCCCGCTATTTCTTTTGCCATCCCCCCTAGGCCGAACTCGCTTGACAGATCTTCGCAACTAGCCAACTCGGATGCGGTTTTTCAAACATAAAACTTTTCAGACAAATGACTTTTTCAAACCTGACATTTCAGAGTACTAAGAACTCGGGAAATGACCCTCAGACTAAACCAAAATTTTCTCCTCTGGCTCAGAGTGGTTTTATTTGAAACGTCAGCCCTGCTTCCAGCGCAGTGGTGATCCCTTCTCTGTTTTAGTTGACTTCCTCCGTAGGTTGTGTTGTCTAGCTTCTGTTTTGGTAGCTATGTTCAAGGCATGTACGCAAATAGTTTCATTGTCTCCTCTGGCTTTTCCTTGCTGACCAACAGGTTACAAGGCTAACATTCAACGGTTTCAAGCCGGTAACAACACAGCGCCTGCAAGTCAGTTCATGACAAAGTAGGAAGCGGTTACTTACTGGCACTTAGTGGTCATTGATACATGCGTCTGATGGGGCTTATGGGAAATAAAGATGCAGGTTGCTGGTTTATTACCTGAGCTCGTGCTCAAGCAGAGACAGTGTAGTCTTCTGCTAGTTGAGCAAGCACGCTACAATTGTTTGGGATGGAAATTTAGACAAATGTTTCTGGTGTAGATCCCTACCAAAATGTTCTGGTGTAGTCATGATTGAATTTAAATGCCCTAATGATTTTCCGGAACGATTAGTTTTTGTACATCAAATTGTGGCTAATCTGGGAGGTTATATAGATGGTGACTTCTGGCAGGGGGGTCACTATTGGAATCCCATTTTCAACACAACTGGAAAGCTGGGGCGTTGTATAGAAGAGAGCAGCCGTATACAGGCAAGGCAATAGTGTGTTTAAGGAAATGCCCGACACAAGCGGAGGGGTGTTCTGTACACCGAATAGACTATCATACATCTGTGACTCCCACCAGCAGCCAGTAAAGCTCCACCTCGAGACACTGATTGCACTGGAGAAAGAACTCATGGTTCAGTGGCTCACACCGCACACAGCATGGCGTGGTACGGTGCTAACTGGCATCTGCCAAGAAATATTATGAAGGCAAACTACCGTAAAAGCTGTCGTTCAACGACAACATAGAATGCAAATGAATATGGCGACTACCCTGCACTGTAATATTGTGTTGGAGCATTCTAGTGCGGTAACTGCTCCATGAACTGAACAGGTGTGATCGGCCAACTCTTTCTAAACAAGCAGGGCGGGGTATGACATTGTGCTCTCCAAATCATCATACGGTATAACCTTTCCCGCAGTTAAAAGTCGCGTGTTCTGCTATTGCGATTTTGCTTTTCAGTTGTAGATCTTCACAGGCTTCTCATAGGCATGCCGGTTCTGCAGGACGGGAATAGAAAAGAACCACGTGCGTCGTAAGAGAGTCGTAACACAGTTGTAACAGAGTTGTAACACAAAGTTGTAACACACACCTGGTTGTGCTGAACCCTCTTGGGGGGGTTGGTGTCTGGATGTTCCAAGCCCAGATAGTACTCCCACGTGTCGCGTTTCTATTGGTGGAATAAGGGATGCAACATAATGGCGAAATTACAGGATGACAGGGAGATAGGATGTGTGTGAGTGGGATATTGTTGTTGAATGTATGGATGGATGGATGGATGATGGATGGATGGATGGATGGATGGATGGATGGATGGATGGATGGATGGATGGATGGATGGATGGATGGATGGATGGATGGATGGATGGATGGATGGATGGATGGATGGATGGATGGATGGATGGATGGATGGATGGATGGATGGATGGATGGATGGATGGATGGATGGATGGATGGATGGATGGATGGATGGATGGATGGATGGATGGATGGATGGATGGATGGATGGATGGATGGATGGATGGATGGATGGACGGACGGACGGACGGACGGACGGATGGATGGATGGATGGATGGATGGACGGAAAGATGGTAGGTACCCCGAAGCCACCCTGTACCCCCTTCACACCTGCACCTGTAATCGAGCAGCAACGACGTCAGAATCCTGAAGATACTCGGGCGTGCCGAGAGCCACAAACGCGAAGCTCCACTTGTTAAACTCCTCGTCTGCCCCGCCCAGCCTCACTTCCAGACACACACCCCTTCCTTCAACCCCCCCTTGCTCACCTGGAATTGAGCAGCAATGACGTCAGAATTTTGAAGGTACTCCGGCGTGCCGAGCGCCACAAATGCGAAGCTCGACTTGCGCCACAAGCGCCAAACTCCTTGTCTGTCACGCTCAGCCCCACTCTTTCAGACACGTTGACTTTCAGACACACCCCTTTCCCGCAACCTTTTCAGTGCAGTGCAGGTCAAGTCACCTGAAATCGGGCAGCAACGACGTCAGAGTCCTGCAGGTACTCGGGTGTGCCGAGGGCCACAAAGGCGAAGCTCCACTTGTCAAACTCCTCATCCGCTGTGCCCAGCCTCGACTTGATCCGCTGCTTCACCTCCGCGAGGGTCTCCGCCTCCCCCACCACGAGGAAGAAGGGATCTCCAAACGTCTGCAGCTGGGGGGTGGGAGTGTGGGTGGGTGCAGAGACAGGAAAAAAAGGTGAGTTAAGCGCACATGTGTTGCTGCACCTCTGCGAGGGTCTCCGCCTCCCCCACCACCAGGAAGAAGGGATGCCTTAACGTCTGCAGCTGAGGGGTGGGTGGAGGGATGGACGTAGTGGAGCAACAGGCGAACAAGGTGAGTGAATGAGGCGCAAAGGCGCTGACTCTCCTCTGCTGCGGTCTCTGCCTCCCCCACCACCAGGAAGAAGGGATGCCTAAACATATCACACTACCATACACACACACACACGGTTTTGAGGGAATAAGAGAAACTCAGAAGCGAGTTTAAGGCACTACGAAAGGAACCCACCATCTGGTTTTGCCCGAAGGCATCCCAGCTGTAGTCCATGGCGTGGCATGTACCAGCACGTGGATCACCCATGGCGTGGCGTGTACCAACACGTGGATCACCACCCGGTCTTGAGAACTCATGCTTGCTATGCTTCTAGACGCCTCAAAGACATTGTGATTTAACCCAAAAAAAAAAAAAAAAAAAAAGACTCACCATCTGGTTCTGCCCTGAGGCATCCCGGCTTAGTGGCACACGTGGACCACCCGGCCGTGAACTTTTGAACCGCCTCAAAAGTCATAACGCTTGAAATCCAGGGGGGTTTGAGAGACACTGCAGAACTCACCATCTGGTTCTGCCCTGAGGCATCCCGGGTGTAGTGATACACGTGAATCACTCTGTCTTGAGGGCCCATGTTCAGCTCCTCCTCTGGAATCTGTGGTGGGCGGGTGGATAGAGACAGAGAGGTACTTCAGAGGAGAGAGACAAACCGATGGGCGAGCAAAGATCCCCAGGTGTAGTGATACACGTGAATCATTCTGCCTTGAGGACCCATGGTCAGCTCCTCCTCTGGGATCTACAGCGGCCGAGGAACAAAAGGAGACAAATGGGGATCAGTAAAAAAAAAACAGGTTCCTTGAGGTGAAACCTAGCCACCCCCCACGGAAGGAAAAAACAAAAGGTGAGAAAAATATAGTTTTCTGACAGGAAACCCTACTGCAAAAAATGTGTGCGTGTGTGTGTGTGCGTGCGCGTGGGCGTGGGCTTGGGCGTGTGCATGTGCATGTCCGTGTGTGCGCGCGTGTGTGTGTGTGTGTGTGTGTGTGTGTGCGTGTGCGTGTGCGTGTGTGCGTGCGCGTGCGCGTGCGTGTGCGTGTGCGTGCGTGCGTGCGTGCGTGCGTGCGTGTGTGTGTGTGTGTGCGCGCGCGTGCGTGTGCGTGTGCGTGTGTGTGTGTGTGTGTGCGTGCGTGTGTGTGCGTGTGCGTGTGCGTGTGCGTGTGCGTGTGTGTGTGTGTGTGTGTGTGTGTGTGTGTGTAAAGAGAACTTTACTCACCTCCTCCACACGAATGCTCCAGTACTGGTCGTTGATGGTCTCTATCTGCTCCGTGAGGGGAAAAATCTTGTAGATCTTGTTGTAAAACACCTGCAGCATGCGCAGCTCCACCTTGGGGTTCGACAGCTCCACCTGAAAAAAATGGGATACATAATGGTACAGTGCGATACGAAGCGGTATATGGGGGTTCAATCAGGTACACAGGGGTGGAGAGCAGATTGATTGGTATGGATTGAGCGGGAAGATCTTGTAGATCTTGTTGTAGAACACCTGCAGCATGCGCAGCTCCGCCTTGGGGTTTGACAGCTCCACCTGAAAGGTACAGAGCGGTACAGGCCGATAAATGGGGGTATGGAAAAGTACTGAGTGGTACAGAGGGGTGCAGAACAGGACAGAGCGACAAGATTGGTATGAAGTGATGGGGAAGGTCTTGTAGACCTTGATCTAAAACACTTGCAGCGCCTTGGGGTTTGGCAGCTCCACCTGAGAGGGTGAAGAACAGTGCATGATGGTACAGAGAGGTACAGAGCGGTTGAGTGGTAATGTTGTAATCAACTGTGGGGAAGAGTCTGTAGCTCTTATTGTGAAAGCCTGCAACATGCAAAGCGAGGTAACCACTAGGTGGAATTCTAATGCATCTCCAACGTCCGTTACCTTGGTCCTTAGGTCCGCAAGCACATCTGCCACCGTTGATTGCTTGGGCAGGCGAATGTTGTGCGATGATACCTGTGGAGGGCACAGCCAATGATTCACAGGAGGGCGCAAAGCACGAGTGGGTGAGATATGGGTAAGAGCAGGCTTGTGAGAAATTTTGAGTGGCATAAAAAATCACAGAACTAGGTGGGAATAAACAAGGTTGAGATTTACTTGCTCTGCCATGACACTACCCACCCGCCATGCAAATACCTATCCTCCCAGCCACATACACACACCACACACCCACCCATCCCTCCATGCACTCATTTCTCAACTCTCCTCCCAGCCACATACACACACCATGCACCCAACCATCCCTCCATGCACCCACCCATCCCTCCATGCACTCATTTCTCGACTCTCCTCTCAACTCCGTCTCCTCCCCTCCTCTCCCCTTGCCTCCTCCGCCTTGCTGTTGTGGAATGTAGTGTTGAGCGTCTTGAGCCGCTGCCGCTATTGAAGATACTAAGCATCCACACAGCACACAAGCTCACCTATCCTCCCCTCCTCTCCCCTCACCTCCTCCGCCTTGCTGTAATGGAATGTAGTGTTGAGCGTCTTGAGTCGCTGCAGCTTGCATGCACTCATCAATCCCACCATACCTTCATCCCCACAACATGCACTCCCCAAGCCGCATGCACCCATCTATCCTCCCTCCCTCACCTCTCCCTCCCTCACCCCCCCCTCCCTCACACCCCCCTCCCTCACCCCCCCCCTCCCTCACACCCCCCTCCCTCACCCCCCCCTCCCTCACCCCCCCCTCCCTCACCTCCCCCTCCCTCCCTCACCTCCTCCGCCTTGCTGTTATGGAATGTGATGTTGAGGGTCTTGAGCCGCTGCAGTTCGGGCAGAGGAATGTCAAGCGTCTCGAAATAGAGGATGTCCGACGACTGCAGTACAAGGGGGACAGTGGATGGGAACGCAGAGAGGGGGCAAGGGGGACAGGACAAATGAGAAGGCCGAATCTGTTTTTTGAGAATTCTTAAAAAGGAAAAAAAAAAACAAAAAACAAAAAACAAAAAACAAAAAAAAAAAAACAAAAAACAGAGGGGGCAAGGGACAGGGCGAATGAGAAGAAGGCAATGCAATGGCCTCCTGGGTGCGGTCCCTGGCCAGCTCGCATGAACGGGAACGACTTTTGCAGCCCACCTGGCTGTAATGCACGAGCATGTCCGTCAGGCTGTCCACCCCTCGGTACTTGATGGGCGGCGGCACTGAGCTAGATAGTCGGTAACCTACCCCAGACATACCCCATATGCCAATCCTACCCTCCCTGCCCACCTGGTTGTAGTGCACGAGCATGTCCGTCAGGCTGTCCACCCCTCGGTACTTGATTGATGGGAGGCGGCTTAGGAGGTCATGTGATCCTTCCCATATCCACCCACCCCAACCACTTTCCACCCACCCCTACAGCTTCCCTCCCTCTCACCCCTCCATCCCCTCACCTGGTTAGTGCACGAGCATGTCTGTCAGGCTGTCAGCCCCTCGGTACTTGATGGGAGGCGGCACTGAGTCAGTGTTATGACACCTACCCATGCCTCATACCCTGACATTTCCCATTTTCTTCCCACCTGGTTGTAATGCACGAGCATGTCTGTCAGGCTGTCAACACCTCAGTACTTGATGGGAGGTGGCTTGGCTTGGGCTGCTGAGAGTAGCAGCAGTGCATATGCTGCTGGGACACCTATCCCCATACCATATCCGAAACCCAAATGCTCTTACCCTCCATTCCCCCCCCCCCCACCCCAACCCACCTGGTTGTAGTGCACGAGCATGTCTGTCAGGCTGTCCACTCCTCGGTACTTGATGGGGGGCGGCTTGGGCTGCTGGGAGTAGCAGTTGTGTGTGGTGAGTCTGATCTTGGAAGGGTCGTCCAGGCCTATTTCCTCTGCCAGCCGTGCCACCACATCGTCGTACGTGTGCTGCTTGGAACTGAGAGGAGGGAGAGAAGGGGAGAAAGGGGGGGGGGGGGGGGGGGGGGGGGGGGGGGGAGGGGTATGAGTGTTGGAAGGGTCGTCCAGCCCTATCTCCTCTGCCAGCCTCGCCACCACATCGTCATGCGTGTGCTGCTTTGAGCTGGGGTGGGGACAGGAACAGAGGGAGGGGAGGACGGGGTAGCTACCTCTGGACACCTCTGAACACCTTGAGTATGACACGTTTGAACACCATTAAACACCTCTAAACTCACAGTTCCAAACAGAAGGCGTCCTGTTTTTGGCTTCTCCAAACAGAAGGCGTCCTGTTCTTGGCTTCTCCAGTCGCCGGAAGTGCACCACCTGCCAGTTCCGCACATACTCCAAGAACGCACTAGATACCTGTATTCTAGGGCACAGCTGGGCACAGCTGTATTCTACCTGTATTCTAGGGCACAGCTGGCCACAGCTGGGCACAGCTGTATTCTACCTGTATTCTAGGGCACAGCAGGGAGATCAACTCACTCACTTAAGGGTTTTTTTGAGAATTCTAAAAAAAAACCCTTCAGCATCACATACTCCAAGAACACACTAGATACCTGTATTCTAGGGCACAGCTGGGCACAGCTGTATTCTACCTGTATTCTAGGGCACAGCAGGAAAATCAACTCATTCACTTGAGTGGGGTTGGAAGAAAGTACTCACAGCTCGAGGCAGAAAGCATCTTCTTTGGGCCTCTCCAGGCGTCTGAAGTGCACCACCTGCCGATTCCGCACATACTCCAGAAAGGACGGCACGTCAGGGTACCTCACAGCACCACCTCCAACCGCACCCTCCAGCACCACCAGCAGCAGCACCCCCAGCAGCAGCACCATCTGAGGCAGGCGTGGGCAGGGAGGCGCGCTGCACGCAGACAATATCGCCATCCTCCAGCTGCCCGCCCTTGAACGTCACCTTGCGGTCCATGGCCTCGCACATCACTGCTGGATCAAACTTTATCTCCTGGGGAGGGGAGAAGGGGAGGGAGAAGAGGAGAAGGGGTGGAAGACGGGGAGTGGGGGGAGAGGGAGAGGAGGGGGAGGGGGAGGCGGAGGGGCATGGAGAAGGAGAGAAGGAGAGGTGGGTGGGTGGGCGGCGGCAGGGAGGCGCGCTGCACGCAGACAATGTCGCCGTCCTCCAGCTGCCCGCCCTTGAACGTCACCTTGCGGTCCATGGCCTCGCACATCACCGCTGGATCAAACTTTATCTCCTGCACCATGGGATGGGATGGGATGGGAGGGGGGACAAAGGTGGAGGGTTTGAGGGATATCCAGCAACCTTGCGGTCCATGGCCTCGCACATCACTGCTGGATCAAACTATCGCCTGGGGTGTTGAGGCGAGGGAGGGAAGGAGAAGGGAGCATGCAGGGAGAAAGACAGGAGAAGACGTCGGGTTGAATTAGCACCTTGCGGTCCATGGCCTCGCACATCACTGCTGGATCAAACTATCTCCTGGGGTGTTGAGGCGAGGGAGGGAAGGAGAAGGGAGCATGCAGGGAGAAAGACAGGAGAAGACGTCGGGTTGAATTAGCACCTTGCGGTCCATGGCCTCGCACATCACTGCTGGATCAAACTATCTCCTGGGGTGTTGAGGCGAGGGAGGGAAGGAGAAGGGAGCATGCAGGGAGAAAGACAGGAGAAGACGTCGGGTTGAATTAGCACCTTGCGGTCCATGGCCTCGCACATCACTGCTGGATCAAACTTTATCTCCCGGGGAGGAGAGAAGGGGAGGGGGAGAGGGAAGGCTGGATATGAGTGGCGGCAATTAGCACTCTCATCAACACACAGCGCTCCCCTCACCACATCGCACCACCACATCCCACTGCACCACACCATACCCCACTGCACCACACCACACCGCACTGCACCACACCCACAGCACCACTCCACACTGCACCGCACTGCACCACACCGCTTCGCACCCACTGCACTGCACTGCACCGAACCCACCCCACCACCATGCCACACAGCACCGCACCACACCACACGCACCTCAAACATCAAAATGTCCTCCGTGGGAGGAAGGCCACACATCTTGTTGATCTTCCCTCTCACGTCGCCCGGCTTCTGCCCGAGCTTCACAAACAGATGGCCCACGTACCTGCAGAGCAATTGCAGGAGAAGGGGGAGTAAGAGTGGGAAAAAAAAAAATCTCCTAACTAAGAGTATCATCTAACCAACAAAATGTCATTCTTTTGAGACCTAAGCATCGCTTACCTAAGCGTCTCAGTGACAGGATCGTAGAACTTGAAGAAGAGCAAAATGTCATCCTTGGCTCTCTCATGCAGCGGAACCAACGGCCGGTCCTGGTGCATCCAGCGAGGTGAAGGGGGGGGGGAATGGGCAGACAGGACAGAAAAAGTGTTAGAGAAGGATTATGAGGGGAGCAGATAGCATGGGCAGCAGCACAGCTTACAGGGGAGCCTTCTAGGAACAGGCGCAGGTCCAAAGTGTGTGCCTCACAAAATCGACATGGGCCTTGCTGACAGAGTCTCTGGGGGCCAACACATGGCTAGCTGACATACAGGGGAGGAGGGAGTGCCTTCTAGGAACAAGCGCAGGTCCACGGCGTGTGCCTTGCTGGCCTTTGGGTCGACTCAAAGGTCACCTCAGAACGTGGAAGCAAGGGAGGCGAGGGAACTTACAGGGGAGGATGGAGCGCCTTCTAGGAACAAGCGCAGGTCCACGGCGTGTGCCTTGCTGACCGAGTCCCTCAGTTGCCCCACCTGGAAAGAGCGAGTTGGAGAGAAGAGGGGAATGAGGCAAGGGAGCAGGGAGCAGAGGAGACCGCCGGAGAGGTGGTGCAGGAGATGAGAGAAAGGCAGGTCTATGGCGTGTGCATTGCTGACGAAACCCCTCAGCAGAACCCCTCATTTGAACAAGGAAGGCCTCCCCTCTCCTTCGCCACTCTGAAGCTCCTCACTCCCTCCATAACTCTCCCTCTCACTCTCTTTCCACCCACCTTCCACTCCCTCACTCCCTCGCTCTCTCACTCTCCCTACCTTCTTTTCACTCTCTCTCCCTCCCTTCCCCCCCTTCCTGTCTCACCGTCATGTTCTCCTCTTCAGCATTCAGCGGGCGATTAGGCCGGTACGTGTGGTTCTGCCGGCGTGCCCACAACCAGAACCGCTGCCCGGCCGCCGGGATCCCCAACTCCCTCTCCACGAGCGCCTTGAACTCCAAAAACCGCGTCTGCTTCGCCACGCGGAAGCTCCTGACACGCTCGTGGTCCACGAGGTCAAAGAAGAGGTCACGGCCGATCTGGTTGGAAAGGTCTTCGTCGCGCGAGACCTTGATGATTGTGAAGAGGTGGGCTTCGGCCTTCTCCTTGCGCTTGCGCTCCTTCTCCTCCTGCTCCCGCTTCAACCGCGCCTGGGGAGAGGGGGAGCGGGAGCAGCAGGGCAGACAGGAGGAGCGGGGGGGTCGGGCACAGGTAAAGGGACCAGGGAAGGTGGAGGAGAAGGGGGGGAAGAGGGGAAGGGGGGGGGTGGAAACTCCTCCTCCTCCTCCTGACACGCTCGTGGTCTATGAGGTCAAAGAAGAGGTCGCGGCCGATCTGGTTGGAGAGGTCTTGGTCGCGCGAGACTTTGATTATGGTGAACAGGTGGGCTTCCGCCTTCTCCTTGCGCTTGCGCTCCTTCTCCTCCTGCTCCCGCTTCAACCGCGCCTGGGGAGGGGGAGGAGAGGGGTTAGAGGCAGATGCTGACAGGAGTAGTGCAAATGGGTATACGTATGGATGGAGAGGGGAGATGCTACAGCCTCTCCCATCCTGGGGTGGCTGAGGGCGGCATTACCTGCACTGCCTTACCTGCACTGCCTTACCTGCACTGCCTTACCTGCACTGCCTTACCTGCACTGCCTTACCTGCACTGCCTTACCTGCACTGCCTTACCTGCACTGCCTTACCTGCACTGCCTTACCTGCACTGCCTTACCTGCACTGCCTAACTCGCTCACCCTAAGGTGCTGTGTAATGTCCTTCTCAGTCACGAGAACAAGCGCAGAGAATGCTGTCGCAAGCGCACACCTGGTCGCACACGTTCCCTAGCCTTTGCCTCACTCACTGCCTCACTCACTCACTCACTCACCCTAAGCTGCTGTGCAATGTCATTCTCAGTCACGTTGCAGAGGATGCTGTCCTGGCCGCACCAGAAATGCACCAGATGTGCACCAGATGTGCACCAGATGTGCACCAGATGTGCACCAGATGTGCACCAGATGTGCACCAGATGTGCACCAGATGGGCACCAGATGTGCACCAGATGTGCACCAGATGTGCACCAGATGTGCACCAGATGTGCACCAGATGTGCACCAGATGGGCACCAGATGTGCACCAGATGTGCACCAGATGGGCACCAGATGTGCACCAGATGGGCACCAGATGTGCACCAGATGGGCACCAGATGTGCACCAGATGTGCACCAGATGTGCACCAGATGTGCACCAGATGTGCACCAGATGTGCACCAGATGTGCACCAGATGTGCACCAGATGTGCACCAGATGTGCACCAGATGTGCACCAGATGTGCACCAGATGTGCACCAGATGGGCACCAGATGTGCACCAGATGTGCACCAGATGTGCACCAGATGTGCACCAGATGTGCACCAGATGTGCACCAGATGTGCACCAGATGTGCACCAGATGTGCACCAGATGTGCACCAGATGTGCACCAGAAGGGCACCAGATGGGCACCAGATGTGCACCAGATGGGCACCAGATGTGCACCAGATGTGCACCAGATGGGCACCAGATGTGCACCAGATGTGCACCAGATGGGCACCAGATGTGCACCAGATGGGCACCAGATGTGCACCAGATGTGCACCAGATGTGCACCAGATGTGCACCAGATGGGCACCAGATGTGCACCAGATGTGCACCAGATGGGCACCAGATGTGCACCAGATGGGCACCAGATGTGCACCAGATGTGCACCAGATGTGCACCAGATGTGCACCAGATGGGCACCAGATGTGCACCAGATGTGCACCAGATGTGCACCAGATGTGCACCAGATGGGCACCAGATGTGCACCAGATGTGCACCAGATGTGCACCAGATGTGCACCAGATGTGCACCAGATGTGCACCAGATGTGCACCAGATGGGCACCAGATGTGCACCAGATGTGCACCAGATGGGCCTGCCAGGTCCTTCAAAGCGGCACAACAGCCTCGCCTGCATCGCCGCGTGCCCACATCACATGCACTGCCTCTCACTCACTCACTCACCCTCAGGTGCTGTGCAATGTCGTTCTCAGTCACGTTGCACAGGATGCTGTCCCGGTCGCTCTCCCGAATGTACACCAGCATGTACGCGTTGCTGAACTTGGTGAACTTGAAGGGCTGATGGTTGAAGCCCGGATTGGTTTGGCTCAGCTGTGGTGGGTGACACAGAGAAAGGGAAAGGGAGGAGAAGGCATGCAAGGATAGGGAGGGATGGGTTGAAAATGGTGACAAAAAATAAAGGCACCCCCAGTCGCTCTCGTGGATGTACACCAGCATGTATGCGTTGCTGAACTTGGTGAACTTGAAGGGCTGATGGTTGAACCCGGGATTGGTTTGGCTCAGCTGGAGTGAGTGGGTGACACAGTGACACAGAGAAGGGAGTGGAAAGGAGCGAGGGAGGGATGGAGGAGTTAGTGTTAGAGAGATCTCTCAGATGCACACTACACGAGCATGTATCATACATGCATACATGATGTATGCATTGATGAACTGAAGGGCGGATGGTTTAACGTGCGTGCTTCTGCCCATTCAACTTTCCTTTACCAACTCACCTGTTCCTCTCCCCCTCACTTATTCTTCTCCCCAGCACCCCACCTGTTCATCTTCTCACCACCTTTCCCACCACCTCACCTCCTCCTCTCCTCCGTACTGCTCGTCCAACGCTCGCTTCACGTCCTCCTTTGTCACTCGCTCGTCGTCAAACTTGAACCTGCCCAGAAAGGAAAAAGTTTAGGGTTTAGGGATTAGGAAGGTGGGGTGGGGGACAGGGAGGAGAATAGGCAAGGATGGTTGGTTGGTTGGTTGGTTGGTTGGTTGGTTGGTTGGTTGGTTGGTTGGTTGGTTGGTTGGTTGGTTGGTTGGTTGGTTGGTTGGTTGGTTGGTTGGTTGGTTGGTTGGTTGGTTGGTTGGTTGGTTGGTTGGTTGGTTGGTTGGTTGGTTGGTTGGTTGGTTGGTTGGTTGGTTGGTTGGTTGGTTGGTTGGTTGGTTGGTTGGTTGGTTGGTTGGTTGGTTGGTTGGTTGGTTGGTTGGTTGGTTGGTTGGTTGGTTGGTTGGTTGGTTGGTTGGTTGGTTGGTTGGTTGGTTGATGCATGGCTGGTGGAAGTCAAACGGGTAGGGCACTGGGGCAAGATAATCAAGTCAGATGGTGATTATACAATTTGGAAACACGGCAGGAGTAGGCAGAGAGGCAGAAGGGATGGGGAGGGGGGGGGCTTTTGAGTCGACTCAAAAGTCACCTCGATAATCAAGTCAGATGGTGTTTATACACTTTGGAAACACGGCAGGAGTAGGCAGAGAGGCAGAGAGGCAGAGAGGCAGAATCGGGGGGGCGGCCGGGCAAGGTGCCACAACATCAGGGGAAACGTTGTTGAGAAACACACATGCAATCCGTCAAATCCTTGTGTAAACCTCTCAACACCTTCGTACCACTGCTCTGTGAGGTTGGGGCGAATGAATGCGTAGTAGTGCCCTCCGTGCACTCCCCCACTGTGTACCAGCACACTGCACGCACAGGCACAGACCACAATGCACAGAGCACAATGCACAGAGCACACAGAGCAGAGAGCAGAGAAGGAGAAAGATGAGGGGATTACTCATGCAACATACATAGTAGTACCCACCATGCACTCCCCCACTGTGTACCAGCACACTGCACGCACGGGCACAATGCACAGAGCATTGTTTTGAGACGTCTCAAAACACTTCTTTTATCACGTGAATGAATGCGTAGTAGTGCCCACCATGCACTCCCCCACTGTGTACCAGCACACTGCACGCACGCACAGAGCACAATGCACAGAGCAGAGAGCAGAGAGCAGAGAAGGAGAAAGATCAGGGGGTTCTCAAGAAAATAAAAAACAGAAGAAGAAGAAGAAGAAGAAAAAAAAAAAAAAATATATATATATATATATGTAAAAAAAAACAAAAAAAAAGCAGAACAAAACAAAACAAAACCCACGATGACAAAACATTTGCAAAACTCTAAATCTCCAAACCCCAAGCTCTCAAACCCACCTGTGAAGGAGGTAGTTGGCCACATTCCAGTCGCAGTCCGGTGTGAAGTACTTGCGATCTGCGCCGCCGACTATACATTCAAAACCCCAGAACCTCTGAAACCTTAAACCAGAACGCGCTTTGGAAAATCCAAACCCACCTGTGCAGCTGGTAACGGTTGCGCACACTCCTGTCGCAGTCAGGAGTGAGGTACTTGCGGTTCTCCCGGTCCAAATCGAGCTCCAGAGGGAACTCGTAGCGGTCGTTGATCTGGTGGTGGTGAGGGCGCAGGGGGACGGAGTGAGTAGGTAGGGGATGAGAGTGCGTAAGTGCGGTTTCAGTCAGGTGTAAGCTACTTGCGATTTTCCCGGTCCAAATCCAGCTCCAGAGGGAACTCGTAGCGGGCGGGCGTTGATCTGGCGAGGGGGTGAGGAAGAGGGTTCATGGGAGCATCCCAGGAGCAATGGGGACGGAAAGCCACGTGCAGTGAGGGTGTTTTTGAGACGTCTCAAAAACACCCTCACTGCACGCGGGCGTTGATCTGGCGAGGGGGTGAGGAAGAGGGTTCATGGGAGCATCCCAGGAGCAATGGGGACGGAAAGGAGGAGGCACGAGGAAAAAACGAATGCAGGACACCGTCCAAATCGTCTCGCAGCGTATTTTTGAGTCGACTCAAAAATACGAATGCTGGGCTGGACACTGTCCAAATCGTATTCAAACCGGGAACTCGTAGCAAATGTTGATCTAGTGAGGCGAGGGGGAGTGAGGGAGTGGGAGAGAAGGGAAGATAGTGGCGTCTCTGTGGTGTGTACCTTGACCATGGACACTGTCCAAATCGTACTCAAACTGCCTCAGCTGCAGCTACGTGGGCATGAACGGGCTACAGATGGGTGCCGTGCGGTGCAGCAGAGTGCCTTTAAAAATCCCATGGGTGTGCTCACGTACCTTGACAATAGTGTCTCTCATGAAGTCGTATTCAAAGCGCTTCAGCTGCAGCTATGTGGGGTAGAGATGAGTTCAGTGAGGTGCGGTAGGGTGCAGGCATGCCTGATCCTGCAAGTACCTTGACCATGGTGTCTCGCATAAAGTCGTATTCAAAGCGCTTCAGCTGCAGCTGCAGCACGGGAGGGAAGTCCACAAATAGCACTCCCTTCTTGGCGTCCTGCCAAGCCAAGTAACAGGTGGGTGGATAGTAGAAAGTAGAGCAACGATTGTCACGTTGGGAAAGAAGAGCAACATGTGCAATCTCAGGGCTGAAATGGCATCTCAGCACAAGCAGCTGCAGTTGTAATCCTTAAAAAGCTGTGGTAACAACACCAGCACCCTCACCTGCAGCCCGTGCTGCTCCGCGTGGTACTTGTTGTCACCATCCATCCAGCCTCTCCACCTCCACGTACTTGAGAGACACGAAGCTCTCTAGCACACTGTCGCCTGTCATGCATGCCCCACCTACCTACCCAATAGGGGAAGCAGCACCCAGGCATACCTGCAGCCCATGCTGCTCCGCGTGGTACTTGTCACCATCCAGCCTCTCACCTCCACGTACTTGAGGTGAGGGAGGGAAAGCGCTACCACATTGTCGCCTCCCTCGCATACCCCACTCAACCTACTTACTAGGGGAAGCAGCACCTAGGGTAGGTATACCTGCAGCCCGTGCTGCTCCGCGTGGTACGTGTTGTCGCCATCCAGCCTCTCCACCTCCACGTACTTGAGACAGGCAGCTGTAGACTAGACACACCTTCTTCGCATGCATACCTGCCATACACAGTAACCTGTAACGTAACCGTACCTGCAGCCCGTGCTGTTCCGCGTGGTACTTGTTGTCGCCATCCAGCCTCTCCACCTCCACGTACTTGTCAAAACTCGCATACACGTCCCGACACCCCTTCACGTCCAGCTGCAGGTCTGGCAACGATAAAGGGAAGGGCAGAAAGAAAGATTTTTTTTTTCTTCTTTTTTGGCAATGCCAAGATTGATAGAGGGAGAGAGATTCTGAAAGAAAAGATGATGCCCCAACATAGCTTACAGCACACCCCTGAAACTGCTTCTTTAAAGTGCCAAATACTCACCATAGAACGACTCCTTGCGCGTCGACTTGTAGTCCACATTGTCACACTCGATATAGTTCATCACGTGCCCTTCAAACAGCTTCTCGATCGTCCCCTCCACCACCGTCCCCTTCATCTTATCCTCCAGCTTCTCGCACAGAACCCGGTTCAACTCCTGCACGTCATGCTGCATAAACGAATCATAAGTGTCCCACCCGAAACTTTTAGTTAAGTCTTTCGTCGCCACGCTGGTGTCTGTGTACTGGAGCTTATAAAACAGGCTCTGGAGCGCGAGAGGGATGCTGCTGGAAGGTAGCTCGTTTTCAGAAGTCGGCATGTGGTAAACGGCTTTTCGAAAGAACGGGATATGGTAGAGAGTCTGAAGGAGAGAGTTCATGTAGCAAGTAGCCCCCTGGTTCTTCAGGCCGACGTATCCGGTCTCCTTTTTGGAATCGTACGCCCAGTAGTCCACGCGCACGTTCACTTCAGCCTCGAGGATCACTGAGTCGTTAACAAGGAAGCCCTTAGAGGGGTCGTAGAGGTCCTGCAGCGACATGAAGGAGGTGAAGCCCCAGTCGCTCTCCCTCGCACTGAACTGGTGGCTCGTGTCTGGTAGACAAGGTGGGGGGACGCACAGCAGAACACAGAGGCAAGCACAAGTCAGAACACAAGGAGAAGCCTTCATTCAACCCTTAGAAGGGCCGTAGGGGTCCTGCAGCGACATGAAGGACGTGAAGCCCCAGTCGCTCTCCCTCGCACTGAACTGGTGACTCGTGTCTGACAGACAGGGGGAAGCACACAGAAAACACAAGGGAGAACACAAGTTAGAGCACAAGGAGAAGCCTTTCGTTCAGACCTAAGAGGGGTGGGGTGGTAGAGGTCCTGCAGAGACATGAAGGAGGTGAAGCCCCAGTCGCTCTTCCTCGCACTGAACTGGTGGCTCGTGTCTGACAGACAGGGGGGAACGCAGAGGACAACACAAGGGAGAACACAAGGGAGAACACAAGTTAGAGCACAAGGAGAAGCCTTCGTTCAGCCCTTAGAAGGGTCATAGAGGTCCTGCAGTGCAGAGACATGAAGGAGGTGAAGCCCCAGTCGCTCTCCCTCGCACTGAACTGGTGGCTCGTGTCTGACAGAGGAGAGGGGGGTAGGGGACAGGGGGCAGGCAGGGGCGGAAGGGGGGAGGGGAGGAGGGGATGGGGAAGGATCGGCAGAGGAGGGAACGGGGAGGGGGGGAAGGACTCTCCCTCTGCGAATCTCTACCCACACAAGTGTACCTCTGCGCACATTCAACTTGCGGTCGTACTGGTTGATCAGGCACAGCACAAAGTGGGCGCTCTTGGTCCAGCCTCTATCCCTTCCTAACTCTCCTCATCTCTCCCTCACTCTCTCCATTCTTACGAGATTCCCTCTCCTCACCTCTGCGCACATTCATCTTGCGGTCGTACTGGTTGATCAGGCACAGCACAAAGTGGGCGCTCTTGGTCCAGCATCTATCCCTTCCTAACTCTCCTCATCTCTCCCTCACTCTCTCCATTCTTACGAGATTCCCTCTCCTCACCTCTGCGCACATTCATCTTGCGGTCGTACTGGTTGATCAGGCACAGCACAAAGTGGGCGCTCTTGGTCCAGCCTCTATCCCTGCCTAACTCTCCTCATCTCTCCCTCACTCTCTCCATTCTTACGATATTCCCTCTCCTCACCTCTGCGCACATTCATCTTGCGGTCGAACTGGTTGATCAGGCACAGCACAAAGTGGGCGCTCTTGGTCCAGCCGGGCGGCAGAGTTTGGGCATCTGCCACGTCAAGATACACTGACAGCTGCTCCGCTTGGTTGTTGCCACGTGGAAAGATCAGCAGCCGCCTGGGGGAAGGAGAGAGAGGGGAGAACGAGGGGAGAGCGGGGAGAGCGGGAAGGAGAGGGAAGAAATGGGAGGGGGGGGAGGAGTGGGGAGGGAGAGGGGGAAAAGGGAGAGGGGAAGGGAAAGGGGAGTTGTGGATGAGGGGTAAGGAGGGGGGGAGGCATCGTGACTGCAGCATCTGCCACGTCAAGGTACACTGACAGCTGCTCCGCTTGGGTGTTGCCACGTGGAAAGATGAGCAGTCGCTTGAGGGACGAAGAGAGCGGGGAGAAAGGGGAGGGAGGTGAGGGAAAGAGGGGAACAGGGAGGGAGGGAGGAGAGGAAGAGAGGGAAGAGAGAGAGAGGGGTGGGAAGCATGAGGGGTGAGGGGAGGAGAGGCAGAGTTGGCAGCATCTGCCACGTCAAGGTACGCTGACAGCTGCTCTTGGGTGTTGCCACGTGGAAAGATCAGCAGCCGCCTGGGAGAAGGAGAGCGTGGGGAGAGGGGGAGAGGGGAGGGAAGGGAGGGGGCGAGGAGGGCGAGGGGAAAGAGGGGATGGGACTCTGGGAGGAAGAGAGGGAAGAGAACGGGGGGGAGAAAACGGAGTGGTGCATGAGGGGTAAGGAGGGGGAGAGGCATCGTGACTGCATGCACCAGTTGAACCCCCCAACGGTGAAGTGAAGGTTGGCTTGGAGAAAATCTTGCGCTCTAAAAGCGCTCTGTGATCTTGGAGAAGTTTGTCAATCTGCCACCAAAGCGTGCGAGAAAAGAAGGGGTAGTACCCACCCATACCTATCCACCCACCCACCCACTCACCCCCCAACCCACCCACCCAGCAACACCCACGCACGCACCAGCTGTACCCTCCAACAGTGAAGTTGGGCTGGGAGTAGATCTTTCGCTCTGTGATCTTGGGGAAGTTGCCAATCTGCCACCGGACGTGCGCGAGTGGGGGGAGTCGTACTCCACCTAACTACTCACCCACCCACACACACAGACAGACAGACAGACAGACAGACAGACAGACAGACAGACAGACAGACAGACGCACCAGTTGTAACCCCCGACGGCGAAGTTGGGCTGCGAGTAGATCTTGCGCTCTGTGATCTTGGAAAAGTTGTCAATCTGCCACCGGAACGTGCGCGACAGCGGGTCGTCTGCAGGGGGGAGCTCGGGCCCCATGGGGGCGGGGGCAACCAGGCCTGGGGGAGACGCGTCTGTAGCGGGGGGGTCCGTGGGGGACTCGGCTGGTGGGGGGGTGAAGAGGTGCGGGGAGAAGGCACGGGGGGAAGAGACGAAGGGTGTGTTGTCAATCTGCCACCGGAACGAGCGCGAAAGCGGGTCGTCTGCAGGGGGGAGCTCGGGCCCCATGGGCGCGGGAGCGACCAGGCCTGGCGGGAAAGCGTCAATGGCGGGTGGGTCTGTGGGGGATTCAGCTGCAATACGGGGGGTGAAGGGGGAAAAACCAAGGGACTTCCTTCAACATAAGTTAAGCATATATCAGTTCGTGATGATTTTTGCGGCTCCTTGCAAATTGGATGTAGAGAGAGGGACACTTGAGTCGCACCCATCCCACCCCACATCCCTCCCACCCCACCCCACCCCACCCCACCCCACCTACCTTCCATGGAATCCAGGCCTCCGCGAGAGGCCAGTTCCCCGTCTTCCCCCGCCACACCGCTTCCAATTTGCGCTCCCGCCATCTCTTCCGCCATGTCCGCCGCCTCCCGCGCCTCCGCTTCCCCGCGGATCCGACCTGGCGGATCCGGTACCCCCATGTCCTGATCGCTGTCCCCGATAGAAGGAATCCCGCTGTCCTGCATTAGGACGTCCACAGCCGCGCCCTGGAGTCGCTGCTGCTCCTGCCAGGTGCACGCGAAAAAGAAAACGAAATTTATCATGTTCGGTTACAAATGGTAATATAGAAAAGTAACTTGAAAGAGCACGCATCACAGCACACAAACACAGATTCGACGCAGTCATATTTCTCGCATTCCGCGCGACATAACACTTATATTCGGGAGAGAATATGGGACTAAGTACCACTCTGTTCGTATCATGACGGTTACCAGCAAAGGTTGCTGATGCCAGAACCGAGGATATCGGCGGCAGATGTACGACAGGAAAATGATATTTTATTAACGTTCGGGATGCGCAGCGACCGCAAATACTTCGCAGAGTACTTTCACTGGCATGACTCGTTTGAAGCCTCTCTTTCCACCCAGGAAACCCTAAAATACCACACGTTTGTATGTCTCCAAAACATACGTCGCGTTATAAGACCGCAGATGGTGCGAGCCAAAGAAACGCTTAATTAAAACACCTAGCATATCCAGACTGCTTGTAACGTCCCCAACATCATTTAACTAACAGTGCACACATTAAAGCCGTCAATGTCCAACCAGACTTTCGAAAGACGCCGGTTATCGCTTCTGAAGTTGGAATAAGAACAACCAATCCTCTTACTTCCCCAGAATCTCTCCCCTGGAAAGACCAGGTAATGTCCATCTAGCACACCAACTGACGCTGCTACTCACCTTATTCGGCGGAACCTGATCATTCATACTCTCTTATTCCCCCGAGAGTTTCAAAAAACTCAAGAATCTGCTGAGAAACCATAAAATGTCCAACAAATGTCCCAACCGACGCTGTTACTCACCTCAGACGGCGGAACCGGAGCCGTCATACTCTCTTAGTTCCCCGAGTTTTCTTCTGCGAGAATAAAACGCACGGATCAAGACCCGCGACGCGGTATCAGCTACTTCCCTCGCCTGACTTACGACTCTAACGGTCGAGCTGCTTCAGCAGCCAACGACAACATATCCCCAGCCCACCCGCAGTGAGCGAAGCGATTCTCTCGTCCCGCGTCAGAAACTAGAGGCACAATACGCCTCGGCCTGTCGTAAGGAAAAAGGGAAGTTTAGGAAATCCGGACCTAAGGAATCATCTAGGACGTAAGTGGAGATTTCTGGAAGATCTGCCAGAGGAAATCCTTGTTGGGGAAAAAGGTACGCGAAAAGATTCGCGATGTCTGCTTCGTCATGTTACTCGAACGAAAATGCTGGTTTGCGCCTGTGTGGTTCGGGCCGTGAAAGCGTGCTGGAGGGTGTAGTGAACGTGTGGAGCAGGTCATTCGCGACTGTCGCTAAAACAAGCGCATGTTACACAAATCTTCCGCAACTCCATCAATCACACGTATAAGTGATAAAATTGCATCTACACTACACTGCACCTATTTTCCACTTTCAAGCCTCCAGCACCTTGGTTTTGCGCTTGATTAGCACTGACAGATTCACCGAGCCGCCATAATCTGAATCTCAAGCCTGCTACCTCACCATTGATTGCCTCATCAGTAGCTCTACCACCTTCACCCCAGCGTGCGTGTCGGAAACGTTCTCAACTTAGTAAGATTCGGGGATCACTTGTAGTAGTTTGGGAGCAATTAGTTACTCCATTGCGATTCACCCGTTGACGGACCTGTAGGTTTACGGCTGAAACAATATCCTGGGGCAGAGCTGTCTAGGGATAGACGAGGAGCGCGGATGATTAGACGACAGAGAAGAAAGCGCGGCGCGCCGAAGCGAATCAGTACTGCAGTTTATTAATCCAGCTGTTAAGACGGTTTAAAATACACTGTATTGAGTATAGTGTTGTGAGGAGCTGTTCTTCATCCTTCACAAGCATCGCAGCCTGTAACAGCGAGGATGAAGGTCAAGATTCTCGGTGAGCTATGATTCGTTCGTTACCATGATTTCGTCGGTTACAACCATTGGTCCGTTGTGGCGACTGCTGAGGCAGATTTTGCCGTCATGGTCGCCACTGGCCACATTCTAGACAGCCGCGTATCTGACATCACTTTTAAACACTCCCCCTCTCCGTCCCCCCTCCTCCTCCTCCATCCTCATCCTCCTTTGACCCCTCTCCCCTCCCACCAACCCCTTTTTCCCCCTCTTTCCCCCTCATGTCCACGACCCCCCTTCACGCCATGGTTTCGCTCAACAACACAGGGTACGTCCACGAAAACTTTTGTTTTTTTAAGAAAAGGTTTGCAGATACGGAATGGAATGCTACGTTTCGTTCGTGGACCTGGCCTGAACATTTACTTTTCTTTTCTTTTCTTTTCTTTCACATTGTTCGTCATTCCTGTCCTACCCTTCCCTCCTCCCTTTTTAACCAGATGGCATGCAGTGGCATCATGGACATGGGGCGCGCAGGATGACTCGTGCGGCATTTGCCGCATGGCCTTTGATGGCTGCTGCCCCGACTGCAAGATGCCTGGCGACGATTGCCCTCTCAGTGAGTCATTTTAAGAGGCATAATGTGTAGTCTCCCCTGTCGCAGCATACAGTATCGCTTGGCGTTATGTATTGGCCTTTGATGGCTGCTGCCCTGACTGCAAGATGCCTGGCGACGACCGCCCCCTCAGTGAGTCCTAGCAAAGTTGTCCTTATCTCAATGTGGAACATTGCGTGGAAATACGCAGTATAAGTAGGTTTTGTGTTGAGTCATGTGCCTTGTACCTGCACTGCCTTTTCAAGTGGGACAAAGTAATAAAATATCATTTGCCGCTGAAGTTTGTCTTACCCGTTCCTCTCTGCCTGTGTTTGTGGTCTGTAAATGGGTGATGCAGTATGGGGTATGTGCTCTCATGCCTTCCACCTGCACTGCATTCTCAAGTGGGTCAACTCGCAGTCTCCCCGCCCGCTGTGCCCCATGTGCCGGCGCGAGTGGCGTTTCAGAGCTTAAGATGGGACTTCTCTTCTTGTAGTACCTATAGACTCCCTGCGTCTGCAGCGAAATGAAGCTCATACGGTCTTATGTAGACCCACGCATGCACTGCTTTCTCAAGTGGGTCAACTACCCCAGTCCCTCCGGCGCCCTGTGCCCTATGTGCCGATGCGAGTAGCACTTCATCTCAAGTACTAAGTGGCTTAGGATCTGAGGGAGAGTAGTGGTTGGGGTAGGGAGAGGAGGGGGGTACAAGAAGAATGTTGAGAGTTTGACATGTACCCCCTAGGATGCACCTCACTACAGCATACCCAATGTATACAAACATAGTTTGACACTTCAGAGCACAAAAAAGGGCCTTCACTTCTGTCATCCATGCTAACCTTGAAGAATCCTGCAATGTACATGACTTAAGTTAGAATATATACACTCCCCCCTTTTGCGTATCCCACATCTACAACCTCTCGGAGAGGCAGATCATCCAGCGAGGCTGGAGAAAGGAAATAACCGATCTGGGACCGAAACGAAAGTGAACAAAGAATGTTGTCATGTAGATGAAGTGGGAGGATCTCTGAAACGAGCTGGTATGTGAAGTTGGCTCAAATTTCAAAATGCTGTTACGCTGGTGGAAGGGTGGGGTCTCTGACAATCTGTGGCTGGAAGTCTGGGCGGCAGTATCGGTCCAAAAGATCTCGGTACATCTCGTACCGGGCGGTCATCTGAAAGCCCCACTTGTCCCGCACCTGGGGGAGAAGTTGGGGGAAGGGGAGGTTCGGAAAGTGATGTGACTCAATACAAGAAGATGCATTTGTACTGGGCAGTCATCTGGAAGCCCCACTTGTCCCGCACCTGGGAAGAGGACGGGGAGGTTGTGTGGGAAATGTGTGTGGGGGAGGGATGAGGGGCGGGGAGCGTATCAGTCCAAGAGATCCCAATACATCTCATACCGGGCGGTCATCTGGAAACTCCCACCTGGAAGAGGAAAGAGGGGGTTGTGCAGGAAATGTGTGAGAAGGAGTGAAGGGCGGGGGAAGCAGGAGGGGGGGAGGTTGATGTGACTCAAGGCAAGCAGTTATGTTGTAGTGGGCGGTCATCTGAACGTCCCACTTGTCCCGCACCTGGAGAGAGGATTGGAGGCGGGGGAGGGGGAAAGAAGAGGAGGGAAGGTTTGGGGAGTGATGTGACTCAAAGAAAGCAGAAATGGAACGTAGATCCTAGTGACAGCGGTTGAGGTCCAGATTGTCTAGAGACAGTGGGGGTGAGCGAGTGGAACAAACTGTTACCAGAAGTCATGCATCTGCCACACCCCTGCATCCCTCCCTCCCGTTCTCTCCCACTTGGCGGCACAGTTTGAGGTCCAAACCAGCAATCATGAGCCCATCGCACCCCCTAGAGGCAGCGGGGGTGTGCACAGCACAGCACAGCACAGCACAGCACAGCACAGCACAGCACAGCACAGCACAGCAGAGCAGAGCACAGCACAGCACAGCACAGCACAGCAGAGCACAGCACAGCACAGCACAGCACAGCACAGCACAGCACAGCAGAGCAGAGCACAGCACAGCACAGCACCACACAGCACAGCACAGCACATTCAGAGCCCCAGATTCATTCCCTTCCCTCCCCCTGCTGCTCTCATTCACCCACCTGCCGGCACAGGTTCAGATCCAGATCGGCGATCACGAGCCCGTCCCAGCACCTCGAGGCAGCAGGGGTGCGCGAGGCAAGTCCTTCACTTCAGAATATCCATAATCCGTCCATCTCATTCACCCACCTGTCGGCACAGGTTGAGGTCAAGATCAGCGATCATGAGCCCGTCCCAGCACCTCGAGGCAGCAGGGGTGCGCGAGGCAAGTCCTTCACTTCAGAATATCCATAATCCATCCATCTCATTCACCCACCTGGCGGCACAGGTTGAGATCCAGATCGGCGATCATGAGCCCGTCCCGGCACCTCGAGGCAGCAGGGGTGCGCGAGCAAAAGAGGTGATTCCCTGCAACCCTGCTCTTTCCCACCCACCTGCCGGCACAGGTTGAGGTCCAAATCGGCAATCATGAGCCCGTCCCTGCATCTTGAAGCAGCAGGGGTGCGCGAGCCATCAGGAGCAGCGAAGTAGGAGGAGCCGTAGAAATGCCCAAAGTCGCTGTGGGCGGGCCGGCAGTCCCCCGAGGTGAAGGCGTGGGGGAAGGTCTCAGTGCCCACGCGGTTGATTGCCCCCACGAACACACTGTTGGCTATGGCTGCACATCGTGCCTGCAAAAGTGGCGGGTGTGCGTGTGCAAGGCCCCAGCAGAAAGTGACAGGGAAGCAAGGGAAGGGAAAGAGCGATCTGATATTTTTTCCAGTCATCCAGAAAACCCACTGAGAGCGAAGCGGGTTGGTGTGTGCCAGCCGGCAATCCCCGAGGTGAAGGCGTGGGGGAAGGTCTCGGTGCCCACGCGGTTGATTGCCCCCACGACACTGTTGGCTATGGCTGCACATCGTGCCTGGTGGGATCGGGGGGAGTAAGGAAGGAAAGAAATTCACGCGAGAAAAAAAAACAAGGGAGAAAAAAAGAAGTTGAGCTGGTGGAGGCAGAAATGCATCTTCACAACCCCATTCTCCCCCCCAACATCCCCTTTTCCACCCATGCTCCCCCCTTCGTCCTCCTCCTCACCGCCCCCTATGGTAGCAGAAGGGTTGAAAATGATCTCTGCGCAGTTCAGTGCAAAGGCCATCCAGATTTTGACAACCTGCTCTCAGCCCTTACCCCACACCTTCTCCCGTAACCTCACCTGCTTTTGAGTCGACTCAAAAGATTGACAACCTGCTCTCAGCCCTTACCCCACACCTTCTCCCGTAACCTCACCTGCTTTTGAGTCGACTCAAAAGTTTGACAACCTGCTCTCAGCCCTTACCCCACACCTTCTCCCGTAACCTCACCTCTATGGGCCACAGCGGTTCACCGAGCCCTCCCAAAGTGGCAGACGGGTTGAATACGATCTCCGCTCCATTCAATGCAAACGCCGTCCAGTTGAAGGGGTGGTGGCGGCCGTAGCAGATGTTCCCTCGGCTTCTATTTTCCACCTACCCACCCTCTTCCACCCATAACCTCACCTCAATTGGCCACAGGGGTTCACTGAGCCCGCCCACCGTAGCCGATGGGTTGAATATGATTTCTGCTCCGTTGAGAGCAAACCCCATCCAGTTGAGGGGGTGGTGGCGGCCGTAGCAGATGTTGACTGCCACTCGCCCAAACTCCGTCTCAAACACCGGATGGCCCGTGTTTCCTTCCATGTAGTACGTGCTCTCGTTAAAATCACCCACCCGCGGAATGTGATTCTGGTGAGGGGCGGGAGTGAGAGGGCATCAAGAAGAGGAGGAGAGGGAGGGGACGGTGTGACGGTCGGGAGAAGAGAGGAAAGGGTAGGTGTTGGGGTGTGAGTGGAGGGCGAAGGAAGGCCATCCAGTTGAGCAGGTGGTGGCGGCCGTAGTAGATGTTGACTGCCACTCGCCCAAACTCCGGGTGGCCCGTATTGCCCTCCATGTAGTAGGTGCTCTCGTTGAAATCACCCACCCGTGGGATGTGATTCTAACGAGGAGGCGGGGGAGGGGATGGCGTGAACAGTAACTTTGAGAATCCTCAACTGCGAAAGGAAGGGATAGGACATGAGTGATTGGTATATCCTTAATTCACTTTTGCTGTCCCATCATCCAGACACATCCCCCACACCAACAGTGACTTCCCCAAAAATCCACAAAATATTGCTTGATGATAAAAGCAGCCTATATAAACCTCTCATTTCCTTCTTCCCCTTCCCCTCCCAACCCCCCCTCCCCACATAACTCGTCTCACCTTGCGGTGCTTCCCAATGATGTTCCCTTTGTTGCCCAAGATAATGGCAGTGTTTCACACCACACAGTGTCACCGTGAGTCACATCCCTTTCAAGCATACTCAAAAGACCCCTTTTCCCCCCTCCCCACCCCCACAGTGACTTCTCTCACCTTGTGGTGCTTCCCAATAATGTTCCCTTTGTTGCCCACAATAACGGCAGTGTTCCACACAGTGTCGCCGTGAGTCACATCCCGTTCAAGCACATGGCTTATAATCACCATGTTGTGCCTTCTTGCCAGTTCACACACCAGCGCCACTGTCGGCCCTGCCTCTCTCCCCCTCAAGCCACCAGCACCACCGCCACCACTACCGCTCCCCCCACTGCTTCTGCTGCTGCTGTTCCCAGTACCGTTACACCCCATCCCGTTATTATCACCCCCGTTACTGCTACTAGCCTCCGGAACCACCTCTGCAAACTCGCACCAGTGCTTCTCCCGGGTACAAAACGCGAAGGGCATTGGCCACGCCTCCTGTAGGCACAGGATATTGACTCCGCACGATGCTGCTATGTCGATCATCTCTGACACACGGCTCATGATCGCGCTGCGCTGCTCCGCGAAAGGCGCTGTGGTGGGAAGCACGATTCGGTTTTGCACCAGGGCTGCTCGGATGAAACGTGGCCCCCGAAGCTGCTCGCGTGCAGCGCCGAACTTGTAGGCCTGGCTTGGAAAGCATGGAAATTTTTGACAATTTTGCAAAAACATGTCAATATGATCAAAATTGACGAATTGATGGTGTAGGAGCGGTTCAAGGCGAAAACGCTTGAACTAATAAGCATAACCAACGGGCAGCAAGTAGTTCAAAAACACCATAATTGCATCAAACAAACCAGAATTACCTGCAGGTCGAAGTCGAGCCGCTGTGCTGCCTCCGTTGCTGCTTCCGGGAGGGTGACTGAAGAAACCAACCCCTCACCATTGGAATGGCCGTGAAGGACGCGAAGGGCCTCCTGCTCACAGCCAATAATGGACAGATACCCCGAGCTTATAATAGCCTAAGCTTATAATGCATTTTTCAGGGGAAAGAGAAATGAAATCAACGAATCAAACTTCCTGAATCTGCAAGGCGTAGATACCTCGAGTTTATCCTTGGGAAGATGAGCCTTCAGCATGGCTTCCAGAGTCTCGTGACCGCACAAGGACCCATCAAGAGGCGACGACGCTGCATCTGTTGCACAGTCGCTAGCCATGGACACTAACTCGATGCAATCAGTTTGAAGTATCACCTTCTATGCAAGGCTCTAGTAATGGCTGAAAGAAAGCTGTACTATGTACGGAATGAGGAGAGGGCGGACGGTAAGGAAGTGGGTTGTGGACCAGAATTTCGTCAGAACAATACTGAATGTTGTAATGCAAGAACCTGGCTGCGTTCTGCGGGCGCATCAGCTCTGATGCGTCTGAGGCTCGGCCTGATGCGCACATTTAGAAATTGAGGTTCGGAATTCACGAATTGCACATTTAGAAATTGAGGTTCGGAATTTTCGAGTTGAGGTTCGGACAATCTGACGAAATTGAATTTTGGTCAGGAAATTAGAAAATCAATTTCCTGACCAACTCGCACATTTTAGATGTTATAGGTTTCTCGGATGCTTCTTGTTCGGGAAATTTCGACTTGGCCAAACTGTTTGGCCAAGAAGGTTGCAGCGCATCAGCTGATGCGCGCATGATGCTCGTTTTCGAAGTTGCATCATGCGCGCACCAGTGACATCACGGCCCAGTTCGGCAGCCAGGGGGAAGCAATTTTGTAGGAAGGTTATGGGAAGGTGAGGCTCGCGTCAAACCAGGGTCAACGAATTTCGACCCTGGGTTGACTGTACCGCGGAAAACCTGCGCCATGGGGGAGCTGGCGCAGAATGGAGGGGGGAATGGGAAAAAGCGCCGCAGGAGAGAGGCACATTTGGCCTCAAATGTGCTTGCCCCAGGGCACTGTAGCGGGAACAGAAAGGTTCGCCAGAGAAAAACAAAAGATTTGCGCCCCATGCTGTTGGGGAAATCCAACTTTCAAAAAACGAACAATGTGTTTTTTAATGCAGTAACCCTTTCCTTTGTTGGGTCCAATGTTGGCCCGTGAACAGTGAACTCAGGTGGAATCAAAAAGTTGATTCTTCTGTTTACAAAGAATCACTTTCTTCTTCCGTCTCACTAGGGCGGAACCTTTCCGCCATGAGGGGGAGAATAAGGACAGAAGACGGCGCGGAAGCAATGTTTGGAGGTGTTCGCGTCGCTGCTGCTAAACACCTGCGCTTCGATTTCCGGAAAGTTCCCTACAGCCCGTACTGTTTTGCCCTCGATATTGCGATTAGAAGCTTCGAAGAAGACGGAAAATTTTTTCTTCCGCCTTTCTTCCGTGGCTGCCGAACTGGGCCCACAAGTTGCTAGGAGAAGAAGCTTCCTGGAACACAGTGACATTACAAATTTCGGAAGCCAAGAAGGCCGTTCTGCAGGCATTCGGCAGAACTGTGCTTCGGTGGCCATGCGCTTATCGCGAACCTTCATAACATGTCGGCAGGTTATCACAGAAGGGTCGTAGAGCCATGGTTGAAAGCATCAATGTACATTGATGCGGGCTGATGCGCCCGCAGAACGCAGCCCCTTGGTTGCAGCTTTCGCGCAGCTGATGTGTGAAATTGCTAGGATGTGAAGAAATGGATGAATACGGGCCATTTTCAGGTGCGATCCACACTTGCCGAGAAATCTACTCATGTGCGATCCATGTTATTTTGCAAGTACGAGCACCCGAGTCAGTTTTAAATCTTGCTGTCTAAAAACTCATTTATCCGAGATCCGATTAAAAATTACACAAACAGTTGGAATCAGAAGCGATTTCGAATCACGCCAAGAAAAATTCGAATGGTCACATCATTTTGGCACAATTTCGACGACTAATTCTGCTTCGCACTAGAATTTCATGAAAGAACAATTATGCCAGATCAGCTGTATTGTTGAGCTGCGCAGGGCAAATCAGCATTCCCTTCATGGGCGTGCACCACGAAACACGAAAAAAGTGCCCGGGTAATGATAAAATTATCCCTTGCCGTACTATATACCCCGCTGGTTTTTTCTCGCACTAGACCACGCTCCATTTTTAGGGGTTAAATATATATATACATATTTTTATGGCAGCGTCGTCTACTGCGAAAAAATATCCAGCTGGTTATTTTTAAAGTGAGGGTAAACTTCATTATCAACCAGACAGTTTCTCGTGTTTTGGGGTGCACGCCCAAGAAGGGAATGCGGAAATGCCCTGCGCAATATTCGTCATTTGTGTCAACAGTACAGTTGATTCGGCATAAAATTCCTTTACAAAACTTCTTAGTGCGAAGCAGAATTAGTCGTCGAAATTGTGCCAAAATGATGTGACCATTCGAATTTTTCTTGGCGTGATTCGAAATATCGCCTGATTCCGACTGTTTGTGTAATTTTGAATCGGATCTCGGATAAAAAAAGTCTTTAGACAGTAAGTAAAACTGACTGGGGTGTTCGTACTTGCAAAATAACATGGATCGCACATGAGTAGATTTCCTGGCAAGTGTGGATCGCACCTGAAAATGGCCCGATACAAATGTGTGAGGAAGAGATGAGAGGTGGTCAATAACTCAACCGAGAATGTGATTGGAGCGGAAATGCCTTTCCTTCACGCGATTGGTTGAAAACGGCAATGGAAGTTCGCACTGTAGCGAAAGCTCCGAACAGGCAACCAATGAGAGAAATTTTAGAATGTCAGCCTCCTGATCAGCTGACTCACACGCGTCAATGCCAGAGTGGACGATGCCGTTGGCTGGTAACTATGATGCCGCTCGCGACAAAAGTGCTCCCACGAACAACTCCAGTACTGTCGTCACAAAGAAAGTTACCAGTCCTACTCCCCTTGAGATCGGTGCGAAGAGTTACCAACAAATGTGAACTCTAAAAGTGCTGGAACACACTATGTTCGTCTCAAAACAATATTTTGGAGCAGACCTAACTTAGGTCTCGCTCTGTATATCACTTGGAATCCTCCACTCACGCTGGTGATCTCTGAGCCTGATGTAGAAGCTTTCCCGTGCTCGTGACCCACTACCTAGGGTCCAAACCCCGTACAGCGGCAGCAACAACAAGCATTTCTTCCTGTCAGATCCAGGTGGCTCGTTTCACGCTGGTGAATTCGTACGGGACCAAAGCATGCAGGTCTCTCCTGTGCAGTTCGCGTCCATTCTGTCCGGATTTTCTGCATTGTCGGCCTGGTGAGAGTTCCGTAACCGGTCACTCCTTGGTTCATCACCACTGTCATTAGCCTCATTAGCAAACAGAACCAGTTCTCAGTTGTCTCAAAACGCGTCAGTGGTACCTGGAAGGAACCCTTAATGAGGCATGACAAGCGATTACGGAATCCTTCATTGTGGCTAACTAGTCCCTGATTTTCGTATTCTTCTCATTGCGTGTCCTCGATATCCAGATTCTCCAACCAAACCACCCCTTCGAGTGCCCTAATCCCCCACTCAGGTACGGCTACATGTTTGGAAAGGAATCTGCCAGGAAGGAGCTGGACGGGAAGATTACTGAGCTGAGACAGAGGGTAAAGCAGTTGGAAGAAGGGAAGATGGAGAACACAAGCAGATGATAATGACTTCACTTTATAGTTGGCTCTGAAACTAAGCAGCGGCTGATAAGGGAGAAGGGGAGAAGGTGGAGAACTCCACAAACTGATGACTTTACTTGAGAAGTGACTGGAATGCTACCCAGCAGCTAGAAAAAGGAGAGGCGGAGGACTAGGAGCTTTGAGCCGACGCAGAAGCCACAGCAGCTCGCAAAGGGTTGCGGAGGATGCAAGCAGCCGCGGCAGCCTGAGATTATAAGGGGCCATGATGCCTCAAACTAACGCTGTTGGAGCAAACACACTCCGAGGTGTTTGTTTAGCAGGGAATTTGCAAAGAAGGAGCTCGAAGGCAAGATAGATGAGGGTGAGGGTGAGGATGAGGAGAATGGGGCCAGCATTTGAAGAATCCATCATAGCCAAAGGACACAGTATCTGTGCGACTCTCTTTGGTGACAGCACCAAGCGAAGCAGGAGTGGAGTTACCAGTGTAGGGCTTGGATTGGAAGCACCTGTGAAGATAGCATTTGATGCTGGCATGGCGTCAAGCTTGGCAGCTGAACCCAGCACAGGTGATGCATACAATGAGCAGAGTAGGGTTTAGGCACCTACAGTCTACAGGACAACTGGTGAAAGCGTTGTCATAAGCCCAGTTATACTGTAGCAATTGGCCCTGCCTCGGACTGCTAAGCGCATACACAGAAGTCTTGGCATTGTTTCAATCAGCAACAAACAAGGCTAGAGTGTACAAGAGTGCCAACTTGCTGAAATAGTCTAGGTTTTCACAAAATTTTATCGATAAACAGCAACTCCATGCTCCAGAAAATTGCTGAGTAGAGAAGCACCTGCAATCATGCACATTGAAAGTCCGTCTTGTCACTATCAGCATCGCTTCAGCAAAGCTTGACTTTATTACCATGTGGTGCACCTATACATACACATCTGTGTATACACTTCCGTTTCCATCGATTTCTTTTTAACAAGCCTCAACAAGAATCAGCTGGAGGGACCCATGATCGCCCACGGAGTACTGCCACTCCCATGTAGGCCTCCTGCCAGGAAGCTTCTCCAGCCTTGTTTGCATGGCTCCTGATGTGGAGGAGAGACACAACAAAAAGGTTTACAGGAATGAATTTTGAGTACAGAACACTCACTATAATTCCCCAGAAAATACCCTGTTGGGCAATCCAAACAGCCGCAATTCCACGTGCATATTCAACCCCGATGCGTCTAGCCACTCTGCATCGTTCACCTGTTTCTGACGCAAACACGACCATCCGGTGCCCCTCAGGCACGTCAAAGACGTGATGGCTCATCTCCACATCCCTCGCTTCAATTCCTCTCACATCTAACCCCATCGCATTAAACCACTCCAAACCGCTCACCTGTTTCCGGCGCAAACACGACCATCCGGTGCCCCTCAGGAACGTCAAACACATGATCGCCCACAATCTCCACATCCCTCGCCTCAAACTCCGCATCACCGCGCAGCACCACTCTCAACGCCTCCTTCCTCTCCACCTTGTGCTGCCAATACACGTTTGCCCCGTTCTCCCAGTCCACTCCCTTGTTGGTAACCGTCACGTTGTGTAACCGGCACCGGCCACAGCCTTGGCCTAGCTGTGTGGTGCCGGATTGAGGGTCCAGAGAACCTGTGACTGCATCGGCCTCAATCAACAAGCTCCCAGATACCTGCATTGGGGAAGGAGGGTGAGGCGAATGGGGAGTGGGGGCAATGGTGGGTGAGAGTCCAGATAACTGCATTGGGGATGGGTGCGCGGGTGGAGGCAATGGGAGAAAAGCAAAAGGAGGACTTTTGAGTCCACTCAAAAGCCACCAGGCAGCTTTGGTCAAGCTATGTTCAGCCCTGGCCTAGCTGTGTGGTGCCGGATTGAGGGTCCAGAGAGCCTGTGACTGCATCGGCCTCAATCAACACGCTCCCAGATGGTGAGTGGGGCGAATGGTGAGTGGGGCGAATGGTGAGGGGGGCGAATGGTGAGTGGGGCGAATGGTGGGTGAAGGTCCAGATACCTGCATCAATAAACTCCCGCTGACTTAGTTTGACTCGCATTGACCCTGCTTGCCTCCCAATGACCCTATTACACTCCCAATTCCCCTAATGACTCACATTGAACCTGGTTGTGAACTCACATGCACGTCAGACCACGGAAGCTCAGCTATCTCCAGCTTCACTTCAGAGTGTGACCACGTCAGACCACAGAGTTTTTTCCTGTTGACCCACACTGACTCTATTTGACTCCACTTCCCCTGCTTGACCCGCATTGACCCTGTCTGACTCACATGCACGTTGGACCACGCGAGCTCAGCTATCTCAAGCTTCACTTCAGAATGCGGAGGCACAGCAATCCTGTTGACTCGCATTGACCCTGTTTGAACCCACTACACATGGTTGACTTGCATGACTCACATGCACGTTGGACCACGCGAGCTCGGCTATCTCCAGCTTCACTTCAGAACGCAGAGCCACAGAACCTCCCTGCACCTGCAGCCAGCCAGATCAGGAACACATGGGCAGAGGCAAAACGAGGCACACGGAATTCTAAGAGGTCTCAAAGCTCAGCTATCTCCAGCTCCACTTCCGAACGCGGAGCCACAGAACCTCCCTGCACCTGCGGTCGACACACAAGCGCAAGAACAGGGACAAGGAAAGAGGTCAAAACTACAGGGATGAGCGGGAAGGAAAACAAACCTTCTCAGAAGCAACTGTAACTGGACTCAAGAATCAGTTGAGCAACTTTTGAGGTACAGAGGCTGTAACTTCTGCGGGAGGACACTCGGGTGCGAAAGCATGTGGCAGCTGAAAAGCGTTTCAAAGGCAGAATTTCGAAGTGCTTGACCATGGGCGGCAGATGTGCCATTTGTGTGTCGCCGTACCTTTTGCCTGATGACGCTCCATAGCGGGCCAAGGGCGGGGTGGAAGAGGAAGATGAACGGTGGAGATGAGTCCACGTAGCGCTTGTGATCGCTGTGCATCTGATGGGGGCAGAGGAGAGAGTGGAGAGAACGGCAGGAGAAGGAAAAATAAAGGGACGATAGAAATAAAACAGAGGGAACGAGTCGCGCATGGAAGAAACGAGCAGCAGCAGCAGCAGCAGCAGGGGGAGGGAGTTGCCAAAGGTTCGTCGGGGCATGACCCCACAACGCCACAACAGGCACTCACATGCGGCATGGCGACACCACAGGAGGAGAAGAGCTCCAGCGAGTTGCGGTTGAGGTCCAGGAAGGAGCCGTCAGGGGTCTGCAGGAGGGGGAGAGATGAGCAAGCGTACAGGGTTAGGGCGAGTGAGGGGAGGAAGAGGAGCTCCAGTGAGTTGCGGTTGAGGTCCAGGAAGGAACCGTCTGGGGTCTGCAAAAGCACGTAAGTTGGGGAAAGGGAGGGGGAAAGGGAAGGGGAAAGGATGGGCAAGGATACAAGGTAAGGGCGAGTAAGGGAAGGGGGGAAAAGAGCTTCAGCGAGTTGCAGTTGGGGTCCAACAAGGAACCGTCTGGGGTTTGCAGCAGCGCGGTGGGTGGGTATGGCATTGCACAGAGTACAGAGTGACATGCGGGAATCGGGCATCGGGCTAGTGGAGCAAGTGGGGCAAATGGGGCAAGTGAAGCCAGTGGGGCAAATGGGGCAGTATGGAGGTCACTTAGCGGCAATCGTTGTACACCAGAAACGTGTTCAGCACAACCTGCACATGTCTCCGGCTATCCTCTCCATCACCCACTGCCCTCTGCCCCACTGCCCTCTGCCCCACTGCCCTCTGCCCCACTGCCCTCTGCCCCACTGCCCTCTGCCCCACTGCCCTCTGCCCCACTGCCCTCTGCCCCACTGCCCCCCACTGCCCCTCTGCCCCACTGCCCCTCTGCCCCACTGCCCCACTGCCCTCTGCCCCACTGCCCCTCTGCCCTCTGCCCCACTGCCCAGACCCAACCGTACCTGGTGCAGCGAGGTGTCCGTTGGCTTGCGGCGGCGCTTGGCGGAGGAGGTGACTTTGCGGCGGTCGTTGAACACCAGAAACGTGTCCAGCACCGCTTGCACCTGCCTCCTGCTCTCCTCTGCCGCACTGCCCTCTGCCCTATCTTCCCACGTCCCAGTGTTCTCTGCAGCAGTACCCCGTTCGCCCTTCACCTGTGCTCCTCCGCGCCCCTCCCTGCCCTCCTGAGCGGTGGCTTGACCGTTATGAGCTGGAGAAGTCGAAGTGGCAGCAGCAGCTGTATCATCGGTGTCAAGAGGTAGACGGTGCGGGAGGGTGGTGACGAGGAGATCGGCAATGTTCTGCATTGTACACTCCAAGCGGCCGCCTCGGATGCTGTGATGAACAAGAAGGCAAGAGAGGGAGCAAAAAAAAAAAAAAAAAGAGGGGGTGGGGGGGGGGGGGGGGGGGGGGGGGGGGGGGGGAGAGGGAGGGGGAAAGAGAAGAGGAGAAAAGAAACGAATCATGACTAGATACATCCCCTAAAAAACAGAAAGTTTGAATAAATGGACGGGCCCATGCGGCAGCAGACACAGAAAGATGCGGAGAGAGGAGAAATCTTGAACACAGCGCTACTCACCTCTGAGTGCGCCCGTAGCAGTCTTCAAACGAGATTGACTTCTTCAGGTTCATGATCATTCCAGGTAGCGATGGCGGGCTGCTGCTGTTACTGTTGACGCTTGAGCTTCTCCTGTTGCTGCCACTCTTCTTGCTGCTAGCCTTCCTGCTGGCAGAGAACGCACTCCTGCTGGCATTACCACCACCCAACGACTCGTTATTCACAGAGTCAGTATGAACTGTGCTGTCAGGGCCACACAGGCCCGCACACATCCCACTATCCAAACGACCCCCAGGAAGAGTCACACTGATGCTTCTTCCATTGTTGCTGCTGCTGCCGCCGTTCAAAGCTGGTCCACAGCACGGCTGCTGCTGATCTTGCCACTGCTGCTGGTGCTGCTGGTCCTCCCCTGCACAGCTCTCACCAGCAGTCTCCCCAAGAGCAGCCATCTCAACAGCGTGCAGGTCAGCAAAAAGCACGTTGGTGTTGGCAGGGTACTTGGACCGGCTGCTACCAGGAGCAACAGGCGCGTCGCTGATGCCGAGTTTCTCAAACTCGGTGTACTCGATGCATGTCAGCCCGTACGCCCACGACCCGTCCGCCTGCTGCTGCTCTGCCAGCACGTTCACACCCTCTGCTGTTCCCACGTTGCGATCACACGACGCAAACCCGAATTTCTGCATGGTATTTGGACGGGGAATGGGGGAAGGGGGAAGGCAGAGGAACATGGTGAGGGGCAGGGGGGGAATCGGGACGTGGTGCTGTGCGGTTCAAGAGCAACAGGCGCATCGCTGATGCCGAGTTTCTCAAACTCGGTGTACTCAATGCACGTCAGCCCGTACGCCCACGACCCGTCCGACTGCTGCTGCTCTGCCAAAACGTTCACACCCTCTGCTGTTCCCACATTGCGATCGCATGAGGCGAAACCAAATTTCTGCGTGGTGGGGGAAGGAGAAGGGCATGGTATGGACGCCCAAGACAGATTCTCTACCAGTTGTGCAGGAAAAGGGAAACGGAAATAGATAGGCCAGATTCCCTCCCAAATTCTCTCCGCATTTCTCATGCCATGCACACAAGGCAATAGTTTTGAGTCGACTCAAAACAAGGCAATATGTGATAAGTCGAGTTTTGAGTCTACTCAAAACAAGGCAATATGTGATAAGTCGAGTTTTGAGTCAACTTAAAACAAGGCAATATGTGATAAGTCGAGTTTTGAGTCGACTCAAAACAAGGCAAGAGTTTTGAGTCGACTCAAAACAAGGCAATATGTGATAAGTCGAGTATTGAGTCGACACAAAACAAGGCAATTTGTGATAAGTCGAGTTTTGAGTCGACTTAAAACAAGGCAATATATGATAAGTCGAGTTTTGAGTCGACTCAAAACCTCTTCATCTCACTCACCTTATTGCCGTGCAGACCAACGCCAGAGAGCGCCAGGAGAGTCATGTCCGTTGCTGCCAAAGGGTTGCTGCAGATGAGGGAAGGAGGGAAAAGGGTGGAGGGAAGGGAAGGGGAAGGAGGGAAGTGGGAGGAGGGAAGAGGGAAGAGGGAGGAGGAGGAGGGAGAAGAGACGTTAAAGGAGGGAGAGAATATAACAGGGTTCAGATACGCCAGAAAGTGCCAGGCTAGTCATGTTTGCTGCCGCTAGATGCCAAATCACTCAACAGAGTTCACGATTGCTGCTTTGCCTCAAGTGAGGTAATGGACATGCTTACCTGATCTGTCTGATGACTGCCGCCTTTCGACCTTTGAGTCGACTCAAAAGTCGGTTGACTTTCGAGCAAGGTTCAAAATTACGGTCGTATTTTTGAAATGTTACCGTTTTATACGGTTTCTTATATTAGGCTCCTGTGAAAAAATGTAGAGCAATTTCATAAATACGGTCGTAATTTTGAACCTTGCTTTCGAGTCGACTGAGTTGACTTTTGAGTCGACTCAAAAGTCGGTTGCTGCTTTGCCTGGAGGTAACGGACATGCTTACCTGATCTGTCTGATGACCGCCGCCTTGCGGCCCTTGGAGCGCAGCCAATCAAACACGCCCTCGTCTGCTGCAAGCTTCCAGATGACCCCATGGCCGCCTGGCTTGAGCACAGGCGACAGAGGGCCGCTCGCTAGCCACCTGCCGTCCTCCGCTGCTACTGTTGGCACCAGCGGCTGCAGCAGGGATGTTGGAAGGGGTTCAGAAAGGTTGGGAGGTAAGTGGAGGGATTTGTGAGGCGTCTGGTGGCCACCTGCCGTCCTCCGCTGCCACTGTTGGCACCAACGGGTGGAGTAGCAAGGGAGGATGGAGAGAGGTAGCGAAGGGGGATGGAGGCGTTAGTCAGGATTAGAAGGGGGAATGGAGGGGTTGGTCAGGATTGGAAAGGGGAATGGAGCGGTTGGGTAGGAATTGATGGGGGAATGGAACGGGTTGGGAATGGGAGCTGGCGACAAGCAACAATACCTCTACTGAGAAGCGTGAAAACAACAATTACCATACCTGCTGGAAAAGCCGGAAGTTGTGCTCGCCCCGGCCGAACCAGTTGTGCTGCTGCAGCAGAGCCAGCACCCTCTGGTGGACTGGCTTCATCACGTGTCAAAAGAAAACTCATACCAAAGCATCTGGAAACAAGAAGCACACCTGTTGGAAAAGCCGGAAGTTGTGCTCTCCCCGGCCGAACCAGTTATGCTTCTGCAGCAGCGCCAGCACCCTCTGGTGGTTCTTCTTGGCTGCACTCGTCATGATTGCCACTGGCGTCACGTGCTGCTCGCCAAACACACGGAAATGCAGATACTCCCGCGCCTGTATTGCCGGAGCACAGAAAATGTGGATATAGCATTACAAAGGGAAGGGGCTCATGAGCTGGTGCATAACACTAGCCCGTGCAGCAGCGTGAGGCCGCTTACACTTCATACACTAATACCCACATTCAGGTTCCTCAGTAGCCCACAACAGAGAGCGAGAACAACACCGTGCCATCTCAAAACGCGACACTTGTGCAGTCTGAAAACGCAATTTCTCACCTCCACGCCTCTCATTAGCCCATGCCGACTTTTAAGGCGCCTCATGTGCAGTCTGAAAACGCAATTGCCCACCTCCACGCCTCTCATTAGCCCATGCCGCACTAGGGCAGCATTGCGCCTTGAGACGTCTCTCAAATTCAACTGCTCACCTCGAGGTCTCTCAGTAGCCCATGCAGCAGCGTGCGGCCGCAGTAGGGGAGCATTGCCACTGGCAGGCTTTCTCCTGTTGCCTCGTCCACCAGTCCTAGCCTGTCTCCCGCGCCTCCCAAGGGGTAAATCTCCGCCATTACAGGCAGCCCCTGGTGTCATAAAACGATGGAATCGGGAAGAGAGGAATTTATTAAGTACGTCATTTATTGGGAAGTGAAAACTGCAATGACAGAAAACATATTTGCTTCAGAAAACATGCATCTCCTCTCAGTCGCAAGAGATGGGAAAGAAAATGGCCGCAGAACTCACCTCAAGGCCCCAAAATGCTGCCTGGGAGGCAAAATCCGGATCACTGGCCAGGTCTTGGCCAGGGGGCATAAAAATCCGTCGCTGGGATTCGAACCCGGGTCTTTCGTTTTCCCTTTCATTGGCGATACTGTTGGTCGTCTCTGCTGCCAGAGACGTTGCCGGAGTTGCTGTGGTTGCTGCTGCCACGGCAGCTGCGTGTTCTGCTGCTGCTGCTGCTGCTGCTGCTGCTGCTGCTGCTGCTGCTGCTGCTGCTGCTGCTGCTGCTGCTGCTGCTGCTTGTTGCGATGCAGCAACGGACTGTTGAATGAGGTCCAGACACGTCGACTGGTACCTGCGCGCAATCAACGGAGGTAAACAGGAGGCCGTCTCGCTACATTGAAAAGCCAGACAAGGATCAGAGCTCAGGACTGACGCGGAGTCTTGGAACGTCACAATCCTATATGATACAGCTAACACGGAGAATTCTAGGGTTCAAAATCACGTATCCCGCGATTCCGCCAATGCCGTCGTGGAACTTCTCCACTCGCCGCAGGTCGGCAAAAAAAACGTTTCTCTGAGTGGTCGTCTCAAATGATGTGGCCGATAGTGTCAGCAATGCCGCTTTTGAGCCGACTAAAAAAAAAAAAATCGAAAAAAGCGTACCCGAGAATGCCGCCAATGCCATCGTAAAACTTCTCCACTCGCCGCAGCATGGCCAGAAGACTCTTAAGCTGCGCGCGTGGCTCCTGGTCCCTCAAAAAACCACCATTATCCTCCCATCCGCTGCTGCTGCTACCACCGTCGCTCGCAAACCCACAGCTGCTGTCACTGACACCGCCGCCGCGGCTGCTGCTGCTGCTGCTGCTGCTGCTACTCCTGCTGTTACTGCTGCTACTGCTGCTGGGGGAGCTTGGTCCACCTTCTGACTGCCACTGCCGCTCCCAGTCAACGAGGTCCAACAGCGGAGCGCCAAACACGCTCGGATACTCCAGCCCTTCCTTCAACTGCGCGAGCAGCGTCGACGACAGCGACAACGGCTCTCCCTCACCTTTCCCTCCAGAGCTCGCCGCACAATCACTGGTAGCAGCTGAAGGGCCGTGCACCGAGCGGCGATCTTCCCAGTCTATGAGGTCCATAAGGGGAGCGGGGAACACGCCGGGGTTGTCGAATCCCGCGAGGAATGCGGGGAGCGCGGACCGGGGGGCGTCTAGCTGCGTGTCCCAGCCGTCGATCATGGAAGCGAGCATGGAAAAGGCTTCCTTCACTCCTCCTCCTCCTCCTACTGACTCCGCCTTAGCACTGCCCTGGTAATGTGCCTTTTCCCGGATCGAATCAAGCCCTTCAGCCCAGGCAACTGGAGTGTCCAGCAAATGCTCCTGGCCCGAAGCCACCAAGCACTTGAGCAGGTAAATCTCCTCCTGACTGCAACAATCCATGGCCATCAGAACAGCAGGCTTGACGAATTTCCCAAGGGAAGAGCCCTGCTGAGGGAAGACGGCTCGCACCCGCGGGTCCGCGCTCAGGATTGCGTCTTTCTCGTCGAATGTCTGGGCTGTGGAGAGCTGCAAGAGGAGATTGTGGAGCCGCCTGGCGTTCTCCGCGAGGCGTTCAGAGGCTGCAACGCCTGGCTTGATGCCTTTTGTCAGGTCATGTGAAAGCCGTTGCTCCAGCCGCTGTTGCTGCTGCTGCTGCTGCTGCTGCTTCTGTTGCTGCTGCAGCTGTTGTTGCTGCTGCTGCAGTTGTTGCTGCTGCGCTTTCTCCTGTTGAAGCAGCTCCGAATCTAACGAAATGTTTGAGGAAACAGAAATGCTCCGCGGAGCGACACCAACGGATGCGCTAACATCCCGAGGAGGCTGAGAACGCTTCAACAGATTGCTATCATTCCGGCTAGAGAAGGAACCAGGCTGCTGAGCTGCCGCTTTAAGAAGGAACCTACGGCCATTGCTCGAGCAACCTTTTTTGTTGCTGCGTTTAAGACCGGAAACGTAAACCAGTTCTCCCCTTGAAATGTCTCGAGGTAGCTGGAGACCTAAAAATCGAGAGCCTGGCAATAGGTTCTGAGAACCACGGACGCTTCGCGAAACACCATGATCCAGACTACCAATCGTTGTTGGGACTGCGAGTAGACTTTGAGAGAAAAACGCTTCAAGAGCCATCTCGGTAAGAAATCTGAATGCGCGAATGCGCGAAAATGGAAACCGCTGTGGTTGAAGGCTCACGCGGAGTAAAAAAGTTGGTCTCGACTAATCCTGGAACGGCCTAACGTGACTGATCTCGCGTGACCTAGCGTAACGCGCGGAACGAGAAAATTATGCAAACCTCAACACTGACCAGGCGGAAAACTCCGAAATGGAAAAGAAAGCGAATCCTGGTCTGGCTTGTCTCTGTGTGGCTTGCTTCTGATAGCAGAAAGCAAGCACAGCAAGCACAATTGACTTGTACACCAAGCTTGCTCCTTACTCCAACCAATTTTATATGTGTAGCTTTCAGCTGATCCATCAAGCTTGGTGGTTCCTGATCCAGGGTTCCTTTTGTACGGTTAAAAACGGTGAACAACGTTTTTAAAGCGGTGAAATAAAAACAACGCTTGACCGTGATTTAGCGCATTGAACCGCGCTGCATGAACTTTCGGCAAACCAGGGTGTCGCAGCCCGAGTGCATAATGCACCTAGGCGAAAGGGGGGCATCTGGAAAAGGTGCCCACAGTACATGTCAGCATGGGATTTTGAGGCTGACGTGAAATTAGTTGGAACGCCTGATTGGCGGTAAACATACGAAAGCGCCACGATGGCAATGACCAGTGGCATGTCATCGGTCTGGCGGCAAAAACGGATCTCCCTGCTGAACGTCCGACCAATCAGGGTGCTGACCGGAGATGTGTTTATGTTGGGCCGCAGTCTGGAAAGGTTCTGATTTGCTGGGTGGGCTGGAGTTTCGGTTTTGTGGCTCGACCCACAAACCAGCACAGCGAACCCAGAAGATTCCGTCCCTACTCGTCAGGCGGCTGATTCCTGAGGAGGATATTCTTTACTGGATGCTCAGCTAAGCATATTGAATCGTTATCCATTAGCCGAAGATACCTCTGACTAACACGACCGTTGTAAAAGCGCCATGAGGTACACTGCTGACTTCAATTTGCCCAAACAAAATGAAACACAATCTGTTACAGGGAAAGTGTGTAATATATTCTACCTTCAAGGTAAACAATAGCGTATAGTAAGTGGGAGGTGGTGCAATTGCAACCGAAGGACATAAAAAACTCAGAACTTATGTTCTAAAACAGCACATCCACACTACATGACCCTTAAGGTCACAACTCATCATGGTCCTGTCTGCCACTTTTTCCGCCATTTTGTAAATTAGACCGTCTCTTCGGAGAAGCTGCAGCAGCAGGCGATGACGCAAGCAGTGGAGAGCGGGACCAAGGCCAGAGAGCAGAGGTCATCCACCGGCGCTCCACACTGGCCTTGAAGCTCCAGGGGTCCCACCCCTGCCCGTGTTTCAGCGACCAGAAGAACGAGCCGGCAGATGACGCGAGGTACGCCTGTAGCTGTGCCTTGGCGAAACGAGTGTTGATGTCGTCGCTTGTGTTGCATAGCAGAGCCAGGGACCATTCTCCTGTGGTACGTGGTTGTGTGGTTTGGGGTGACAGGATGTGGCGTTTGGAACAATGTAAGGTTTAACATGGAACATGAAGATCTCGAAATGGATGGCGATGTGAGGTTTGGTCACTGTGACTGGCATCACTCACCCGCGAAAACGAGTCGTTGCCCTCTTTCCAGCAGGCTGAGAGCAGCAGCACGCTGCTTCGAGGGGTACTACAGATTGAAGTCCACCGACTGGGACCCAAACTCCGCGTGGTCGTGCACCCATGAGCATGCATGCTGGGCTGATCAGTCTAGCTTGTTTTCCGTGCCCTGCCCAATGCATTGTTTCTCTTGTTTGATTTCCTACCATCATCACTCAATCACTCACCCACAAACACGAGGCGCTGCCCTCGTTCCAGCAGGCTGAGAGCAGCAGCACGCTGTTTCGAGGGGGTACTGCAGATTGAAGTCCACCGACTGGGACCCAAACTCCGCGTGGTCGTGCACCTGGTACCAGTGTGCGTCGTAGATGACATTCGTGTACTGCGCACCTGTATGGATGGAGCAGTCACACAAGCACACAAAAGAACACACACCAACACATAGGCACACACACACAGATTGATGAAAGTCCACGGACTGGGAACCAAACTCCGCATGGTCGAGCACCTGGTACCAGTGCGCGTCGTAGATGACATTTGTGCAATGCGCACCTGCATAGATGCACAAGGCACATACATAAGAAAACAGGAATATACACAAGCGCAAATGGAATCCTACCGACTTAGACCTATGCACCAATGAACACCAGTGAGTGTCCTATATCACATTACTGTGCAGCGCACCTACAGGCATGCACACATCCACACATGCATAACAGGGAAAAAGCGACCCCTAAAATTTGTTCTAGCCACCCTCCATTATGCAGCATGCACGCACAGACACACACTCATACTTGCAACAAACAAAGTCATCTCACACTTTCTGACTGCAAAATATACAAGTTATCATGATCTTACTTGTCATGAAGTCGTCCCATTCCCTCTCGTTGGCAAATATTCTCCCAGAAATGACAAAGTAGGCGGAGGGTGAGTGTTCCCTCAGCACCGCATAGCACCGCTCATAGTAGCGTGAGAGGTCGTCAAACGAGACTGCGTCAGCCCTTGGCTCGTTGATTGGCTCTAGCCCTGCAAAAGCTGGGTGCGATGCATACCTGATGTGGGTGGCAAGGGAGGAAGGGAGAGAGAGACGGGGGGGAAAAAGGAGGGAGAGGGAGAATGAAGGGGACGGGATGAAAGAGGGGAGGCCAGGAAGACAAGGAAGTTTTCCCTCAGCACCGCATTGCACCGCTCACAGTAGCATGCGAGGTCATCAAAAGACACTGCGGCTCCGGCTCCGGCTCCGGCTCGTTGATTGCCTCTAGCCCCCGAAGTGACTTTTGAGGTGCCTCAAAACTCGGCTCGTTGATGCCTCTACCCCCAAAGTCACTCCTCTACAGCCCCTCCCCCCCTCAATCATCACTGCCCTTTCTCACAGCTGCTTGAGCAAGCGGGCGGCGCCGTCTGTCTCTTACATACAGGCGATCGCATCTCGGGCGGCATTCAACCGACTCAAGCTCACCGCTGCACAAGGAAGCGGACGGCGTCGACTGTCTCATCCATGTAGGGCGTGCCGGGCCTGCCCCACATGCATGAAATGCCGTCTCGACTTGCGCTGTGCTCCCACCCGTTCTGCGACCCAGGAGCCGCATGCAAGCACACTACAACGCGGATGCTGTGTGTGTGCGCCCAGTCCAATGCCTGCAGGCAAGAAAACAAGTGTGTAAGAGTGAAAGAGGGGAAAACAGGCAAAAAGACGAGTCTTGGCCGGATGCAGGCACACTATAACGCGGATGCTCTGTGTGTGTGTGTCCAGTCAAGGCCTGTACAGCTGCACAACCACCCTTATCCAGCAGCTTAAAGCCCCTTACACTTCTGCGCCTCGCCCGCCCACCCACCCACCTTATCCAGCAGCTCAAGTGCTCCTTCCACAAATTCCTCCGGTGTAGGGTCAACAGCAACCCACCAGCCCACGGGTATCCGCACAGCGTTCACCCCTTGCCGCGCCAGCCACTCAAAGTCGCCCTCCCCCACCCACTCCTCCCAGTGCTGCTGCAGCTGTAGCCCCACATATGCACACCTGACTGCACCACACCCCACCCATTCCTATCCCACCCCCCACAAAGCCACACATCTGTATGCCTGAACTGCCCACCACACCCGCATTCACCCACCTTATCCAGCAGCTCCAGTGCCCCTTCAACAAATTCTTCCGGTGTGGGGTCCACAGCAACCCACCAGCCCACGGGTATCCGCACAGCGTTCACTCCTTGTTTTGCCAGCCACTCAAAGTCGCCCTCCCCCACCCACTCCTCCCGGTGCTGCTGCAGCCTCTGTTCCGCTTCCTCCCTCCCCAGAGCCAGCATGAGCTGCGCCTCCCCTCCCATGTCTGCTAGCTTGCTGAGGGTGAATGTGCATGTGGTGTCCCATCTAGGTGCGTCCTCACTGGAAAAAAGGGACAAGGGAGGGCAGGACAAGCGGGGAAAGAGAGTTACTACTCCCGCCCGAGCACCAGCATGAGCTGCGCCTCCCCTCCCATGTCTGCTAGCTTGCTGAGGGTGAATGTGCATGTGGTGTCCCATCTAGGTGCGTCCTCACTGGAAGGGGGAGTGGAGGGGGGGAAGGATAGGAGGGGAAAGAGAGCTCAACACACCCACTCCTCCCAGTGCTGCTGCAGCCTCCTCTCCGCATCCTCCCTCCCCAGCGCCAGCATCAGCTGCGCCTCCCCCCCCATGTCTGCGAGCTTACTGAGAGTGAAGGTGCATGTGGTGTCCCATCTAGGGGCGTCCCCACTGCGAGCAAAACAGCAGCAAGAGACGAGCAAGAGGCGAGTAAGAGGGCAGGAAGAAACGGCGGGCAAAGGGGGATGTTTGCCTCCTCCAGCCTGAGTGGCAGCATCAGCTGCGCCTTCCCCCCCATGCTATGAGCCTCTATTGACTTGACTCACTCGATATCCAGCTAGTACAGCTTATGATCACTCGATATCCGCTATAAGCCTGCCATCGTCCAAAGCTTGCACCCAGTTGCCATTCGCCGCTCTCAGCTGCACCGTGCCCTCCTCCCCCAGCTTGTGCCTCAACAGCTACTCGCTATTAGCCCCTCTAAAGACTCACTCGATATCCGCTATAAGCCCCTCTACAGACTCACTCGATATCCGCTATAAGCCTGCCGTCGTCCAGAGCTTGCACCCAGTTGCCATTGGCCGCTCTCAGCTGCACCGTTCCCTCCTCCCCCAGCTTGTGCCTCAAAAGGTACTCACTAAAAGCCCCTCTATAGACTCACTCGATATCCGCTATAAGCCTGCCATCGTCCAAAGCTTGCACCCAGTTGCCATTGGCTGCTCTCAGCTGCACCGTGCCCTCCTCCCCCAGCTTGTGCCGCACCCAGAACATCTCCCCCTCCTCCTCATCCTCTCTGGGAAGTGGAGTTGAGAAGAAGAAAGCAGCAAGGGGAAGGGCGGACAGAGAGATGATTGGAGATCTAAGTTGCACGAGCTACAGCTACACGGCTCTCAGCTGCACAGTGCCCTCCTCTCCTAGCTTGTGCCGCACCCAGAACATCTCCCCCTCCTCCTCATCCTCTCTGGGAAGTGGAGTTGAGAAGAAGAAAGCAGCAAGGGGAAGGGCGGACAGAGAGATGATTGGAGATCTAAGTTGCACGAGCTACAGCTACACGGCTCTCAGCTGCACAGTGCCCTCCTCTCCTAGCTTGTGCCGCACCCAGAACATCTCCCCCTCCTCCTCGTCCTCTCTGGAGACAAGCGATGAGAAGGGAAAACATGGATGGGTCCAAGTGGTAGATCAGTAATCGCAACTCAGCTGCTCCTCAGCTGAGGCTCCTCAGCTGAGGCACCTCTGCTGCTCTGCTGCATCTGTTTCCTCGGTTCCGGATTCGAGTCTTACTTGTTTCTAAACAACCCGCTACTCGCGTCGTAGCATCCATGTTCCAAAAAGTGAATCTTTGGTCGGCGCAATAATGGGTGGGGGAGGGAGGGCAGAGCGACGTGGAGGGAGGGCAGAGCGATGTGTGGGGAGGGCAGAGCGACGTGTGGGACTCACTTGTTTGCGAACACCTCGCCACTCGCAGCATCCACGCTCCAGAAGTGGCCGCTGCCTGCCCGGATGAAAAAAGCGCCATGGTCTGCCCGGCGAAGAAAAAACGTCTCCCATGCACTCGCAGCGTCCCTGTTGGCCCTGAGCTGGTCGCCGCCCCCTCCCTCCGCCGCCACCCACTTGCCGTCCACGGACTGTAGCTGGATGGACGTGCCGTCCAGTAGATCCTGAAATACAAGCATGGAAAGGGAGAAAGAGGGGTTAACGTAGTTGAGTCCCCGCACCCTCCCTCCGCTGCCACCTACCCCACTTGCCGTCCACGGACTGTAGCTGGATGGACGTGCCATCCAGTAGGTCCTGAAATAGAAGCATGGGAAGGGAGAAAGAGGTTTAGAGAATAGTCGCGTCCTTGCCCCCTCCCTCTGCCGCTACCCACTTGCCATCCACGGACTGTAGCTGGATGGACGTGCCGTCCAGCAGATCCTGCCAGCCAATGGGAGGGGAGCAGTCCGGAGATGGCCGGGAGAAGAGAAAGGGGGGAGGGGACAAGCCAGCCAAGCAAGGGCTGAACTCCTTCTGAAGAGGATATAGGGAGGAGCACGCCAAATCAAACAGTGCAGGGGCATATATCCATGATTCAGCAACAAGCAGGTCGTGGGCAGGACATGAGACTTACAGTGAAAACCCCATCGAAGAGAGCAGGGGGACACATCCATGCTTCAGCCACGAGCCAGCCGCCCAGGATGACTCCCAGGAACTTGGGCAGCATGTCAAGGCGGCGGATAGAAAAGGTCTCTGCGTCTCCCTGCACTGCACCGCAGTGCACCGCACTGAACCCAATGAGGAAGTGGAACTTACAGTGAACACCCCGTCGAAAAGAGCAGGAGGGCACATCCACGCCTCAGCCACAAGCCAGCCGCCCAGGTTGACTCCCAGGAACTTGGGCAGCATGTCCAGGCGACGGATAGAGAAGGTCTCTGCTTCTCCTTGGACCATGGAGGTGAAGAGGAGAGACGGCTGCAGGGCCCGTAGGTAGCGCTCATTGCTCATGGACTGGAGGAGGAGAGGGAAGGGTGCAAAGGGAGAGGGAGGGAGGAAGACGGGTTGAGCGAGAAGGGGGGAGGAGAGGCTGTGGGAAGGAACTTGGGCAGCATGTCCAGGCGGCGGATAGAGAAGGTCTCTGCGTCGCCCTGCACCATGGACGTGAAGAGGAGCGAAGGCTGCAGGGCCGGTAGGTAGCGCTCGTTGCTCATGGACTGGGTGGGAAGAGAGCGGGAAAAAGGGGGGGGGGAGAGAGTGGGGTGATAGAACGTGAGAAGGTCTCTGCGTCTCCCTGCACCATGGAGGTGAATAGGAGTGATGGCCACAGGGCTCATAGGTAGCGCTCGTTGCTCATGTACTGGGGGGGAGGGGGACGGGCCCGGGGGAAAGGGGGACGAGCAGGGAGCATATGAAGAGAGAGGGACGATGAAGGGAAACGGTCTCTGCGACGCCATGCACCATGGAGGTGAAGAGTAGCGAGAGGTGCAGAGCTCGTAAACAGCACTAGTTGCTCCAAAGAGAAACATGACAGGACTCACAAAGAAGGCGAATTTTCTCGAGCGGACGTTTCTAGTGACGCGAAACACATCTCCACCTCTCCTCCATCTCCTCCCTTCCCTCCTGCCCCTACACTCAAAGGCTCATCAGCACGCACGCACATACTACTACTAAACATAGCAGTGACTCGAGAACTCACATAGAAGGCGAATTTCCCCGAGCGGACGTTCCTGGTGACGCGGAACACATGGCAGTCCAGCAGGGCGGCATTTGTCGGCGTATCTGCCCGGAGCGACCCGTCATCATGTGCCGACAGCACACAGCCGTTGGGGGCCCTCAGAGACACATGCACCTCCATCTCCTCCACCTCCTCCCTCTGCTCCCTCTGCTCCCTCTGCTCCCTCTGCTCCGTCATCCTCGTCGTCGTCTGATCCGCCCTCCTGCTTCCTCCCCCAGACCGATTGGGATTTGTTGTTGGAGGCAGAAGAGAAGCCGAACATGTTCCAGAGGGATCTGGATGCGGCTTCCCTGCACAGGGAGTGGGAGTGGGGGTGGGTGGGCAACAGGGGGGAAGGAGTGAAGGAAGGTAGGGGAAAAGACTGACTGTACAGCCGTTGGGGGCCCTCAGAGACACATGCACCTCCATCTCCTCCACCTCCTCCCCTCCCTCCGCTCCCTCTGCTCCGTCCTCCTCGTCGTCGTCTGATCCGCCCTCCTGCTTCCTCCTCCAGACCGATTGGGATTTGTTGTTGGAAGCAGCTGAGAAGCCAAACATGTTCCAGAGGGATCGAGATGCAGCTCCCCTGAAAAGAATGGAAGGGAGAGGGGCGTAGGGAACAGAAGCGAGAGACTGATGTGAGAACTGTGAAGTGAAGAACATGCTAAAACAGAACATTCTCCAGAAAGAGAGGGACAAGGTTAGAACCAAACATGCCCTCCCACCTTTCTTTCCTCAGCCTCCTTTGCCAAATCCTCAACACCATCTGAACCTCACCTGTTGGGTCCAGTGGTCTTGACACCGACCGATCAGCAGCAAACACGTCTCCTCCCACCCTGCTGCCCTACTGCCCTCCCGACCCGACATTAACGGAGGCTGTAAAAAAGCCTGTTAACCATCCTCACTTGTTAGGTTCGGCGGTCTTCACAACAACAACGGTGAACACGTCTCCCACCCTGCTGCCCTCCTGTCCTCCCGCCTTCTCCAATCCCAGCGGTTGGCTCCAGTCGCCCTCAGGTGCTGCCACCACGGACCAATCCGAAGCCACGATCTGAATCACCACGCCATCTGTAGACAGGGAGAGGGGGTACGGAGGGAGGGAGAGAGAAGGGTTCTTGAATTAACTCACTAATTTGCTCCAGTCGCCCTCAGGTGCTGCCACCACCGACCAGTCTGAAGCCACGATCTGAACCACCACGCCATCTGCAGATGAGGAGAGGAGGAGGGAGGGCCCCGGGGGGGGAGGGGGGGGAGAAGTTGGGCAAGAGTTTGTGGGGAACGGGAGAAAGGGGTGTGGGAGAGGGGAGGGAGAGCGAGGGAGGGGATGGAGTGTGTAAAATGCCAGGGCCCATCAGCACTGGTGATGATGTATTGGCTTGTTGTAAGTTATGCTATGCACACCTGGAAGTTCGTCAGCGTCAGTGAGGGAGGGCATCTGGAACTTGGCCCATTTGCACGCCATGCTTGCCATGCTACTGGGATGGGAGTGTCTAGTGCCTTGAGGAGGTGACTTCTGAGTTGGCACGCTGTTCTGTCAGTCAGTCAACGTGGCATACCTGGGAGGTCGTCAGCGTCACTGAGGGAGGGCATCTGGAACTTGGCCCATTTGGCCGCCATGCTGCTGTGAGCGCCGCCTAGAGGCGGCACAAATGTTAAGAGATTCTGCAGGTGGGTGGAGATGGGGAGGGGTTTGAACGTGGGAGATCGTCAGCGTCACTGAGGGAGGGCATTTGGAACTTGGCCCACTTGGCGGCCATGCTGTGAGAGCTGCCTAGAGGCGGCACAAAGGTCAGGAGATTCTGCAGGGGGTTGGATCGGGCGGGGGAGGGAGCGAGCGGGTGTTGGAAGGAAGAAAACGGTTAGTTGCGCCAAGAAACAAGGACAGTTGGAAGGAGGAAAACAGTTAGGTGCAGCATACCAGGGTTGGCCCTGGACTGATACAACTTAATCTAAAATGCCCCAACAAGCAAGGAAGCAACTAACGCCTCAGAAGAGAAACGTGAAAACTCACAGTGAGTCCTTGCAGATAGGCAAAGGAGCATGAGGCGCGGCGCGGTCACAGGTGCGGCATACCGGGCTGAGCCTGACTTGTATAAAAATCTTGAGACGACGCAAAGATGCATGCAAGCAACTCCTGAAAAAAATGCTGAAACTCACAGTGAGTCCTTGCAGATAGGCAAAGGAGCATGCGGCGCGGTCACAGGTGCGGCATACTGGGCTGAGCCTGACTGACTGGTATAACAATCTTGAGACGCCACGCCTCAAACATGCATGCAAGCGACTCCCGAATAAAATGCCGAAACTCACAGTAAGTCCTTGCAGGTAGGCGAAGGAGCATGAGTCGCGGTCACAGGTGCGGCATACTGGGCTGAGCCTGACTGACTTGTATAAAAATCTCGAGAGGACGCAAACATGCATGCAAGAAACTCCTGAATAAAATGCTGAAACTCACAGTGAGTCCTTGCAGATAGGCGAAGGAGCATGAGGCGCGGTCACAGGTGCGGCATACTGGGCTGAGCCTGACTGACTTGTATAAAAAGCTTGAGACGACGCAAACATGCATGCAAGCAACTCCTGAATAAAATGCTGAAACTCACAGTGAGTCCTTGCAGATAGGCGAAGGAGCATGAGGCGCGGTCACAGGTGCGGCATACTGGGCCGGAATGGTGGAGCGGCGGGAGAGGGGCTCCACCCAAGTTCAAAGCCTTGAAAGGCAGACTTTCGAGGTGTGATTTACCCTGTGAAATCCGCTGCCAATTTCCCAGGAGGAGAGCAAGGGCGACTAGAAGTAAGGCCTGGGCGAATGGTGTGAGTTTCCGTTTGGTTGGTGGACTATCGGTGACGCTCTGTCAGGAATGTGGGAATGAGGGAAGGGAGGGGTTTGAGGAAGGGAAAAAGCGTAAGAAAGGAGAGGGAAACAAGAAAAGGGATGGGAGAGAGAAAGAGGAGGGAAGCGAGAAAGGGAAGGGGGGTGAGAAAGGGAGCGCGAGGCGGAAGGAAAAAGTGAGTGGTTAGTGGAAAGAGCGACGCGCCGAGGGGGGAGATAATGCGAGGCTGGTGAGAGAAAAATCGAGGGAGACTGATAGGCGCATGACATCAATGTCACACAAGCATCACGTATGCATCATATTACGCATGTGTACTCGCACAAGGGCTACGTTACAAGAATCACCACTAGCACGCACTCCGATACACACAGAAAATTACTTCGTTCTCCGTCTTGGTTACTCGCTCCGAGCTGTTATCGCCTCGAGCCTGACCACTGTTCGGCAAGCTTGCAGAGGATTGAGTATTTCTTGCTGATCCCTCGCTGGATGTACTCGTATCTCGCTCGACTTTTTTATCGTCTTTCTTATCGACCTTCCGTCGCTGTTTGATCGACGCGTGCTGCCTCTGCTCCATCACACGCCAGGCATCATCATTACCACTCTGACGCCCACGGCCATGTCGGCACGCTTACTTGTCTTCGTTATAAGCAAGCAATGTGCAAGGCGAGTGCTGTCAAGGATGGCTCACACTAATTCAGGTCGCAAGGTGAGGGGGTCGACTATTACACGAGAGGAGATCGAGGCTTGCCTAGGCCGTAACTAGCGAAACTGAAAGCAGCGAGGGAGGAAGCGACGAGTCCCGAGGAGAGTGGAGCAATTTGATGAAAAATCGGTACAGGCAGCAGCACTCTTCTGCTGCAATGCCAGTAGTATCTGTCTGTTGGTTATAGAATGACGAGTCGACGACATTATAAAGGTTCTGATTTACAGACATCAGTGGAAGGAAGGGAACCCTAGAGCTCATCGAACTTGGACAAATAATGAACGGTTCAACAAGAGAGGATTCGGAGTGGGTTTGTAGGGGCATAGAGCGTTCTTGCGCGGTTAGTAAATCAAACAATAGTATTACCACGTTAGCTTAGTGTTTAATTTTATCTTATAAACACCCAAGTATGACGCAAAACAAATTGAGCCCTACCTTTGAGCCGTGAAGGGGAACCCTGACTCCGAATAAGCATTTCTTCTATGGTACATCAGCCATTGATTCGTTGTCAGAATTAGCAGCTCAGACTCACACATGTAAACATTCTTTCCGAGGAACTCGTACGCATCAACCTTCTCAACTAGCGAGTGAGTCTGAAACGAGTTATAAGCATCTCGGATGTCTGTTCCCGCGCAGTGCAGTTGAAGCTGGGAAAGCTTCACAACTGCAACCACAACCTAGGGATTGCCGTCAACAGATTAGGGTTGGCTCTGCAACGTAGGGTTCTAGTTCCCGTAATTTTCGCCGTTCGCCTATCCATGTTGCGCTCGCCTAGGTGTGTCTTTGGTGAGTACGCTGTCTTTTGAGCAGAATACCTAAAATGCACTTCGGGTATTCCCTTCTTTTCGTGATCACTTCCGTTTGCGATCCATGTGAATCTAAGCCGTTCGTTTGTGATAGCAGTCGGCAACATCCCTTACGATACTACCGAGGAACAGCTGCGTCAGATCTGTGAGGAGGTCGGGCCCGTGGTTTCCTTTCGGTATGTGCAAGCAGGACCGTCCGATCTTCGCGATCGTGCAAGCTATTTGTCTGTATGGTTTCGGTGCTTCGTGTTCCTCCAGTGTTCCCTGTTTGTATCATTATTGTATGTACTCTTGCTTGGAGTTGACGTCACTGAAAAGAAGCTCCAGTGTAAACGAAGAGAGCAAAAATCACAACAGCCGGCGACCTGAACAGAGGGTTTGAATTGTCTGGCCGCAGAAAAAGAAGGAATACTAAGGCCTTCCGCACTTCAGCTGGGAAATGGACCTTAGTTTCGACTTGGAACTTGCACACGCTCTGGCATACATGGACCAGACTGGTTCGACCAGCGTCATGTGCTTGCGATTTTCGATCTGGGTAGGGTAATGAATAACCGGGATTTTAAGAGTACCATGTCTCCAGCAATCATGAACAGTGACTTTTAAATCCCCGGGGAACACAGCAGAAGTATCTCACCGGTACACACACACGCAAGAGAGCTTGCAATCTTTGTCCTCGTGCCTAGCTCGCCTGTGCAAGCGCATGTGCGCACCAACAGGATTGATTAGTTCTGGTCGTGCTGCTGCTTCCATCCTGCCATCGGTTGTGTCTTGTCTCCCGCCTCGGCACCTGCTCCCGCCCTGTGTCTTCTCTCCGCGTTCCTGCTTCTTCTCTACCTGCCTGCCCGCCTACCTGCTCCTCCGCTCGCTTGCTTCCCGTTTTCCCTTCCTGCTCGCCCGATCGCTTGCCTACCCGCTCGCCTGCCTGCCTGACTGACTGCCTGCTCGCTTGGCCGCTTGTCTGCCTGCTAAACTGCTCGCCTGGCTGCATGCATCCAGGCTGGTGACAGACAGGGAGAGCGGCAAGCCCAAGGGGTACGGCTTCTGCGAGTACAGAGACGAGGAGACAGCACAGAGCATGCTGCAGTGCAGAACAAGCTGATTTCAAGTCAAAAGTTTGCCTGCCCATTTTGCCTGCCCGCTTGCCCGCCTGCTTTTCTGCTCGTCTGCCCGCTTGCCTGCCCGTTTTCCTTGTGCTTCCTGCCCGCCTGCCTGCTCCCTGCCTGCTTACCTGCCTGGCTGCATTCAGGCTGGTGACGGATAGGGAGAGCGGCAAGCCCAAGGGGTACGGCTTTTGCGAGTACAGGGACGAGGAGACAGCACAGAGCGCGCGGCGGAATCTCAACGGCTACGACATCAACGGCCGGCAGCTCAGGGTTGACTTTGCTGAGAGCGACAAGAGCGGCCAGCAAACGGTACTGTCAGGTCCTGTTTTCCCTCACTCTTGTCTTAGCTTGCCCTGAAAATTCGACTAGCGGACGCCGAGAAAATGTACGGCAGTGTGGTTGGTTGCCTGGCGTCTTCTTCAGTGCCGTGCTTTGTGTGTATTTACCTCTTTTTGAGTCTTGATCTGAGGGGAAAAGGCTGAGCTGAGCTTTTGGTTGTTGATGTGGGCAGGGAAAAGGAGGACCTACCGCACCAGGATCTCAAGGATACGGTAAAATTCTCAGTCCCAGTCGGTTTGGTTGCTGAATATTTGTGGTTGCCTTTTTTTTTTTTTTTTTGGCGAATGTTTTCTTCTCACTTTGACTTACCCGGCTCCTTTTCAATGTCCTGTTGCGTCATGTCCCCGTGCATGTGTGGGCTTCAGGGTCCGCTCAACAGCAGCAACAGCAACAGCAACAGCAACAGGAACAGCAGCATTCCGGCCGGTACCCCTACCAGCAGCAGCAGCAGCGCCGCTCCCCTCAACCAGACCCCTCGTTATCCCAGCAATCGTATCCGTCTCTCACTCAGCCCATTGGGTTTCCTGCTGCGATAGAAGCAGCTTTCTTTGTAGCACAAGCGCTGGGAGCGCCACCACCGGTAGTGGTGAGGAAGCCAAGGAAGGGAGATATGGCGACGCCGGGAGGTGGGGATGCTGAGTCAGCAGACCCGTTGACCAATCAGCTTGCAGGGATGTCCAAGCAGCAACTATATGACCTGTTGGCGCAGATGAAGGTATGCTGCCGCTGCTGCCGCTGCTGCCGCTGCTGCCGCTGCTGCTGCTGCTGCTGCTGCTGCTGCTGCTGCTGCTGCTGCTGCTGCTGCTGCTGCTGCTGCTGCTGCTGCTGCTGCTGCTGCTGCTGCTGCTGCTGCTGCTGCTGCTGCTGCTGCTGCTGCTGCTGCTGCTGCTGCTTATGCAGAATATTATCTATGGTTATGATGATGCCTATCCTTCTCTTTTAGCAAGGCATTGTTTCCTTTTCCTGTACTTTTGAGAAAGGCTTCTATCAGTGTCTTCCCTCTCTTGCTTTCCCTTATGCCCTTAACCCTCTCTCTCTCCTCTCTTGTACCCTCTTTCTACCCTAATCACTCCCTCTCTCCTCTACCCTCCTACTACCCCCAGATGTTGATTGATTCAGACCAACCGGTCGCAAGCACGTGCCATGCTGTTGGAAAACCCTCAGTGCTCTCGGCCCACTTACCCTCTGTTCTCTCTGCCTGTCCTCTCTCTCCCCCCTTAACCCCTCTTCCCCTTTAACCCCTCTTCCCCCTAACCCCTCTTTCTCTACCCTCCACTCCCCAGGTGCTGATTCAGACCAATCGGTCACAAGCGCGGGCCATTCTGGTGGAGCACCCGCAGCTGGCCAAAGGCCTGTTTCAAGTAAGGCCTGTTCCTTTTGTTGAAGTCTTTTTTGGTAAAGCCCTCTTCGTTTTTTAGGCGCCTTACAAGCGCGGGCCATTCTGGTGGAGCACCCTCAGCTGGCCAAAGGCTTGTTCCAAGTAATTCCTTCTTTATTAGGTAATTTCAAGATGCTGACACATACATGAGAGGCACCTTATCTTTTGAGGCACCTTATCTTTCATCTTCTCGCATCCACTGACATTTTCCAGTGAGCAGCAGCTTAGGTTCAGGCTTAAGCAAGTAAAATGTCAGAGGATCTGCATACATGAGAGGCACCTCATCTTTCATCTCCTCACATCCATCTCCTCACATCCATCTCCTCACATCCATCTCCTCACATCCATCTCCTCACATCCGTCTCCTCACATCCATCTCCTCATGACTGTGTGTGCATCACTGCATGTGCATCCCATCCCATGCCATACCACGCCATACATGCATGGATTCATCTGCGTGTGCATCCCATGCCGTGTGCAGGCCCAAGTGATGCTGGGAATGGTCAAGGCCACTGGCCCTGTGAGTTTACAGGGTGATACTGTGGAAGTTGATTCCACCCTTAAGCTGAACAAAGTGTCTTTTGAACTGAAACGCCTCAACAATAATCCTCCTATATCTTTACTGGGTGTTTTATTTCTTTCCTTAGCTTTTTCAAGTCACTTCAACCTTCTTCTTCCACCTTCGTCTTGACATTCCTCCTTGCTCTGTTCTCGTTGCTGCCTCTTTGCTTATCTGTGTCGGTTTCTCTGCACTGCAGGCAGCTCCAGAGCCCGCACCACAACCACCGCCAGCCCCCTCATCTCAACAGGTGCGCAGTTTTTTCCCTTCCATTTCCACCTCCTGTCCCCCCAATGCTTCCCCCGCCTTTTCCTCTCCTCACTCCCCTCTCTCTGTCTTTCCGTGCATGTCGACCTTTGAGTCGACTCAAAAGTCAACCCCGCCTTTTCCTCTCCTCACTCCCCCCTCTCTCTGTCTTTCCGTGCATGTCTCGTCTCGATTTTTCTTAGTTTGGTCTCTGTATCGCCTCTCTCAGCTCATCCCACGATCTCTTTTCTCCACCCATCCCCTTCTCTCCTCCCCTATCCCCTAGCCTCCCTTCTCGCCCTCTCTTGTCCCCGCTTTCCCCTTCTCCTCCCCACTCTCCCCCTCTCTTCCCCTCTCTCTCCCTCTTATCCCCTCATTCCCCTTATTATCGCTTCTACTCCCCTCTCTCCCCCTCTCATCGCTTTTCCTCCCTTCCCCTCTCTTCCCCTCCCTCTCCCTTCCCTTCCCCCTTCTTCTCCCCCCTCTCCTCCTCCCCCCAACCTTTCCCCCCAATTCAGCGTCCACAAGGGGGTCCGCCTCTCCCACAAGGGACCCCCTCCCCCGCACCACGGGCAACAGCAGGAGATGAGGGGGAGAGTCGCACACACAGACACGCCCCCTTCTCCACCCCTCTCCATCCCTCTCCTCCTCCCCCCAACCTTTCCCCCCAATTCAGCGTCCACAAGGGGGTCCGCCTCTCCCACAAGGACCCCCTCCCCCACACCAGGGGAGACAGCAGGAGATGAGGGGGAGAGGGGGGTATGGTCGGCCCCACCCCTACCAGGTAAGGAACAGTGCGAATCTGCGTGAGCTAGAGAGATTTGACTTGATCCTCTTTTCTTTTCTGTTCTTTTCTTTTTTTTGTTTTCTGTTTTTCCCCCTTCTTGATCGTATTGTTGTGCAGAGATGCAGAGACGCAGTGAAATGCACTGACATGACAGCATTCCTGTAGAGAGTTTTGTCGGCTAATCGAATCCTGGCTATACACGTGTCATTCGTTCCCTGTGCCAATCGCTGATGCTCATTCATGCTTATGGGAGTTTTTGAGAATTCTCAAAAACTCCCTGCATGTGCCAACTGCTGATGCTCATTCATGTCAATCAAACGTCATGGCTTTTTCTCTTTTGAGGCGCCTAAAAAACAAACGCCGTTGCTTTTCTTCTCATACGTTCCCATTCGTGCAATCGTGCACACGTGATTAGACGGGCATGTGGCTAAACCCTGTGAAGTGGGGCACTCATGGCACGTGTCCATGCACTCATGGGTATAAGTGTCCTCCTAAATTGCATCTGTGTGTGTGTGCACATGTGTATCTGTCCATGTGTGTGTTTGTTCTTTGGTTGAAGCAGGACCAAGGGCAGCCTCCTATGGACCCCTATGGCCAGCCACAATACATGGTACTCGTCTCTTGCTTCCCCTGTCAACATTCTGCAACCTCCCTCCTCCCTAGATGTTCTGTGCTTTCCAGCTGAATTTACCATTTTACTTCTCCTTCCCAGGTTTTAGATTTTGCCTGAGACTACTTTTGAGACGTCTCAAAAACACCCTCTCTACACGTGGCTATTTACCATTTTACTTTTCCTTCCCAGGTTCTAGATTTTGCCTATTTTTGAGACGTCTCAAAAACACCCTCTCTACACGTGGCTATTTACTTTACTTCTCCTTCCCAGGTTTTAGATTTTGTCTGAGACTATTTTTGAGCCAACTCACAGAAAATCACCATTTCATTTCTCCGTTCCAGTCGTTTAAAATTTGCCCGAGACTCAGCCGTGGTGGTGCCTCCAAGCCACCGAGTTTCACCAAGAATCTCTCCCCATTTTCTTTCTTTCCCATTTTCTCAGCCGTGGTGGTGACTCTCCCCATTTTCTTTCTTTCACTCTCCTGACTGCAGGACCAGGAGCCACCACCCCAGCAGCAGCAGCAAATGCCCCCTCGCCCGCACTGGCAGCACCAACCGGTTCCCCCACACCGCCCCACTCCCCCCCTCCCCCCAGACGGCCCTATGTACTCCCTAGACGCGCCCCCGCTTCCCCCCCATCCTCCCCCCGCTGCTGCCCCTGCAGCAGCGCCTGGGGGTGGGGGGGCTACCTGGAAGCCCCAACAGGGGGACCCTTGAGGGGAATGGGGAGGGGGGCGAGGGGAGGGGAGATGAGGGGAGGGGAGATGAGGGGAGGGGAGATGGGGGGCATGGGCGCAGGGGGGCTGAGAGGGATGGGGGGTGGGCCAGGGTATGGGCCTGGGGGAGGGATGGGAGGGGGAGGTGGGGGAGGATATGGAAGGGGAGGGATGGTAGAGCCGCCGCTGCCATCACCAGCTGCTGCTCCTGCTGCTCCTGAGGTGAGGCTCAATGTGGAAAGTTGTAAATGGACTTTCTTTCCTTTTTTAATCTTTTATGCATGTCACGTGTGTGGTGTGGGCCATCCGTTCACCTCGCATTCTGAGACGTCTCAAAAGACGTCTCAAGAGACGTCTCAAAAGTCGTAAATGGACTTTCTTTCCTTTTTTTAATCTTTTATGCATGTCACGTGTGTGGTGTGGGCCATCTGTTCTCCTCGCATTCTTTCCCTTGAATCCCTCTTCCCCGTTCCTCCCCCCCCCCCCCCCCCCCCCCCCCCCCGCCCCCACCAGCCGGTATTGGACGTGGAGCAACAGAAGGCCCTCCTAGATCACACTCGTCCTCTCTTCCTCTTGCCTCCTCATATTCCCGGTTCTCCTTCTCTTTATCTTCATTCTCTTTCCTCCCCTTTCATCTCTCTCCCCCTTTCTCCCCGCCCCAGCCGGTATTGGACGTGGAGCAACAGAAAGCCCTCCTGGCTCAGGTGATGAGCCTAACACCTGAGCAGGTGAACGCGCTCCCACCTGACCAACGCGCCCAGGTGCTGCAGCTGCAGCAGGCGCTGGGCAGGTGAAAATCTCCATGAAGCCTCCACCTGGGCAGATGAAAAGATTGTGATTTGGTTGGAAGTGTGCCTCATGTTTGAACATAACATGTTGAAGCAGAGCTGATGAGAGAGGAGCCCCATAGTGCATTCATTCGTCTGCCTTGCCCTCAGAAACAATCTTCCGGTATCAAGAGAAGGAGAAGGTCCAACATGGTAGAGAGAGGAACATGTTGCTGTGTTGAGAGGTCCAACATTGCACCCTGCTGTGTAGTACGGAACAGCAGGGCTGCAGGGTTGATTTTTTAGGCGTCTCAGAATTAGTACGGAACAGCAGGGTTGGCATCGGCATGTTGCATGCATCAGGTGGCCTTGCAGCATTTCATTAGGGCAGGCACAGGCAGCAGCTGCAGGAGCAGCAGCAGTCATCGCTGGCCGGCGTGCAATGGGCACGTTGGGTGTGTGGGCAAGCAAGTCAAGGTACGGTAGTCAAGCCGTGCATGCTTGGGAAAACCTTCTTAGGTTTTTTTGGCGGCATGTTCTGCAGGAGCAGCAAGTTCAGTTCAGGTTCATGAGTCAAGCAAATCAAGAGGAAAGCTCGTGCTTGAAAGCATGAAATTCGATTCATCCACGCCTCGATAATGGACCTCCCCACCTGCTACAGCGAGGCTGGGTACCTCCCTGGAAGGCTATGGGAAGGTGGCTGGCATGGCAGGGTGGCAGGCGGCAGGGTGGCAGGATGGTAGCTTTTAGGATGGCATCATGGCATGGCAGGCATGCTAGTTGCAATTGCAGGGTACGCATGAGACGTTAGATTTCTAACTTCCAAGGCATGGTTGATAGGAGTTGGCATATTGTTTCCTTTGCTTTCTTGTTTCGAACAGTTGAGATGTTGGTATAGCACTTAGCCCTGTAACACCATGAAAGCAATTTGAGTGAAAGAAATGTCAAAACCATACAACTGTAGGTAGCTACAGTACAACCGTTCAAGTATAGACAACTACACTCTCTAGGATAATACCAAAACACATCACAAGGGCTCAACATTGTAAAGGCTTAATCTATTGCTGCGCTGCTCGATGGCTATCACTAGCATATGGCAGGCTATGGTGCTGTCTATATTGCCCACACACATTACATCAATCAATCAATTTGCCATAGATGCCCGACTCAAATGTCGCCACATGTGAACATTGAGGTATCGAACCTGCACCTCCTTCCCAGGCCATGAAACATCTGGAACTGGAATCCACAGGAAGCCCTTGAAACACCTTCTCCCGGGCAGCCTTGAAACACCTCCTTCCGGGCAGCCTTTGAAGTACCTTTTTTCCGGCCCAAACAAGGAGCCGAAGGGAAAGCTAGAAGCCGCAAAGCGACCTGGCATGAGGGCAAGGAAAAAGGAAACGAGAAGTGCTTTAGTTTTTTTTGGAAGAGATGCGAAAAGCTGAAACCACTCCCGGCAAGTAAGACTCCAGACGACACACAGTGTGCCATGTCGTGTTTTGAGTCAACTCAAAAGGTGTGTTTTGAGTCGACTCAAAAGGTGTGTTTTGAGTCGACTCAAAACACATTCTTGGAAGAGTGAAGCGAAAAGCTGATTCGAACCACTCCCAGCAAGTAAGACTCCAGATTACACACAGTGTGCCATGTCGTGCCATGCAGCGCCCAAGCTGTGCCATGCTGTGCCATACCACCCCATCCCATGCCATTCCATGCCTACCATTGCTTCTCATGCAGGTCCCTCTCACTGCTGGAGTAATACCCTGCCACAAATGCCCGCCCTGCAGAAAGGTGCAGAATACAAATATATGTACATAAATATATATATATATAGGTGCAGAATACAAAATATATGTACATATATATATATATATATATCTACAAGAATATATGCACTACAAAACGAAAATATGTAGAAACACTTCCTTTCATAAAAAGCCCAACACAAACGCAACACAAACAAAAGATTGCTACAAGAATGTCCCACTCACCAAACCTCCCCGCACCCATAAAGGGTTCCTGCAGCTCCTCCGGCTGGCAAGTGGATGCTGCCTCTTCTGCCGCCTGCGATATAGTCAAGCGATGGTTGAATGAGAGCTCAAAAAAAAAAAAAAAAAAAGCGATGCAGTCACATATGGTGAAGTGGATGAGAGAGGATGCGCGCGCACCATAGAATCAGCACGCTCACGCCCATTAGACAAGCAAGGTAACCATGAGCCCACTCACCCTCTGGTGGTAACCATGAGCCCACTCACTCTCTGGTGGTAACCATGAGCCCACTCACCCTCTGGTGGTAACCATGAGCCCACTCACCCTCTGGTGGTAACCATGAGCCCACTCACCCTCTGGTGGTAACCACACGCCCACTCACCCTCTGGTGGTAACCACACGCCCACTCACCCTCTGGTGGTAACCACACGCCCACTCACCCTCTGGTGGTAACCACACGCCCACTCACCCTCTGGTGGTCAAACTCCTCTTGGGGACTGAGCATGCGATCCACACACCGCCCACTGATTGCACACAAAAGCAAACATACACACACACATGCACACAACACAATACATACACACCACGCACACACACCCACTCACCCTCTGGTGGTCGAACTCCTCTTGGGGACTGAGCATGCGATCCACACACCGCCCACTGATTGCACACACGAGCATCTGGCTCTCTGCGTCCTCTAGCAGCTCCGCACAGTTGTCGTCACACACTGGGTTGGTCAGATGGGAGATAAGGACAAAGGTAGGTATGGCAACGGAGGCATGTAAGGGAGTAGGCTAATAGCACACACAAGCATCTGGCTCTCTGCATCCTCTAGGAGTTCTGCACAGTTGTCATCATACACTGGCGACGAAGGGAGTGGGGAAAGGTGGATGATGAGCTTCAGCAGACACCGGGTGCAGCCAGGTACATTCTAAAAGCGCCAAGTGTTTTCTGAAACACCTCCACTTCCTATCTGAACTCCTTACTTCAATGAAAGCAAAAGGAATTAGAGAAGGTGCACAAGGAATGCAGGCAGCAGTTGGATGGGCTTCAGAAAGCACCTGGTGCTCTCAAATACACTCTGAAAAAGCCAAGTGTTTGCTGAAACGCCTACACTTCCTATATGAAATTGATAATGGTAATGGTAATGGTATTGGTTGGTAATCGTACTGGTAATGGTAATGATAATGGTAATGGTAGTGGTAATGGTAATGATAATGGTAATGGTAGTGGTAATGGTAATGGTAATGAAATTGATAGTGGCAATGGTAATGGTAATGGTAATGGTAATGATAATGGTAATGGTAATGGTAGTGGTAATGGTAATGGTAATGGTAGTGGTAATGATAATGGTAATGGTAATGGTAATGGTAATAGTAATAGTAATGGTAATGGTAGCGTGGTAATGGTAATTGTAATGGTAGCAGTAATGGTAGTGGTAATGGTAATGGTAATGATAGTGGTAGTGGTAATGGTAATGGTAATAATACTGGCAATGGTAGTGGTAATGGTAAAAGTAATGGTAATAATACTGGCAATGGTAGTGGTAATGGTAAAAGTAATGGTAATGTAACTGATAATGATAATGGTAATAGAAGTGGTAATGGTAATGGTAATGGTAATGGTAATTGTAATGGTAATGGTAATTGTAATGGTAATGGTAATGGTAATTGTAATGGTAATGGTAATGGTAATGATAGTGGTAGTGGTAATGGGAATGGTAGTGGTAATGGAAAGGTAATGGTAGTGGTAATGGCAGTGATACTAGTAATGATAATGGTAATAGTGGTGGTAATGGTTGTGGTAATGGTAATGGTAACGGTATTCGTAATGGTAGTGATATGGTAATAGTAATGACATGATAGTGGTAATAGCAATCGTTGGTAATGGTAGTGATAATGGTAATGGTAATGAACTCTCTACTTACGTGAAAGCAAAAAGAGTTAGAGAAGGTGCACAAGGAGTGCAGGCAGCAGGTGGATGAGCTTCAACAAGCACTTGATGCCGCCAGACACACTCCAGAACAGTAGTGACCAGGCTGATATAAGTGCAAGCGGATAACTGTCACAAGTTATTGCGACGATCTTGCATGTCTGTGGGGTGTTTCGTCATGCTCAACCTAGATACTGCAAATCGTTTCAACAGCTTCCGACAGTCACCTACTTGCACCAATCAGATTGGCAATTGTTTTTCCAGGGCAAAACTGGTACCATCAAGTGCGTGTTAAAGCTCGTCCACCTGCTGTCTACACTGCTCAGCTCGTCCCATGTGCTCCACCCACACACACATCATGCGCCCGGCCTCTTTTCTTGCATATAAAAACGTGCAGTTCCCGCCGCTGCACCGATGCGCTTCCTACACCCTCTCCACCACCGATGTGTATATTATGTTTTCTCGGAACTTGCCCTGCACCCCACTCCCCACTCACTCCCCACTCACTCCCCATGCGCCCCGACCCCACCCACTCACAATGTGCCCGGCCCGTTTTCTCGCACAAGAAAACGTTCTCAATGCAGTGAAGCGTGCAATTCCCACCAGTGCACCGATGCGCTTCCTCCACCACCCTCTCCGGCAGCTTGTTGGTTCTTTTGGCGCCACTCTCTAACAGACACATACCTAGACTCGTTTCTCCAACACTCACCATGCACCCTGCCAGTCTTCTCGCACAGGAACACGTTCTCAATACGGTGGAAAGTGCAGTTTCCCCCGCTGCACTCACTCCCCATGCACCCAGCCACACCCACTCACCATGCGCCCCACTCCCCACTCACCATGCGTCCTGCCTGTTTTCTCGCACAGGAACACATTCTAAATGCGCTGAAGCATGCAGTTCCCACCAGTGCACCGATGCGCTTCCTCCACCCTCTCCGGCAGGCAATGTGTCCCACCCCACTATGCTCCATGCATCCCACCCACTCACCATGCGCCCTGCCTGTCTTCTCGCACAAAAACACGTTCTCAATGCGGTGGAAAGTGCAGTTCCCTCCAGTGCACCGATGCGCTTCCTCCACCCTCTCCGGCAGCTTGTTCTGCTGGCGCCACTCCGCAACAGCTCGCGCCAGGTCAGAAGTGACGTGGACCAGCTCATCGTACACCTGGTCGCGCCGCGGCACCAGGTTTCTCTTTGCTGCCTGCAGCTGGGCATAAAATCCCCGCAAGTCCTGTGGCGAGTCGGCTACAAACTCCTTCATTTCGCCTCTGTCCCTCTGAGACAGAAAGTGGATAACACGGGAGGGGGAGAAAGAGGGGGAGGATGAACAAAGGGGGACACGGAAAGAGGTGCAGCACAAGTAGCGTGTGTGAAAACAGCTGGTTCAGTTCAAGACGCAAATGGCTAAAAGCGCACCTCAAAGTATAGCCGTTTCCAGTGGCAGCGTACTTGCGCTCCTGCTGCTCCGCCTCCTCCTCCCCCACCACTTCCTCCTTCCCCTTCCCTTTCCCCTCCCCCTCCCCCTCCCCCTCCACCCATTGCCCCTGACCCGCCTCGTCCGTCCAAGGCAGAGCGGGTGGAGGAGGGCGGAGGAGGGGGAGGGGGCCCCCATCGGATGCAGTAGGCTCGGCGCCAGAGAGTCTCCTCGCATGATGCTGTGCGGAGGTAGCGACACACACACGCACACACCGACAGGTCCTGTGAGGGGTGAGGGAGGGGAGACACAATGGCAGGAGGCGCATGGGGAGTGAGTGGGGGACCGGGGTAGAGGGGAGGAGGGAGAGGGGGGTCCCATCGGATGCAGTAGGCTCGGCGCCAAAGAGTCTTCTCAGAAGATGCTGCGCGGAGGTAGCGACACACACACGCACACACCGACAGGTCCTGGGGGGGAGATGGGGAAAGCGGGGAGGGGAGGGGGGACACAAGGGCACGGAGGCGCAGGGGGAGTGGGGGTGGAGGGGGAGCGAGAAGAGGTGGTTGGGCCCCCGTCTGATGAAGTAGGCTCGGCGCCAAAAGATACTTGAGATGATGCCATGCGGAGGTAGCGACACACACACGCACACATTGACAGGTCCTGGTACGATAAATGAGATGGGTGGGGGAGAGTGGAGAAGTGAGCACAGTAATCATCTCCCCCCTGATTGCATCCACGGAAGCGAACGTGCGGACGTGGCGGTACAGCTTCAGCAAGCCCCCTCCCTCCCCCCTCCCCACACCCCCCGTTCCACCCCAACCACTTTTCCCCGCTCCCCGCTCCCCGCTCCCCGCTCCCCGCTCCCCGCTCCCCGCTCCCCGCTCCCCGCTTCCCGCTCCCCGCTCCCCGTTACTTACTTTCGCGAACAGGAACCTAAGAACGTGTCGGTACTGCTTCAGCAAGGCCCCTCCTCCCTCCTCCCACACCGCGCACCCCCTTTTCCACCCCAACCCCCTTCACCTGCGCCGCGCTCGCCTACTCACATCCGCGGAAAGGAACTTGAGGACGTGGTGGTGCGGCTCCCAGCAACGTCCCTTCTTCCACGTCCTCCCTTCCCCCCACCCACAACCGCATTCAACCTCACCCAGCCCCTCCTCCCCCTCTCCCTCTCCCTTAGCTTACATCCGCGGACAGGAATTTAAGGACGTGGTGGTACAGCTCCGGCGGAAGCAGCCCGAGACTCCCCGTGAATTGCGGGTCTCCAAAATGAATCGCAGGCTTCGAAATTTCCAATTCCGAGGGGCCGGTAGAAATTGTTGGCTGGCTTTCTTCGTCGCTTTCTTCTTCGCCCATCCGCCTCTTCTTCTGCGACCTGCAGCTTTCCTCGTCGCCGGAATTGCTGTCCGATTTGTTATGGAATGTCTCGTTATTGTTGTCGTCAGCCGCACAAACGTCGATATCCTGCAAATCGATAAACGACAAGTAGCGCAAGAAAAACGAAAGCAGAAATTTAAGCGAGAAAAAAATGAAGACCGAGTAGTAACGAATTCATAAATAACCAACAAAGTTCGTGCTACAAATTGTACAAATGGTAACTCACCCTCAAGGTTCCTCGCTTCCGTTCACCCCGTTCAAGATCTCTCTCACCCTCGCCGTCAGATCTGTCCGCGTCATCCGCATCACCGTCCGATCCGTCTTCGAATCCCGGATCTTTACCACAACCGTCGTCTCCGTTTTCTTCATCCTCGCTATTAGATTCCTCGTCTCCGTTCCAAAGGTCGTCCTCTAAGGCTTGAGCAAAGTCAGCGTCTTCGGAACTAAACGGATCCGCGTCCGCAAAATCCAAGGGGACAGCGGCATCGGATAACGGATGAGCCATAGCGGATTTTTTTGGGACTAGGAGATTAAAGACCTATTTTTTAGGAGACCTAGTTGGCATTAAATTTTGGTTACCATTGAAGGAAAGGAGGCTGGCTTGGCTTGGTGCTGAGCAATTTCCCGTTATTATTGAACTCGGTATGTGGCACAAAGCAGAAATCTATCACCAACCGGGTGTCAATATAAACAGTTTTAACTGCTTCCAGCTCGGTAGGAGCTATTCTTGCATGATTGTGACATGCAACCCAAAACGAGAGCTAGACCCTACGGGGCTCGTTTAGACGAATCAACCTCCAATGATCTGGATGGTTGAGCCATCCTGATTCATGTGTCAAATACGCCCTCGAACCATCTTGATTCATGTGTGGAATACGCCCTCGAATATACTATCTTCAGTGAAGACTAGAATACCAGCTGTCCTCCGCACCATAGAAAGGCTGGCTTCAACACTAGACTACGAGCTTACCTGGGGATCATAATCTGGCCACGCTTTGTAGTCTTAGATTCCTACGCCTTGTATCGTATGTTGCTTTTCGTAGCCTCGATACAAACCGGCTGTACGCCACACAAGCTTATCGGCCTTTCGAGCTCAAATCAACGACACCGATTTTCACGTTTTTTTTTTTTAAGGAAATCGTCGAATGTCGCGTGTTAGTTGAAACGAGGTCAGATCCCGCCTTATACGTCGTGCGGTGCGGAGCTCGATTCGGCTCGACTGACAAGTTGCTCGTAGCGATCGACTCCTTCGACGCGCGTCTCCTCGTGAAACCTCGTGAAATCTCGTCCAGCCGTATTCTAGGATTTCCCAGCCCAGATTTAGTCGCTGACGCCGTCAGCCGTCGCCTACCCCCCGGTTATTACCTCCCCAATAACCCTTGGTTATATCGTTAGCACATACCAGCACGTATCTTTAGGTACTACCACGTACCACCACGTACCAGAACGCACCAGTACGTACCAGCGCATACCAGCAGACATGGATCGGTGCATGAACCGGGTCATTGCGGGAGTTGCCGTCGGCGGCGCAGTTGGCGGCGCGATTGGTGAGAAGCCTCTCTTCTCTTCTCTTCCTTTCTCTTTTCCCCTCCTCTTCTCGTCTCTTCTCTTGCCTTCTCTTTCCTTCCTCTTGTCTCACATCTCCTCGCATTTCCCTCACGATTCCATGCAAGAGCCATGTACGGGACATCGAAGCGTTCAGATACAAGTGCTCTTTTCCTCGCTTCTCTTCTCTTCGCTTCCCTTACTCTTGTCTCACATCTCCTCCCCTTCTCGCGATTCCTTGCAGGAGCCATGTACGGAACATACGAAGCGTTCAGATACAAGGTACGTCACGAGCAAGGTGTTCGTTTTCAAGATGACTCGTATATGTGATACAAAAAAACTGCATATGGGGGATGGAATTTACATGGGGGATAACTTAGTATGGGGGACGAATGAAGCTTCATGGGAGCCAGTTTGTGCCCCTGCTCTATATTCAAGAGCCTGGCCGTTCTCCTTCTCGGTCAGCCCTTAGAACCTTCCACATTCTCCTCTCTCACTTTCCCTGCTTCCATTCGAGTGCGCCCTTTTCACTCCCTTCACCCCATGCGTTAATATTCAAGAGCCTGGCCTTGCTCCTTCTTTGTCAGCCCTTGGCACCTTCCACATTCTCCTCTCTCACTTCCATTCGAGTGCGCCCTTTCCACTCCCCCAACCCCACTCTCCTCCCCCAACCCGCACCCAACCCTCTCTCACCCCTCACTCCCCAACCCCCCTTCCCTGCTGTCCACCTCCCCTATTATCCCGTTCTTGAGGCGATTTTTGAGGCGCCTCAAAAATCTCCCCCCCCAACCCTCCTTCTCCCCTGTCCACCTCCTCTATTAACCCGTTCTTCATTCTCCACTATCCCCTGTTCTGGACGTTCCATTTATGAAGATGGAACGATAGCACCCTGTAACCGAATTTCCATAAATCTCAAACACGGATAGCAGTCTGCAACCACATTGCCTCCTGTCTCATGCCCCCGTCCCATGTTTCCCATCCCACTGCCGAATCTGCCAGGTCCCGGGCCTGCTCAAGGTTCGGTACATTGGCCAGACCACATTGGGGAGTGCAGCTGTGTTTGGCTTGTTCCTAGGCGCAGGCAGTCTGATTCACTGCGGCAAATCATACTAGGAAAAACACTTACCTACCGTAATTTACTTCCGAAGGGGTGGTCAGTGGCTGCTATCCTGCTCCCTTAGATGTTACAATTTTGCACATGTTTTGCACTTCTGTAGGCCTCTGTTTTCACTATCCTCTCTATAAGAACAGCCTGACTAGTGAAGTGTGATAGTTGGTTGATATCTTCATGCCAAGTTGATGTGTCCTGCACCAAGCAAGATCACTCCCATTCTTAGTTGCTCTCATATGACCAGCCCTGGAACACATAAGCAAAACAGCAGAGACTCAATAGCTCGCACATTGAGAAAGCTTGCTTTCTGGTTATTGCAAGGCAACGTGCTTCCTTTTAATTGGGTTGCCTTGCTTCACTACAGTCAGCTGTGCTTTCACAGTCTTTATTTTTAGAAAGTGTTTCACACTTTCGAAAAGAATCATTTATAAAGCATTTGGCCCATAACATCGTTGAACCTTTTGTTAGGGTCAGATATTACCATATGTGGTCAGTTGAACAAAATACAGGTGTATCTGCCTGTGCCAGCAAGGCGAGCCAATCCTGCTGCTGCTGCCGCAAGGGCAAACTCCACAATTTACCCTGCTGCCAAAGGGCGGCCTATTCAAAACCATGGCCAAAAGCACCTGCATGGGCCGGGCGGGCCATTTACTGAACCACCACTGCTACGGTATTTAACCCCCACAAGTTACCCCAATTTCCAAACCTAGAAACCCTTCTGCACAGGCCGCAGCAACCCCACCACCACGAGGGCAAACTCAGCGATTTCCAGCCCAACCGAGGCTACAACCTCTCCCGCCCTCTCCGCGGGTACCCCATGCCTTCCCCCGCCCATCCGCCCTCCTCCCGACCCCCCTGCATTCCAACTGATAGGCAAATGTGCCGCAGCTCCAAACACTATCTTCATCTGCCGCGCTTCCTCCTCTACTGACTCTAACTTGGCCCAAAAAGACTTGTCTAAATTTAGCTCCGTGACAATGTTGGCTGCGCCAGCAGCAGTGGCGGTGGTAGTGGTTGTGGTGGTGGTAGTGGCGGTAACCAAACAAGCGGTAACCGTACCCGCTGCAACAATAGCCGAATCATTCGATGCAGAACCCGAAGCCGCTGCTGTTGCTGCTGCTGCTGCTGCCGCTGCTGGTGATAGCACCCGTGTCATTAGAATCACGGGTGGTAATAGCAGCAGCAGCAGCCCCACTGTCAGCTAGATGGCTCGCTGCTAGATGGCCCTGTCTGTTCTGGCCGGAGTGACTAGAGGGGGAGGAGGAAGAAAGCCCGCTGATCTTTCTTTGCCCTTGAAAGTGAGCCTTGGAGGATGGTGAGAAGAGCAAGAGAGAGGAAGTCGGCCTAGCAGCGGTTTTCTTCGGCTCCTTGATTTTGTTGCATGCAAGAATCTGCTCCAAGCCCTGCAGTTGGAAGTAAAGGGGGATACGTTTTTAAGGAAAAGAAAGTCATGAGGAGAGAATTCGGGGAAACAAACAGTCAGATCAATGCTTGCTTGTGCCTCCTCCACTAAAAAAAAAAAACAACAACAACGCAAGTCGGATGACCCTCGTACAGCAACTCACCTGGGCCAGGGACGAGCGCATGTCGGCTGACGTCTGAGCAATCTGCTCAATCGTTGCCAAAGCCTCTTGTAGTGCCGCTGTATCCACCCTTGGTCTCGCCACCACTGATGGTGTAACCCTCTCTCTCTCTCCCTCTAGGCGTCCCTCTCTAGGCATCACCCTGTCGGCGAAAGGCAGGCAGGCTTATCTCCCCCGTACAGTACAGGACAACCACTCACCTGAGCCAGGGAGGAGCGCATGTCGGCTGACGTCTGAGCAATCTGCTCAATCGTTGCCCAACCCAATCTTTCCCCCGTACAGCCACTCACCTGAGCCAGGGAGGAGCGCATGTCGGCTGACGTCTGAGCAATCTGCTCAATCGTTGCCCAACCCAATCTTTCCCCCGTACAGCCACTCACCTGAGCCAGGGAGGAGCGCATGTCGGCTGACGTCTGAGCAATCTGCTCAATCGTTGCTAGTGCCTCCTCTAGTGCCACTATATCCACCCTCAGCCTCGCCACCACTGACGGTGTAACCCTCTAGGCGTCACACCCTCTAGGCGTCACCCTCTTGCCATAGACCCAACCCAATCTTTCCCCCGTACAGCCACTCACCTGAGCAAGGGAGGAGCGCATTTCAGATGAAGTTTGAGCGATCTGTTCAATCGTCGCTAGTGCCTCTTCTAGTGCCGCTATATCCACCCTCAGCCTCGCCACCACTGACGGTGTCACCCTCTCCCTCTCTCTCTCCCTCTCCATCTCGCCCCTAGGAGTGCTCCCCCTGCTGCTCCCATTCGTCAAATACGCCGATCCCCCGCTTCCCCCTCCTCCCCCTATCCCCCCTCCTCCCCCTCCTCCCCCCTCCGCCTCCGCCTCCCCCTCCTCCCCCCCCCCAGTTCCGCCTGCACCAGCCCCCACTCCCCCCCCCTCCCCCCGACGCCCCGAAAGAGACCAAAGATGGAGAATCCTGCTGGTGCCGCCCCTGGGCCTGCTCCTCCTCCTCCCCCTCCTCCTCCTCCTCCTCCTCCTCCCCCCCCTCCTCCTCCTCCTCCGCCGCCGCCCATTCCGAAGCTGCTTTCAGAGTGGAAGGAGCTTTGTCGGGACCGGCTCACGTTGATCGAAGGCGGAGGCACGAAATTCCTCCCGAAACCCGGCGACCGGCTGTTGAAGTGACTCTGATTCTGAATCTGATACTGATTCTGATACTGATTCTGATACTGCATTGAATACTGTGGCACGTCAATAGCCCCCGTCCCCATCCCTCCCCCTCCTCCCCCTCCTCCCCCTCCTCCCCCTCCTCCCCCTCCTCCGCCTCCTCCCCCTGCCGCCCCATACAGCCCCTGCAATCCCCCTCCCATAGCTATCATGCCCCCGTACACACCCCCTTCTCCCCCGCCTCCTGCTCCCTCCCCCACCCCTGCTATCCCATAGTCCGAATTAGCGCTGCTGTCAAACTGGTCGTAAGAGGGCGAGGAGGACCAGAGGGCGGGAATCATGGTGCTCTCTGAACCAGCGGACCAGACTCCTGCTGTCTCCGCGCTCTGCCAGGGGAGGGAGCTGGGGGGGAGGTGGAGGTGGGTGGGTGGGGGTGGGGAGAGAAGAGGGGGGAGGGAAAGAAGACGGCTTTTAAAGTGAGAGGCAAAAGAGGGAGGGAAGCAGATCATGGGAGGGCGAGGAGAGGAGGACCAGAGGGCGGGAATCATGGTGCTCTCTGACCCTGCGGACCAGACTCCTGCAGTTTCTGCACTCTGCCAGGGGAGAGAGCTGGGTTGGGTAGGGTGTGGAGGGGAGGCGCAAAGCGTGGAAGGGGAAGGGAAAAGAGGATGGGTACTTGCAAAGTCGTGAGAGGGCGAGGAGGACCAGAGGGCGGGGATCATGGTGCTCTCTGATCCGGCAGACCACACCCCTGCTGTCTCTGCACTCTGCCAGGGGAGGGAGCTGGGTTATCAGGTGGGGAAGGGGGGAGTGGTGGGAAGTTGAGAGGGAGAGGAAGGGAGAGGAGGTAGGGGGAGAAGGAGATAGGGAGAGGAGGAGATAGGGGGAGGTATGGGGAGGGGCGCTAGGAGGGAAAATACTACCTCGCAATGACGTTGCCTCGATTCCAAGCTGGAAAAAACAGCAAAAAAAATTCATATATAAATTTAAAAAAAAAAAAACCTAACAAATTCAAACGTTTCTAAAAAATGGGCTCACTCGCTGGCGATGATCTTGTCTCGCTTCCGCACTTCCTGCTGCAGCGCTGCCATCTCGTCCCTCAGCTGGCTGTTTATAGTCCCCCCTAAACCCTGGTCTCTTCATCACAAAGAGGAAAACTCACTCTCTGGCGATGATCTCGTCTCGCTTCCGCACTTCCTGCTGCAGCGCTGCCATCTCGTCCCTCAGCTGCTGCACCTCGGCTGCCGTGTCCGCCAGCTGCATCAACGCCTTCACCTTCTCGGCGGTCACCTGGGAGAAGGTAGTGAAAACAAGAGCAAGCGTAGAGGAAATATTACCTCCTCCCTCCACCGCTGCGCCACTCAATCCACCTGCCCCAGTTCACACCTGCCCCAGTTCACACCTGCCCCACTTCATACCTACCCCAGTTTTCACCTGCCCCAGTTTTCACCTGCCCCAGTTTTCACCTGCCCCAGTTCTCACCTGCCCCAGTTCTCACCTCCTCCTCTACCCCAACATTTCTCACCTGCCCCAGAGTAGAATTCAGCCCAGCAATCGTCTCTCTCAGGCTCCCCGCCATCTGTGAGTCCCGCAAGTGCATCTCCTCCTCCGCGGCCAGCATCACCAGCGCTTGCACCTTCTCCCTCGCCGCCCCGGTTGCTTCCCACCTGCTTCGATCGTACCATTCTGAGTTACCTACCCCGGCTCACAACAAACCCAGGCTCTCACCTGACCCAGGGTAGCATTGAGCCCAGCGATCGTCTCCCTCAGACTCCCCACCAGCTGTGAGTCCCTCAAATGCCGCTCCTCCTCCGCGGCCAGCATCACCAGCGCCTGCACCTTCTCCCTCATCGCCTGGGACAGCATCTCCTCCGTCGGCTCCTCCGCATACGGATCCCTAGCCATCCCGTACAGATCCCTAGACGCCCCATACGGGTCTTTGCCAGAAAGAAACTCCTTGCTAAGCTCGTTGGTCTCTTCTCGAAGCACGTTTCTAGGCGTTCCTGCAGGTCTTTCCTCTCCTCCTCCACCTCCCCCCCTCCTCCTCCTCTCCTCACGCTCTCTCTCCAACTGTCTCTGCACTTCCACCAGTCGTTTCTGCATCTCATCCCTCTCCCTCACCCCTTTCTCTCGCTCTGCCTCCACTGCAGCAGCAGCTGCCGCAGCTATCGATGCCGCTTCCGCCTTTGCACGAGTCACCTGCCCCTCTGATTCCCTCCCCATCGCCTCCCACTCCCTCGCACCGTTCCTCCTCCTCTCCACTTCCTCCATCAGTCTCCCCACCTCCTCTTTCAACCTCGCTCCCTCCTCTCTCTCCCTCCTGATCGCCTCCCTCAACCTCCCTTCCTCCTCCTTCCCCTCCCTCTCCACCCTCTCCCTCTCCCTCCTCTCCTCCTCCCTCTCCCTCTCCACCCTCTCCCTCTCCCTCCGCTCCTCCTCCCTCTCCCTCTCCACCCTCTCCCGCTCCCTCCTCTCCTCCTCCCGATCCCTCTCCGCCTCCTCCCGCCCCCTATCCGCCTCCCGCCTCCCCCTCTCCGCCTCCTCAATCTTTTCATCCGCCAGCTCCTGCTGCTTCGCCAGCGTCGCAGCATGCCTACCCGCCTCCTTCACCCTCTCTAGCACGTCCCACTTCTCCTTCATCAGCTTTTCAATCTCAGCTCGGCTTTTCTCCGCAGCACTCGCCTTTTCCCGCCGCAGCTGCTCTATTTCCGCCTTAGCTCGCGCCTCTGCGTCCGCCTTGGCCGTTCTCAGCTGCTCCAGCTCGAGGGTCACTTGGTCTCGCTGCTCCAGTGCTGCTGCCGCCTGCCGCTGGTAAAACCGCACCTCCTCCTCTGCTGCCGTGCGCTGGAACAGGAAAGGGAGCATGTCGGAACGAAGAGAGAGGGGGGAAAACGCTGGGTTGAGGCCAACGGTGGGAAGAAACGGATGGCATAGAGGGTCAAGAGGTGGTGCCCTAGCGCGGGGGTTGTGCCCTAGCGCGGGGGTTGTGCCCTAGCGCGGGGGTTGTGCCCTAGCGCGGGGGTTGTGCCCTAGCGCGGGGGTTGTGCCCTAGCGCGGGGGTTGTGCCCTAGCGCTCATCTGCATCTGCCTCCGCCTTGGCAGTTCTCAGCTGATCCAGCTCCAGAGTCACGAGTGGGCGTGACTTATGCTGGAAAAGTTGTTTTCCACCGCATGGGATGGAACGGACCATCAGCACCAGCCAACAGCATGCCATGCCACCTCATGCCATGCCGTCCCATACCATGCCACCTCATGCCATGCCGTCCCATACCATGCCACCTCATGCCATGCCGTCCCATACCATGCTACCTCATGCCATGCCGTCCCATACCATGCCACCTCATGCCATGCCGTCCCATACGATGCCATGTACTCCAATGCCCTGCCATGCCCTGCCCTTCCCAGCCATGTGCAGCCCTGTCATGCAATGAACCATTGGATTACACACCTTGCTGTGCTCCTCTTTCCACATTGCCGCTGCTCCTGCCTGCAAGAACCAGCAACAGGCAAACGGCATGGCAGAGAAGGATGATGAAAGGCATAACAGATCGTCAATTATGACAGACAAAAACGGACCAAAACAAAAAAAAAGGGCCAAAAAAGAGGGTCCATCGCGCACCTTCTTCTGCTCCGCGTCCTGCAGGTCATGCCGAACGTCTGCAATCTCCATCTCCAGTGACGCAATCGTGTGGCGACACGTGGCAAGCTCCGCTTCCAAGTTGGCCACCCTGAAACGCAAGAAACAAAAAATGAGAGGTGATCCTAACTTAGAACAAGTACAGTGGCCACCCACAACGAAATTTGAAAGGAACAGTGGTTTCCTCCCCTTCCCGACCATATTTTGAACAGCTTTGTTCATATAGTCGTGTTACAACAACCTGTTACACGCAGTCCTGTTGCTAGTAGGATCGTTTAGTACCCATCTTTTCTTAAAAAAAAAAAAATCAAAACAAAACAAAACAAACACACTTGCAGCTCACCTTCTGGCCTGCATGCGAGCCATGGCGTCCTCGGCTCCGGCACTCCCCACCTGCTGCAAACACATCCCCTCCAGGTCCCTCTGAAGCTCATCGCGCTCTGATACAGAATGAAGGGATGGAGGCAAGGGCAAGGAGCGAGGAAACAATGAAGATAGAGGAATTGTAACAGCTCATCGCGCTCTGACACGTGTACGATGGATGCAGAAGCAGGTGACTTTTGAGACGACTCTAGGAGTGAGGAAGCAATGAAGCACGAGTACATGCGGCAGCTCATCGCGCTCTGCCACGCGTTCAACCGACGCGGAGGGAGTTGCAATGGGAAACGGCGAAAGGAAAGATCAGGGCTGCATGTATGGAGAACGCGAGCAGGAACGTATCTTTGTTAAAGCGGTGAGAAGAGGCGAGACGGGGAAGAAGCAACAGGAGGATTGTTAGTGCAACCCAAAAAAAAAAAAAAAAAAAATCATAAATTAAGGAAGAAAAAATGCCAAGTGCCAGATATGCATAAGACCTAGTCTATGTTATTCAAAACTTTTGGTTTCCTCATCACCACCAAGAGAAGAAAAAGCGACAGGAAACCATGTGCTAAAGGGAAACTAACCTGCTTCCAGTTCCTTAATCCGCTTCTGCAAAGCCCTTTCTCTCGCTGTGTCTACCGCCATGGTTGAAGAACAGGACTTATTGACCTAGTTATTAAAAAAACTAGAAAACCAGACTGATTAAGGTGGAACGACTCGGCATAGTGCCACTCCGGCACACTATCACAACGGTTTGACCGCGTCAAACAAATGAGAAACCCTGCCTATCGCGATGCAACGCCCCGAACAACCGAAACGGAATGCCAGTTAGAGTCGACACGCGACCAAAAGCGGAACCGACTAGCAGAAAACTGAAGCTGGGGAGCTAACTACTGGTGCTAACTATTCAGTGGGCTCAGTATTCAGTGCACCTACAAACTCAACCAGCTCGAGGAGGGTGTCAGAAAAGTAGGCAAGGAAAATGGAGCTTGCTGATTAGGTGAAATAGCTTCGGCACAGCCTGGACTCAGCTTCGACACGGTTTTGGCGGGATATTTCGCTCCTGCAGTCTGGTTCAGTCCGGTACCCGAGCCTCAAGAAAACTGTTCGACAAACCCGAGGTTCGCAAAGCAAGCCTAGCACGTTGGCGGCGTGGGATGGCGTAACCAATCGGGCCTGTGCTTGAGATTGGCTCCAAGAAATTTGCGCAAGAAGGAAACGTGAATGGAGGTTTGGAAACGTTGGGGCAGCACGCAAACGCAAAGTCGTGGGGATTGAAGTCGGAGAACCTTCAAGACCGAAGCCGTTCCTTGCCCGCGACTTGGGAAAACAAACAAATTTCTGCCCAGCCCGTTCTCTAGTTCCAGGGTCAGACAGCTCACATAGCGAATGACTGATTCACTGTAAATGTAGTGCGCCAGTACACGCATGTTTCTATACAATGTTAAAAAAGATTTATCAAGTTCGTATATTTGATTGAACAGCGCAACAGGTTTTGACCTTCCATTCAACCTTCAAATACGCAGCGACATCAACAGATTGACGGTCATCAACGACAGAGCGACGATCTGCGCGTCGGCATCTCCTGGCTCCGTGTCGCCTGTCAAGATGCGAGGAGGCGGCGGATTGCTCGCGTCGCGATTCTTTCGTGCGGTCCAGTCCTCGTACCACCCCGCCGCTGGCGCTTGCGCATCTACGCCGTTCGTCCCTCTCGCCAACATTCCGACCTCAGCCACCGCCACCACCGCCGCCGCCGCGGCATTCAGCAACAGCCATTCCGTTTCTCGGTTCGCGTCTTTCCTTTCGAACCTCCCGCCGCAACCACCGCCGCAATCGTCGCCGCGGTTTCCGCCGCACTATTCGCCGGTCGCAGTATCTTCCAGGTCATTCTGCACCTCCTCTCCACTCGCGCAGTCCCTCTTGACACGTGGACTTGCTCCCGCGCTTAGTCAGCAACACGTGGTGGTGTCTGATCCCATTGGCGCGGCGCGGCTCGTTATAGCGCGTGGATTCGCTAAGCGCCCGAAGAAGTGGCGAGGAGGTACGCGGTTGGGGGGATCAGTTGCGCGGATGGGGGGAGCACGCTGCGCCTTTGCGGGGTATACTTCGCACGGACGGGGAGAATTTATTCAACGAAAGGGGGAATCACACTCCCCGGATGGGGAGATAAAATGGGCGGTTGGGAGGTGCCAACTGCGCAGTGCAGATTGCAGCATCTGCGGAAGAGTGGAACGGGCAGAGTGGGACGACCAAGATGTTGCATGGGGTGGGGCGAGCAGAGGAGTGCGACGCATAGCCGCGTGTCAACTCAACGCTCTTGCCCCAGTTCCTCCGTCTCCTCCCCACTTATTTGATTTTTTTTTGCAGTGGCAGATACACAAGCCACACCTCCAAGATGTGCGCTATGTCAGTGTTCTGCTTCACACTCTCTTGATTCCTAGGTTTTCATTGCCGCGTCAGCTGAATATAATCCTTCTGAACGTGGCAATGAAGGCGCTCTGGGGAATCACGGGAGAGTGGAAGAGAAAACTGACAGAGCGCACATCTTGGGAGTGTGGTTTGGGTATTTGGAAGTGTGGGTTGAGTATCTGCCAGAGTACTGCATGTGACGTATGCGTTCCTTCCGAACACACAAGCTCCTCCCCGCACTTCCCCATTTCCCTCTTTTTTCCCCCCTTCCCTCTTTCTTCCCCCACCTAACCACAGACCCCTGGGTGATGGTGAGGGTGCCGCAGGGGCAAGAGCAGGTGCCGGCGTCTCAGCCCAATGCTGGCAGTTTGCCCCCACATATCCCCATCATCTCCCCTCCTCCCTATTCCCCTCCCTGCCAATGCAACAGACCCCTGGGTGATGGTGAGGGTGCCGCAGGGGGCAGAGCAGGTGCCGGCGTCTCAGCCCAATGCTGGCAGCGTGGGCGGCAGGAACCAGAGGCGCCGCATGCTGCAGCGCCAGCAGTTCATCAAGGTGCGTGAGGGGGCGGGAGGGAGGGGGAGATGTATGGGTGCAGTGCATGGGTGGGTGGGTGCATGGGTGGATGGGTGCATGGGTGGTCGGGAATGTCTCAGCCAAATGTTGCAGCGCCAGTAGTTTGTGAAGGTGGGTGGGTGGGTGGGTGGGTGGGTGGGTGGGTGGGGGAAAGGAAGGGGGGATTGGGTGGGTTAGTGTCTGGGTACAGGCACTGGTACAAAGGTATGAAGGAAAGTCCGAGATCTTTTTTGTTTCCTTCCCCTGTGTGCTCCATTTGCTGCAAAGCAGGAGCGGTGGCAGCAGGTGAAGGAGCAAAAGAAGGAGGCTTTGAAGCGACTGGATGAGGAGAGAGGTGGGCGAAATGGAAAGGAAGGCTGTATGTTTAACTGCTTTTCCCTGCCCTCTCCCATTCCTCCTTATCCCTCCTCCCGTTGACGTGAGCAGGAGCAGTGGCAGAAGGTGAAGGAGCAAAAGAAGGAGGCTTTGAAGCGACGAGATGAGGAGAGACGGGCGAGATGGAAGGCTGTAGGTTTAACTGCTTTTCCCTGCTCACTCCCATTCCTCCTTATCCCTCCTCCTGTTGACGCAAGCAGGAGCAGTGGCAGAAGGTAAAGGAGCAAAAGAAGGAGGCTTTGAAGCGACGAGATGAGGAGAGACGGGCAAGATGGAAGGCTGGCGCTGCAAGAGCAAGGGAATGGCGGGAACGGCAGCAGCAGCAGCAGCAGCAACAGGAGGGGAAGGGACGGGCGCTACTGTCTAAAGCTCTTCAGTCTTGCAGCAAAGCCAAGGGATGAGGAGAGACGGGCGAGATGGAAGGCGGGTGCTGCAAGAGCAAGGGAGTGGCGGGAAAGGCAGCTTGCAGCAGCAGCAGCAGCAGCAGCAGCAGGAGCAACAGGAGGGGGAGGGGACGGGACGAGGTCTACTGTTTGAAGATATTCAGTTCTATAGCAAAGTAGAAGCACCGGTACGGTACGGTATGGTACGGTACGGTAGCAGTGCTGAATCAACTTCGGAAAATTACCGGTACGGTAGCATTCACACCGCATTCCCATTGCTCTGCAATGTACGGACAGGTGCATAGACTGCTCAATTCCATGTTTCCATCTCTAAATAAAAGAAAATGGATGGTTACGACAATGCAAACTGATTCCTTACGGGTGGTTGGATCAAAGTGTGTAACGATCAGTCTGGAGGGTTTCAACTGAACATGATTTTGCCTTGTTGCAAAATGAAATCAACCGTCTGGACAGAATCAACCGACCACGTTTGTAAATTGGGTACCGGTAATCAGCAGGTACCGTCATATCATCCCATTCCATTCCCATAGCACAGCAGGTAACAGGAGGTATGATACCAGGTGGCACTGTTGTCATCTGCTCCAAAAGGTGGTGGCAAATCCATGGACTAGACAACTAATTACGGTATGGGAATTTGAAGAGCGAGCAAAATCACTCCAATGCGGGCACCATACCATACCACCCTCCTCACGTAGACTCTAATTCTACCCACCACCTCCCCCATCACCTTGTCCTATACCTGCCTCATCCTCTCGACCATCCACTTCATCTCACACACGAACACCTCTAGTTCTCCTCCTTCGTGCTAGCAGCACACGACTTGTTAAGCGGCCCTCCATCCTCATTCCCATACTCCTCTCTGCTACATGGCTAATACCCGAACTTATTTTACGGCCCTCCATCCTCATTCCCATACTCCTCTCTGCTACTCGGCTAATACCGGGACTTCTTATACGGCCCGCCATCCCCATCCCTGTACTCCCATCCCCATACTCCTCCTCCTCCTCCCCCACTACCTCAGCTTCTGGTTCAGCTCCATATCCTTCACCGCCTCGCTGCCACACTGCTAGTATCGGGACTTCTTATACGGCCCGCCATCCTCATCCCCATACTCCTCCTCTTCCACCACCTCTCCCGCAGCCTCCCTCTTTTTCCTCTCTATAATCTTGTTGATTTGGTTCAACTCATTATTCAGCTTCTGCTGCCGATCCTTCTCCTTCTTCCGCCCCTTCCTCCCCTCACCCTCCTGCCCCTGCTTGGACCTCCTGCCACCGCCTGTGCCCTTGTCTGCAGCCTCTCTGTCCCGCTCCTTGTCCTTAGATGCACCACCACCACCACCACCACCACCACCACCATCATTCTCATCGTCATCGCTGTCCCCATGAAACATGTCCTGCACCTGAGCCAGCTGGTGGATTGTAGGGTGGGGGAGCAGGGGAGGGGAGGAGGAAGGGGGCCCGACAAAGAGGGAATATGGTATCTCTGTCCCGTTCCTTGTCCTTAGATTCACCACCACCACCATCATCCTCATCGTCATCGCTGTCCCCATGAAACATGTCCTGCATCTGAGCCAGCTGGTGGATTGAGTGGGGGTTAGAGGAGAGGAAAGGGAAATAAGGCGGGGTGTGACCTCTCTGGCCCGCTCCTTGTCCTTAGATGCATCAGCACCACCACCATCATCATCATCGCTGTCCCCGTGAAACATGTCCTGCACCTGAGCCTACTGGTGGATTGCCAGTGGGTGGGGGGGGAGGGGGAGAAGGGGAGGAAGAGGTTATGAAGGGGAGAAAACAGGCTCTGTCCCTTGCCTTGTACTTGGACGCACCACCAGCACCAAGAGGGAAGGACTCGCTTCAGGACCAATACATGTCTTGCTCCTTTTGACAAGGGAAGGACCAATACATGTCTTGCTCCTTTTGACAAGGGAAGGACCAATACATGTCTTGCTCCTTTTGACAAGGGAAGGACCAATACATGTCTTGCTCCTTACCACTTTTCTTTGCATCTCTTGTCATGCACGCCCCTCGAAACAAGAGCCAAAACAGGACTTTCTTTGAAACATTGTCCTTCTCCGCTCCTTCCCTTTTCCAAGTCAGCTCATCACACCTCTCTTGAATCTTCTCTGCTGACCTCCAAAACACACGTGCCAAAGCACACGTGCCAAAACACACGTGCCAAAACACACGGGCCAGAACGCACGGGCCAAAACACACGTGCCAAAACGCTCGGGGCAAAACACACGTGCCAAAACACACGTGCCAAAACACACGTGCCAAAACACACGTGCCAAAACACACGTGCCAAAACACACGTGCCAAAACGCACGTGCCTCAGAACATGAGCCAACCTAAGGCACTGACCTGCCTATCCTCTTCCACTTTCCGAGCGAGCTCATCTCCCTCCTTTTAGTCACTCTCCACAAACTCCCCTGCAAAGTTCCCCCCATCACCCCGCTGATAGCACTCCTCATATCCCCCTCCCCCCACCGCATTCAAATCCCTCCCATTCTCTTGAGGCGCCTCAAGAGTCAAAAACAAGAGTCCAAACAAGAGTTTCCGAGCGAGCTCATCACCCTCCTCGTCACTCTCCACAACCTTCCCTGCAAAGTTCCCCCCATCCCCCCGCTCATAGCACTCGTCATACCCCCTTCCCCAAGCGCATTCGGATCCCTTAGGGGACTCACCTGTCTTGCCTCTTCGACTTTCCGAGCGAGCTCATCACCCTCCTCCTCATCACTCTCCACAACCTCCCCTGCAAAGTTCCCCCCATCCCCCCGCTGATAGCACTCGTCATACCCCCCTCCCCCCAACCCCCCCAACGCATTCGGATCCTTCCCTTTCTCCCTCCCCTCTCCCGCTCTCCCCCTCCCCTCCCGCCTCCTCGCCTCCTCTTCCTCTGGAGTGAATCTCTTAAACACCGACGCCAATCCCCGGCCTTTTCCCTCTTCTGTTAAGTGCGTGCCAGTAGCACCAGGTTCAGTAGACGCAGCAGGGCCAAGAGAAGAAGGATATAGGAGAGCAGCAGCGGAAGCAGGAGGAGGAGGAGGAGCGAGAGGATGGGAAGGCGGGTAAGCTCCTGGGGGGAGAGGAGGAGGAGGCGGGTACCCCCCCTCTCCTCCTCCCCCATACGGGTAATGCTGACCGGGGGGAAGAGGAGGAGGAGGAGGAGGAGGAGGGGCTAAGCCAGGGTAGTGAGGGGCAGAATGGGGAGGAAGAGGAGGAGGAGCAGGGGGGTACTGCTGGTGGTAGGGATAAGCGGAAGGTGGGGGGGCTGGAGGGGGGACAGACGGAGGCCAGGGAGGGAGGGTGGCAGGGGCACCAGGAGGGGGAGGAAGAGGAGGAGGGGGAGGGTAGTCTTCCCATGAGCCGTCTGCTGGTGGGTAAGCCGGACCGGCCTGTAAGAAAGGTCAAAATGGGGAGAAGGGAGCAGGACGGTTAGTTTGGAAGATGAAAGCAATAGAAGAGGGAAAGGAAGGAGGGGGAGGGTAGTCTTCCCAGGAGCCGTCTGCTGGCGGGTAGGCTGGTTCCAGCTGCAAAAAGGGGGGGAGAGACGGAAGGAGGGAGGGAGGCCAGTGAGTGAGAGAATGGGAATGGGAAGCACAGGGAATGGGGAGCACAGGGAATGGGGAGCACAGGGAATGGGGAGCACAGGGAATGGGAGGAAGAGGAGCAGAGGGAGGGTAGTCTTCCCAGGAGCCGTCTGCTGGTGGGTAGGCTGGGCCGACCTGGGATATGGGAAGGCGAGGGGAGGAGGGAAGGCGGAAGGAAGGAGCATGCGCAGTAAATGAGGAAGAAAGAAGTGAGGGGAGGTGAGGAGGAGGGAAGGAAGGGAGGAGAGGAGGAGGGGAGGAAAGGAGGATGGGAGGATGGGAGGGGGGGAGGAGGGGAGGGGGGGAGGGGGGAGGAGGGGAGGAGGGGAGGGGGGGGAGAGGAGGGGAGGAGGGGAGGAGAGAGGAAGGGGAGGAGAAGAGAGGAGAAGGGGAGGGGAGGAGGGGAGAAAATGGAGGTCTTCAGAGGGGACAGGTGGTGGAGAGGAAGGGGAAAAAAATGGTCTTACCATGTCATGTGGAAGAGGCGGGGGAGGAGGAGGTGCCATTGCACCATCGTCATCGTCCATCTCCATATCCGCATCATCAGCAGCAGCAGCAGGGGGGAGCAGAGGCGGAGGCGGGGGCAGAGGAGCACCAACACCACCACCAGCCGCTGTAGAAGCGGCAGCAGCAGCGGCATGTGCTACAGCGTCTGCTATACCACTCGGCACATCAAAGTAAGCAGGGCGGGAAGCACTTGCAGGTGCCGCTGCTGCTTCTGCTGCCCCTGCTGCTGGTGAGACTGCTGCGGCTGCCGAAGCTGTGTCAGCAGCAGCAGCATGTGCGCTGGGTTTAGCAGTGACGGTGTATTCCCTGCCCACATCCGCAAAAATATCCTCGTGCTCATCCTCCTCTTCTTTCTTCTTCTTATTAGGGGCTGCTTCTGTGGCAGCGGCTTTTGCTGCTGCTGCTGCTGCTGTTGCTGCTGCATCCTTCCTGTTCCTGCCACTGCTGCTGCCAGTCCCATTTGTCATGCCGCTACTCCCACCAGCGCCACCAGCACCAGCGCCGCCATTTTCAGCAGCAGATTCGGTTCTTGCGGCAGGTTGGGAGGAGGATGGGAGGTGGGCTGCGGGCTGAGAGGGCTTGGGAGGGAGAATACCAGGAACCAGGACTGGAGCAGGGGGGAAAACGGGAGGAAGAGAGTGGGGGAGAGAGGAAGGAAAGATGGGGTAAGGCACAAACGAATACAAGAGGATGGCTGAGGGCTACTAGGAAGAATACCAGGAATCAGCCAACTCTCACTGGAGAGGGACTGGAGAGGGAAAGTGAGTGGGGGAAGGGAAGAAGCAAAGGATTCGAGCAGAAGGAAGCGAAGGATTCAAGCAGCGTTGGATTCATTCCTCAATAGGGAAGAAGCGAAGGATTCAAGCAGAAGTTTGGAATGAAACTCTCACAGAGAGATTTGACAGTAAAAAGTAGGACCATCATCCTGTTCATAAGTCCCGTGATAAAAGTGATGTTTTGAGACATCTCGAAACATCACTTTTATCACGTGGCTAGATTTGACAGAAAAAAGTAGGACCATCATCCTGTTCATGAGTCCAAATGTCAAAACCCAACTCCCAAAGAATAAAAAAAAAACAGAATTTTGGCAGACTAGCCCGGCTGAACATGCCTGGCTCGCTGGCAACTGAGAATTGGAGCAACACAAAGACGCGCAGACTACCGGGAGGGAGGGAGTCGGCATGAGTGAGTGTCCAGCTAGCTAGTGACTGAGAACGGACGCAGGATATGTGAAGAGTAGAGCAAGCTGGCCTGGCCTTACCCCTGTTGCTGTCCTTGTCCTTTTTCTTCTTCTTGTGTGCCTGTGATGCCATGCCGCCAAATCGAAGGGAAAGAGAAAAGTGGGTTCGCGGAGGGGAGGGAGTGAGGGATATGGTACAATGGAGAACAAAGGAAGCAGCAAACGTTGACTTTTGAGTCGACTCAAAAGTCAACTAGGGAGTGAGGGATATGGTACAATGGAGAACCAGAGAAGCAGCAAAAGTTGTTCACATGCAGAGGTTTAGTTGTTCACCAGGACCAGCACAAACTAAACCTCTTGTGTGGAGCAAAAGAGGCAACAAACATTGACAATGTTTTAGGCACCTGAAAAATCGTACATTGGTGTTTGATCCCAATCACAGGTACGAGATGACGTGGGTGCCTCTGTCAAAAGAAAGGCATCGAAAGAAAGGCATCGTACCTTGGCGTTGGATCCCAATTGCAGATACGAGTCGAATGATGACTCTCCTTTTGAGGCACCTCGTGTGTGGAACCAAATAGACATTGTACCTTGGTCTTTTCTTAGGCGCCTCAAAAGACATACCTTGGCGCTTGATCCCAACCGCAGGTATGAGATGACGTGGGTTACTCTATCCAACACTGGGGCGTCCTGTGACGCGGATACCAGGTCCTGTGGGGTGAGTGAGTGGGAGGGAGGGGAGACACAGACAAAAGCGGAGAGGGTGAGGGAAGGTAAATGATAGTGACTAGTGATGCCTCACAGGACACCGTCTAACACAGGGGCATCCAGTGAAGCTACTACATGACTCATCCTTTCACACATTAAATATATAATGACCAAGTAAAATACAAAACTATTATTTAAGTAACAATAGAGATTAGCATATAGGAGTACACATTCTACGCTCATGCACCTGGGGAAGAGAGCAGTCGGGCTTGCTGCGGTGCACCGTGGTGGGGATCTCACTCCGAAACTCATCATCCATGTCAAAGACAACCAGAGCGGTGACTCTGCATACATCTCATGCTGGCAAAGAGCGACCCTACACTACACCTCCGAGAAACTTAGTACCTGGGGAGGCAGGCAGTCGGCCTGGCTGCGGTACACAGTGGTGGGAATTTCACTTCGAAACTCGTCGTCCATGTCAAAGGCAAACAGGCAAGGGGTGCATTTACGCATCCTTATATACGAGTAAGCAAGACACACCTGCGGAGGGGGGCAATCGGCCTTGCTGCGGTGCACGGTGGTGGGGATCTCACTGCGAAACTCATCGTCCATGTCAAAGACAAACGACGTGCGGCCCGGAAGGAAGAACTCGTTCGGCTTGGGCGGCACCGGGCGGACTATCTGCTCAAATACCGACTGTGAGGGGGAAAGGGCCGGATCACAAGCAACCAAGCGTTAAGCAATCAAGCAACCAAACAGCTCGTCTGCCCGCAAATACTGTCAAGGACCTGTTGTGCTTCATTTTTTAGTCGACTCAAAATAGGCCGCTCATACTGTCAACGACCTGTTGTGCTTCAAGGAGAGAAGGGGCAAAATGGCTTAGGGTCACAATACAGGGTACTACCGGGGGGTGAGGTAGGGTGGGTGGCGAAGAAGAGGGTGAGGGGAGGGAAGGACTTACTCGAGCAAGTGCAGAGCGGAACGTGGGAACTTTCTCCTGTGCTTTCCTGCAAATCAAGAAAAATCAAGAGAACAGAGGCAGAGCCAGAGTTTTGAGGCGCCTCAAAAGTCTTACTCGAGCAACGGCCGAGCGGAACGTGGGAACTTTCTCCTGTGCTTTCCTGCAAATCAAGAGAGAGAACAACAAATGAAGAACAAATGAAGGGGATCTCACTTGTGAGAGTAACGTAACAGCGGCTGCTGCTACTTTCGCAAAAGGTGAGGTAACAGCAGCCAGCATCCATAATTTTCACATCTCCACTCCACGTGCTCTTGAATAGACTCACAACTCACCACAATCTCACTGAGGCATGCACACACTAACACGCACACATACATGCGCACACGCACACGCAGGCACACACTCACACACATGCTTCACGCCTAACACCTCACCTGCTCTTAGCCTTCCCTGCCGCTGCAGCAGCCGCACCACCACCACCCCCCTCCTCCTCCTCCTCCTCTCCCCCTTCCTCCTTCTCTCCCTCCCCTCCCCTCTCCCCCGGACGGCCTTTCATCTCCGACCGCACTTTGTTGAGCAGGGCATAGTCCAGCCCCTTCACCAGATGCGTGTGCTCCACGTCTCCTCCCAGGAACTTGGACTTCTCAATTGCCAGTTTATGCGCATCCGTTGTCCTGCAGGGAGGGTCACGGGTTGGGGTTTAATACATAGGGTTCAGGAGGGACAGCCTTCACCACATGCGTGTTCTCCACGTCTCCTCTTAGAAACCTGGACTTCTCAATTGCCAGTTTATGTGTGTCAGTGGTGCTGCAAGGAGAGGGAGGTGGGGGGTTCGGGTTGAAGATTTAGGGTTTAAGAAGGCTGGCCTTCACCAAATGCGTGTGCTCCACGTCTCCTTCCAGGAACTTGGACTTCTCAATCGCCAGCTTGTGCGCATCCGTTGTCCTCCAGGGAGGGTTGGAGGTTAGGGTTGAGAATACAGGGTTTAAGAAGGACGGCATTCGCCAGATGCGTGTGCTCCACGTCTCCTCCCAGGAGCTTGGACTTGTCAATTGCTAGCTTGTAGGCGTCTGTGGTGCGGCGAGGAGGTGCACTGGTGGGGTGGGGCGTAAATACTGGGGTTGAGGAGGAGATCAGCTCTTTGGGACATTGGGGGGTAGGGGGTTGACAAGCTTACGCCTCCTCCTGCCTCTCCCTCTAATGGAGATACTCTCTCCCTTGGCCATATTCTCACGTTAGATCCATGCCAGAATTGAGTTGCCCCAGGTGGTTGGGAACAGCAGAGCCCTTGTAGCCCGGATTCACCTCCTCTCGCCTCTCCTCCCAATTCCACGTCGCACACTACCCTCTCTATGCTTAAACCAGTCTGTACCCCCTGGTATGCTTAAACCAGTCTGTTACCCCATTAATCACGTCAGGCCCACGCCAGGAGGTGCAACGGCATTCAACTGCCCTAGGTGGCTGGGCATGGCTGTATCCTTGTAGCACGGATTCACCTCCTCCCGCCTCTCCTTCCAATTCCACAATACACAACACATCACAACACAACACATCACCCTCTCTATGCTAAAAACCTTCTCTTGTCCCAGTACTCACGTCAAGTCAACACCAGGGGGAGCAACGGCATTGAGCTGTCCCAGGTGGCTTGGCACGGCTGCATCCTTGTAGTCCGGATTCACCTCCTCCCGCCTCTCCTTCGCCCTGTCCCTGTATTGCGGTTCCTCACCTTCTTTACTGTCACCCCCTGCAGAGGCACCCTCTTCCCTGCGAAACGGTGTGGTGGAAGGGGGGGGGGGGGAGAGGCAGAGAAAGAGCAGAAGGAGGCAAATGGGTGATTCGGATTCCCCTCCTCGCGTCTCTCCTTCGCCCTGTCCCTGCATTGAGGCTCCTCGCCCTCTTTACTGTCACGCCCTGCAGAAGCACCCTCGTCCCTGGCAAATGGTATAGGCGGAAGAGCAGGGGGGAGGGAAGAGGGAGAGGGGGGCAGAGGGGTGGAGGGGGCGCTGTGGGGAAAGAAGGTGACGATGGCAGAAAGTGGAGGATTGGAGATAGATGGAGATGGGTGGAGGTGGGTGGAGATTGGTGGAGGTAGGTGCTAACAGGCAAGAAAAGAGTAAGCAGAGGAGACCAGTAGCACCAATAAACAAGGCATGGCACGCCGTTCCCCACCTACCAGATGGCTTGCTCACGTTTTGAGTCGACTCAAAAACCGTGTGTAATGAGTCTGCATTTTTTTAGTCGACTCAAAAGCACACCAATAAACAAGGCATGGCACGCCGTTCCCCACCTACCAGATGGCTTGCTCGCCTTTGTCATTGCCAATGGCCAAACTAGCCCCTTTGGGTTACTTACCCTCCGTACCAAACTGAAGGGGAACTTACCCTTTCCCTTTGCCATAGTACTTGCGCCTGGCGTCTGAACCAGGAGTGGCACTTGGGTCGTTGAATCGCTTGCTGGGGGGAAGAGGAAAAGAGAGGAGAGGGGAGAGAGGGGAGAAGAGAGTGGGGGAGAAGAGAGTGGGGGAGAAGAGAGTGGGGGAGAAGTGGGAACGAGGTTGAGAGGAGGGGAAAGGGAGGGGGGTGGGGAAAAACGGGGAGGATGTGAAGCGGGCTAGGCGTTAGGAAATCGACCAAAGGGCGTAAACACATAGCAACCAACTATTTTCTCCCTGCTCAACGGACTATACCAAGCGACTCGTCGTCACCTAATCAAACTTTCGCTTCGCGGTAGTTCATCTGAGAGCCTAACCGAGAGAGCCTACATGAGGGATTCTTTAGGAGGCACCATACCATACTATCCTACGGTAGGAAACTCCGTATTCCTTGGTGCTCAAATGAACATGATCCCGTACTACTTCTTCTGCTCCGTGCCTTAATCTCCGTCTGCTCAGACCCACGGCTCGGAAGCTCTTCAAGACTGCTTTGAAAAAGACCCTCACCGTTTACCCAACGAGGCTTCTTACTATTTGTTCTTCTCCTGGTGTTTCTTCTCCGGTTGCTGCGACCCGCGTCGCGGAGTCTCCAGGACCATCCTTCGAAAGTCCTTATTGGACAGATTCGAAGATTCCGCCGCCTTTCCGGACGTGGATTCCGGAGCACGCTCCTGCTCTTTCTTCCGGCCCGGCCGCGGCGGTGGCGGAAGCGGGTTGGAGACCGGCATCTCATCGTCGCTATCAGCCATCGTGACAATAACGAAAAACACGAGACCTGGAAGTAACTTCTCAGCGAAGGAAATATAAACGGAGCAACGACGAGGGATCCGTGTTTACGAAAGCGGGAATGAGCCTTCGACTTCGAGCTTAGAGCCTCACCGAATTTCACTACCCTATGTTCGGCAATATTACAAGAGTAAGTCGCAAATTAGAGCGACAACACCTCCGCGATTGGTGGTTGCGGAATTAGTTGTGCTGCTGCGTGAAACTTTGTTGCATACTAAAGAGTGAAAGCAGTGTATTTAGGGCGGGCTATTCTAGTTCGAATGCGGCTCAATGACATGCTTCACGTTGTACGGCGGTCAAATCAATGTTTGGAATGGTCGGAATGGATACTGAAGAAAAGAACAATGACATGCCCTTACGTGAATGGTAATGTTACGGGTGCAATGGAACGAGATAGCGAGGATTGCACTAGGTGTGAAACGAGTACAAAGTATGAGGAGAGGCATCGAGCGAATACTTATGTGCGAACATGCAAATGGTAACGCGGTGCGTGCGAGGTAGTTAGTGCTACGCTCGCATCAAGGTTCGAGCTAGTCCTGAAGCGTGGGCCGATCGGTCGGGCCAGCGGTGCATGGTTTGGTAAAACAGTGCGTGTGAAGTTGGCGAAGCCCCGTTAGCAGTTACGGGCGAACAACGGCCGCTGCCGTACGCGATGTTGACGGTGGTCGCGGTAAGGAATATTGAGAAAATTCCTTACAGATAACTTAAATGGGATTCAATAACGCTTACACTAACCATTACAATGGATTTTCACGTGCTAGGTAACTAGCTGTCTGAAAACTTCTTACGGTGGGGATGCCAAATTGATCCTCGAGAAGGGCTATAGGCGGAGAGCCTGAGGAGGTTATGTCAGAGGTCCACTGGTGATCCCCGATTGATCCTAGGGAAGGGTTACAGGCATGGCGGCCTGGGGGGTTATGGGCGCACTCACCCGCTACACAAACAAGCCATTTTATCCCAGTGGTTAGTGGCTGGGATTCTGACATGGTATCAGAGCGAAGGTCTCGGGTTCGAATCCCGGTGTGTGCACCTCGGGCATCCCAGTGCGGGGGCGTGTCAAAGGTCCACTGGTGATCCCCGATTGATCCTAGGGAAGGGTTACAGGCATGGCGGCCTGGGGGGTTATGGGCGCACTCACCCGCTACACAAAACAAGCCCTTTTATCCCAGTGGTTAGTGGCTGGGATTCTGACAGGTTATAGATGCACTAATTCGCTACCAGCCAGCCCTTTTATCCCGATGTTCTAGTTGCTAGGATTCTGGCACAAGCTTCACGCATTCGATAAATGTAAAATGACAATCAATGACATTTTGATAAAGCATAGCATGGCATTGAGATACATTCCCTTATTCAACCATATTGCATGTATTTGTACAATAATTATTCTGATGTCGCACGGTTACCATGTTGCAATACGAAACATCCGGGGTATGTTATAATCTCCACATAAGGTTTAAACCGCGAAGTTGGGATGGTCAAACAGTCGTCTTGCTGACCCTCGACTGTTTGACTTTTCGCCTTTCCCACTATCGCGTGTTCGAAATGAGTGTAGCACGATCTCAAAGTAGGAACACAACGGAATGTGTGAACTGGGGAAAGAAGGGATACAAATACCAACCCTAAAACTGTTGTACTCCCTAAAGTGCTACTCACTGTAGCCTAAGAACCTATAGGCTATAACATTTGACACACCCCCATAGGCTAAGTGAGGGGCATCAAAGCAAGCAGGGTGAACAAACGGTCACAAGACCAGTCAATGCAAGAAGCAAAGCAAGCTCAGGGTGGATCTCAAGGACACCACACAAATTCCGAGCACAAGCAAGCGACCATAAGGCCAGTTTAAGAGTTCACTAGGATATATGTAGCAAAGCACAACATGCAGAGCAAACAGCAAGTCTACAGCAACCGAGGGCCTACCTCAACAAGCCCCAACTGCACACAGAATCTGTGGTGGTCACCAGGCATTAAGGCCTTTGTGAAGACGTCGGCAGTGTTGGCCTCTGAGGCCACAAAGTCCAGGCGTGCCTGGCCGCGTCGCTGCAACTCTCTCAGGAGGAAGTACCTGACGTGAATGTGCTTCACTCTGCTCTCTAGTCGAGGCTCTCGACACAGGAGGATCATGGCCTTGTTGTCAGCGTACAAGGTCGGTGCAGAGTGAGGCCGCTCACCAAGGTCGGCGAGCAAGAAGGTCAACCAGCGAAGCTCCTGTGCTGCCATGGCACCAGCGTAGATCTCTGCCTCTGCTCTGGACGAAGCCACTGACGACGACCGTGTAGACCTCCACGACACGGCACCAGCACCCAAACTGAAACAGTAACCCTGAGTCGAACGCTGAGTCTCCACGTCATCAACGTAGGAAGAGTCGCAGTGACCGGTCAACTCAACTGGCCGAGTCCCTCCAAGCACAAGCCCCATGCCTGATGTAGTCGTCAGGTACTTCACCACCCTCACAGCAGCTATCCAGTGAACAGGACGGTGTCTCCCAGTCGCAACAAAGCGAGAGAGGACGTTGAGGGGAAAGGCGAGGTCCGGCCGAGTACAAGTCATCAGGTACATGAGGCAGCCCACAAGCTCTGCGAAGGGACCACTGGACTCAAAGGGCTCGTCGGGGAAGGGGCCGGTGAGTCTGTGGTCTACAGCAAGAGGAGTGGGCTGTGTGATGGAGAACTAAAACCCGAATCGCCGAAGGACCTGCTGCACCATGTGTGACTGAGTCAGTGTGATGGTGCGAGCGACTCTGTCCCTGGTGATCTGCAGGCCAAGGCAGCGCTGCAGCTCACTGAGGTCAGTGCACGTGTGTCGCAATTCGGATTTCACCTCCGCCAGTGCTGCCCTGTCAGCTGTAGCAAACACCAGGTCGTCGACGTAGACCAGGATAAAGAAGGGAGTAGAGCCAGTGCAAACAAACTGCGACCGGTCAGTAGAGGAGGGACGAAACCCTAGGTCACGAAGCATGGAGCGCAGAGTGTCATGCCACTCACGGGGCGACTAGCGGAGACCGTAGACTGGCCTTCTCAAGCTCCACTGAGTCCCAGGTGGGAAGGTGTCAGTGAAACCAGGAGGACGGCGCAGCCAGATCTCCTCGTGTAGGCGGCCCTGGAGGAAGGCAGTGGAGAAGTAAAGAGAGTGCAACTCGTACTCTCGCTGCGCTGCTATGTGGAGTAACACCCGAAGAGTAGTCATCTTCGGGGTCGGGGCGAAGGTCTGGAAGAAGTCAACTCCCTCACGCTGACTGAAGCCCCTAGCCACGTAATGCGCCTTGAACACAGGCGGGGATCTAGGCGGCCGCTTCACCTTGAAGAGCCACATATCATCGACAACGTTCGCCCTGGGAAGGGGAACAGCGTCGATGTAGGTGCATGTGGATCTCCAAGAAGCCAACTCTGAGTCCATGGCCGCTTTCCACTGTGAGGCCCACTCCTCTGACACTGCCTCACGGTACGTGCGAGGAGTCGGTATGTCAAGGGCGTCGGGGTCTCCCTCAGGGGAAAGTAGCATGGCACAGAGAGAGGGGGAAGCAGCTGCCAGGAACTCCAACTGAAACTGCCTGTCCTCTAGGACGTCACAGCCAAGGGCAAACCCACCCCCGGCGGCCTCAGGACGAGCAGGCGGTGCAGCTACGACACGGGTGGCAAAGTCAAGGCGGCGGGTGGACGCAAAGGCAGTGACAGCGGCAGTGAGAGCGAAGACAGACGACGGAGAGGCACGAGGGTCGGTGACAAGAGAGGCGAGAACACGCGAGACAAGAGGACGCATTGTACGGTAGTAGTCAGTGATAGGGGTAGAGAGGGAGGATGTAAGAGCCGACTCAGGAGGTGAAGGGAGAACAGACACAGGAGTAGCACGACGAGGACTAGAACGAAACAAGGCGGTGCGGAGGTCGGCAAGAGGAGACGAGGGACGAGCACGCGGGGGACAGCGAGCGGTCCAGTCGTGCGGGACAACAGGAGGAGGTGCCTGTGACTGGGGAGGAGGGAAAACAGCCGGAGACAAGTCCGGAGGAGGAAACGTAGGACCGTAAGTGGGCAGTGACTGCGGGTGGACAGGAGGAGGGGAGGGAAGACCAAGGGCTCGAAGGCCACTCACTGGTGTGACCACGAGCTGCGGTGGCTGCTGCTGCGGCGGCGGCTGCTGCTGTTGCTGCTGCTGCTGCTCCAGTAGGTCCAACTGCCACAACTCCTGTCGCTCCCACTCCAACCGCTCCTGCACCTCGCGCGCACGCCGGCAGGCCGCCTG